ATATTATTATATAGAATATGATTTTACATTCACATCTAAATAATACAAATGAACTTTTGCTATTTACATCAAATAAAGGATGAAACATGCATGCATGAAAAAGGCATGAACATAAAAAGACATTTAAGAGAAGAAAAAAAATGAAAAAATGAAAAATACTTACATACACACATACACACACGTGCACAGACACCCACTTAAAACATGCCTACATTTTGTGGGAATCTCGACCATTATATCAGCCATGTCCATTCCATTGCTTCTATTCGCTTTCCTTATTTTATCTATTCCGCACGAAGCTATTCTAAATTGTCCCACTTTCTAAAATGATATGTGAGTGTACCTCGGTCCCCAGCTAATTTCTTCTCCTCCTTTCTATTTTCTAATAATCTTTTCTTAATCTCCAAATAAGTTGGTGGTTTTTGTCTATTTTTACTATCTATAAATATCATATATTTTATCAAAATTATGATATGATTTAATAACTGTTCCTTCCCTATGTTAAACTCAACTACCCCTACATGGATACCTTTCCAATTTATATTTGTAATCTCTACTAAATTAAATAAATTCCCACACTCTTCCCAAATTGGTTTTACTTTCTCACAAAGACAAAATAAATGCTCATAAGTTTCTTCATATTTACCACAAAAAGAACATAAATTACTATCAACCATTTTAAATGTATATAAATGTAATTTAGTATATATAATATTATAAAGCATTTTAAATTGAAATTCTCTAAGCTTACTATTCAATGTGCACTTTCTAAGTCTTAAAAATATTAGTTGTATATCTTTTCCATGAATATTATAAGTCTGTTCTAAATGTCGTTCTGCATACGATTTTTCTACTCTCTTATTTAATAAAAAAGCGTATATAATTTTTGAGGTTATTTGATCTAACATATATACCTTTTCAAACATAATAATATCCATATTTAATTCTCTATCTATATTTGAGTGAGTATTTTTATTTAAAAATTGTTTCCATGAAGACGGGATGCCAAGAAAAATATGTTGTATTTTACTAATTTCTAAACTATTTAAACCTTTTCTTTGAAATTCCTCATTAGATTTTATATTACCTTCCTTATCAACAATATGATGCAACTTATACACATTTTTGTTAAATAATCCCTCATCAAAAGGAACATGACCATCGATAAAAACGAATCTATTACTATAGATAATCTCATTCCTCCTAGAAACACTTTCCTTTAACAAAAATATTCTCGTAGCCATCCAAACATCCAACATGTCTCTATAAAATGCTGGTAATACTAATTCAGATATACCTACGGTTGCATTATTATAAAATATCAAAATTCCTCCAGCATCTTTAGTTAAATAATTAAAATATTGTTTCCATCCCATGTTTGCATCCCCCGTTAAAAGTCTCTTTACCCACATAATCCTCTGCACTAAAATAAATAAATGAAAGTCCGTTAATCTTAGTCCACCTCTACAATAATCCAAGAACATTACATTTCGCTTTATCTTATCATTTCCTTTCCACAAAAAGTCAAAAACCAGTTTATCCAAATCTGTAAATACCCAATTTGGTACTGGTGTCAGCGCCGATACATAAATCAATTTTGACAAAATAAATGTTTTTATCAATTGAATTTTCCCCATTAAAGTTAAATCTCTTTGTTTCCACCAAGACAACAACTTTTTTATTTTACTCAAAATTTCCTTATAATTTGTCCTTTCCTGAATTTCAACATCTAAAGAAAAATATATACCCAAAATCTTGACCATTTGTACTACTTTACCAAATGGAAGAGCAATATTTTCATTTTGAGAAGGGCCCAACAATAATATAAAAGTTTTTTCTTTATTAATTTTTAATCCAGAATTTCTAGCAAAATTTTCAAACAGTTCCCCCACCTTTTTAAATGAATTTGAGTCCCGAATAAAGAGAGTCATATCATCTGCATAAAGAATTTGTTTTACATGTACGTTATTAAAAGTAAATCCTTGAATTTCAGGGTCTTTATATATTGAACGAGCTAAAATTTCAATACAAAGTATAAACAAATATGCGGACAGGGGGTCCCCCTGTCTAACACCTCTCTTAATATCAAAGTATCCAGTAGATGAGCCCCCATTAAAGACACAACTTTGAGCATTATTATATATAGTCTCCACCCATCTACAAAATGATGGTCCAAAACCAAATGTAAACAAAACATTCTGCAAAAAAGTATGTGAAACTGAATCGAAAGCCTTTTCAAAATCAATTATCATCATATATCCAGGTATTTCATTGACTGATGTATGATGAATTATATCATCTATCATTCTAATTGCTTCACCTATATTTCGATCCTTTAGATAACCCACCTGGTCGACAGAAATTAAATCATTTAAAACTTTTTTAATCCTTATAGAAAGCACTTTAGTCAAAATTTTGTAGTCTACATTCAATAAAGATATTGGTCTATAATTTTTTATAAATAAGGGATCTTTTCCTTCTTTATGAATCAAACTAATGACCGCCTGCTTTTGTGATGAGGAAAGTTCCTTCTTTCCAAAAGCTGAATTTACAGAATCTACAACTAAATGTCCTATCAATGGCCAAAAGAGTATATAAAATTCAACACTTAATCCATCATTCCCCGGGGATTTATTTAATGCCATTTCTTTCATGGCTGCAATACATTCACCGTTTGTTATTTTACCTTCACATAATGCACGCGAATCTGAATTTAATTTTGGTAAGTCCTGAAAAAAATCATCCACAAAATCAATTTCCTCTTCTGATTGAGCATAAAGCTTACTATAAAATGTATATATTTCTTGCATAATATTTTCTTGATCAAAACTTATATCTTCATCAATATAAAGTTTATTTATCAATGTTTTCTTTTTATTAGACTTCATTAATTGGGTAAAATACCCAGTGTCTCTTTCTCCGCATTCATAGTGTGATGCTCTAGAACGAATTTTAATACCTTCATTTATATAATTATAACAATCCTGTAAGTCTTTTTTGTTTCGTTCTAAGTCATCAACTTTTTGCTGGTCTATTCCATTCAGCAATTCATTTTCCAGCTTCAAAATATCTTCTTCCAAATTTTCAATTCTTTGTTTTCGTTGTTTCGCCTTTTCTTTTGAATATTTTCTACTAACATTCCTAATTTTCATTTTCAAAAAATCCCATAAAACTCTTTTATCTTCTATCTCTATTCGAAATTCTTCTTTTAATTTAATAATTTCCTCTTTAATACAATTGATGTATTCATTATCTTGACATAAACTATTATTTAATTTCCAATAGGATCCCTGAAACTTAAATGAATACATTAACTTATCGTAAAATTGCAATTGAATGGCTGAATGATCCGGAGCCGTAGAAGGTATTATATCACATTTTAATACTACATGTTCTATTTGCTTAGAAACAAACCAATAATCTAATCTACTTTGTATACATGAATTTACTTGCCTATACGTAAACTGTTTCTTCAATCCATTCCTTACCCTCCAAACATCCAGCAACTCAAATCTATCTAAAAATTGTTCAAATAAAATATGAAATCGAGACTGAACATGGTGTTTACTACTTCCAAAATAATCTAAATCATTGTTTAAAATAATATTAAAATCTCCCCCAATAATGATTGCATTATTTTCTTTATTAATTTCTTTTACTATTTTTTCAAAATTGACCAAAAAATCGATCCTTTCTGATTCCCTTCCTCTTACTGGCAAATAAACATTAGCCATTATCAATTTCATCCCCTGAATAATACATTCCATTATAACATATCTACCATTATTATCTGAAATAACATTTAACATCTGAATATCTAATTTATTATCTATTAAAATAAGCACCCCTTTACTATGGTTTGTCCCATGACTAAAATATGAACTCCCATTCCAAAGCAATTTCCAAGTCTCCTCCACTTTATTGTACTATATGTTTCTTGTAAAAAAACAATATCAGCACCTTTATCTTTACACCACGTACAAATTTTTGCCCTCTTTGACTTTTCTCGAATTCCTTTGACATTCAAAGAAAGAAGATTACATTTGATAAAAATATCTTTACCTTCCATAGCTATATATGAATATGAACATGTATTCTTTCCTCCCTATATAAGGTTCTAATACACAGGATGGCAGAAGCAGGCTCAATAATATATAATTACTAACAAAATCAGCATACTGGTCGAGATCCCCAACTACGTAGGCAATGCAATTAACACTCACATACAGCTCACACAACACACATACTAACTTAACTAAACGAAATTGTAAGCTGTATACATTCCTTTCTCGTAACTTACAGTGTAATTGTATATTACAAAGCTGGCTTACATTCTTAATTCCTGGCCAAGAGGCAAACAATGTCTGCTCCTTGTCATTAGCGTACTGTATAGTGACCTTACATAGATATTCAAATAAGTTAAATCTTGAACTGAAATGTAGTCTAGTGCAAAACACAATATGCATCATGGCAAAAGAGGACAATGACCTGTCATTCGAACAAATGCTTTCTTGTATTAATATGATTAGGTGTTTAATACCTATGTAAAAACTAAAGACACATAAGAAATGTTTATACAAATTGCGTTCAGATAGAGCTCTCCTATTAATATTCTGACAAGAATAATTTATATCCATCATAAAGCCATACAAACAAAAGTTATAAAATATCCTACGAGAGACAGACATTATGCTGAAAAAAGATTGTATCAAAATCATCCATCCTGCAACACATGCTTGCAAAACAAGTCCTTTAAGAACTCTTCTGAAACATCGAATATGGTCAATATACTTGATAAAATTTGTGTCAAGTAGTTGGAAATATAAGAACATGCATAGTGTATACCTTTGGAATCTATCCTTTTCATTTTGTCTCTTGCCTTTATAAAAATTTTCAAGTAGATTGAATCTTAAGCCAATCTGTGCTCTGGTGCTAAAACCTGTATGCATCATGAAAGAAGACGAAAATTGCTTTATATTTGAACAAATGAATTCTTGCGCAATGTTTACTTTCAGTCAAGAACGTAGCTGGCGCAATAACTTCAAGTGTTTCATCATCAGTTTCAAGATGGCAGCGCCCATGGAGCACACGAGCAGTACAGCCTCTGAGAAGAAACCGAGTAAGAAAAGGCCTTGTAGAGCATGTACCGACTTCAGAAGCTTTGCTCAAGATAAGGGAGTGATGTTGCCGCCAGGTTTCCCCGTTCCAAATGTAAGTATCTAAATCATTTGAGTAGGAAAACAGGTAACACAAGGACAAACTACGTCTAGTCACGGCTGTTGGATTGATCCTGCGCCGCCGGGCCTTCGGGGCCGCCTAGCTATGGCTGGAGTCCCGAGCCAGTGGCACAGGTTTACCGATGCCACTGGCGCTGGCTGGCTCGAAGAGATATCGTAGCGCAATTTTAAACCAAGATTTCTTGTATGTGTTATATTGTTTATTGGCTTGATAATGTATTTATTATGATAGATGCTTTCTGGTGATAGTCTTCATGGTCTTTATTTCATCATCATGTTCAGAATCAGACTCGGAGTCGGAGTAAGTGTAACTCGATCAGTCAAAATGATAGTTGGTAATGGTATGGCATGGTTAGGTAATTTAATTTCTTTATGGACAATGAATCTTTACGATGCAGTTAATTACAAGATGTTATTTGAATGGTGTAAATGCATTAAACTTCACATTTCTGTAGGACCTTTGTTTCATACTTGATTCATTAGAAAATCCAACATGGTTTTCTCCATTTAATATGTGTGAATGAGTCATTTGGAGGAAATTCATTTTTATTTTTTTGATCTATATTAGGAAAAGATATTTTTTTTGGTTGTTTTTGTTGATGCCGTTTATCACTGAGGTGTTCATGCCTCTTAAAAGGAGAAGAGGAAGAAGAAAAAAAAAAGCTGGTTTAGTTGTCGGCTACCAGAACATGAACTGACATACAGGATTACATGTAACAACAATATAGTAGGCCAGACTTGAATACCGGTAGATATCAAATTTCAAATAAGTAGAAAATTTATACAAGAATCATGTCTACTGCTTGTATGTATACCCCCAAAATAGTTGAAGTTAATAGAAAACTGTAAGTGCTATATTGTGAGTAATGTCGGAACAAGTACCATATATATTTTACTGAAGTGTGACAACTTCCTTAACTACACCAGGGGGGATCTAGCACTACATTTTTTTTTCATTTTGCCCCAGCCCACAGCAACTAATTCAATATTTCAGATTGTTCTGAGCAAAAGTAACAATTAGAAGAGTCTTGCTTCCCTTCTTGTACAAGAAATCACCAACCCAATGGCATTTTATTAAATGACAAATATTTCAGCCAGATGACATTGTTATTCAGCAGAAAGTACCTCAAGAACCCTCATTGTATGAGAACAAAAAAAAATGGCCACACTGTTTCCCCAATTAAATTTTTTGAAAATGAAATAATGGCCGATACATATTTATGATTTAAAAAACTTTACAGGGGTCAAACTCACAGGGGGCCACACCAGCCCAAGATGAAAAACCAGACCGCGAATGTCCGCTTGACCGAGAGGAGCTTGGTCGTAATACCTGGTCATTCTTACACACCACGGCGGCTTACTATCCTGACCAACCAACCCAGACACAGCAGTCAGAAATGAGCCAGTTTATCCATCTCTTTTCTAAGTTCTACCCATGTGAGGACTGTTCAGAGGATCTCAGGGAAAAGTAAGTACTATAATGTATTTGAAAATTCCAAAATATTCTAGATCCATGTAATATTTTTTCTTCAAAAGTCATTTGGAATTCCAAAGTAATGAACCTCAGGGGTGGTGCATCAACAAATTTTGCTCTACTTAATACAAGGATACTTTTTTTTTTCTCTTCTCTTTGCAGTTTGCTAATTAAAAGTCACTTGAATGCTTATGCAGAGTTTACCATGTGATATGTTGATCTGGTTTGTAGTGGTATATATTGATGAAAATTGTTTTTAAAAAATTCTATGTTTGTTGGCTATTATCTAAAAATAATTTTGAACAAATGTTTTGGATCTGGGTGAGCAATTAAAGTCAATGATAGATATACATAAAATCACAATTTTTAAATTATTATTATGATTATAATAATCCCATGTCATTATTACAATCCTCAGATTAAAGACAAACCATCCAGACACCACTTCAAGGAGCAACCTCTCACAATGGTTCTGCAGACTTCACAACGATGTCAGTAGGAGGTTAAGCAAACCAGAGTTTGACTGCTCAAAGATCGACGAACGATGGTTGGATGGCTGGAAGGATGGGTCATGTGACTGGTGACATCATTGTGACATCATCATATTTATGGACCAATGGATGTCGAGAATATTACTTGTTATAAATGATGTGGCTATTATACAAAGAGTACTCTGGATGGAATGTGTGTGGGGATCTGTAAGCAACGGGATTTGGACAAAGAATGTGGATGCAGAAACTGGATCAAGCCAATGGTATAATCAAGGAGCTTTTTCTTCAAGAGTACCGTAACCGAAGCTGTGACATCATAAAAATCTATTTTTAGAATTTCTCAATTTTTTTTTCATTTAAAAAAAAAGAGCATCAAAAATAATGTCTGAATGTCGAAAACCAATTGAATATATTAAGTATTGGCTGAGATATGACCATCTGAATAAATATATGTCCTATGGGAACTCAGTGTTATAGTGCTCTGGTTCCTAATGTTATGAAAGATGCCTGAATTAATAGAGCAATACATTTGGGCCTTGATTCTGGTGAAATTGGTTGTGGATGGTATCCAATCAATATTTCTCTTGGACTTGGCCGGAAACTGGTGCATGCACTGTGAGATTTGTTCCCTTGGAAAGTGATCATTATCAATTTTATGACAATGCGATGATAAAATCTGAAAATCCTACTCTTTAAAAAATTATGGAAAAGACTAATAATAATAATGATAATATTTATTTTAATTTTTATATAGCGCTTAATACAAATGTCTCTAAGTGTTTTACAAATATACAATTACCCTGGCCATTGGATTCAGTGCTTGCCCGCACACAATGTGTGCACAATCACCACTCCCTGGGGAGCATTCCAGCCAGGCATTACCATGACGCTCAAAAACTGTTTGACCAATTTAACACCTGGGTGGGGAGTAGCAAGTGCAGGTTAATGTCTTGCCAAAGGATATTAGTGCCGTGTCGGGATTCGAACCCTTGACCTTAGCATCTCCAAGTCAAGCGCCTTAAACCACTCGACCACGACACTCCCATAAGATACAGTGGAACCTTGGTATAAAGAGTTCTGATATAATAAGGTATATGTTATAATAAGGTGATTTTGCTGGTCCCAGTTCTTTATAGTCTTTTGTTTTTTACCCAGATATAACAAGATTCCTGTTATAACAAGGTAAAAATTTCCTTGGTCCCAAGGACCTCGTTATAACGAGTTTCCACTGTATTTCAGCTACTTTCCACACACCTGCAAAGAACTAGACAGCCATTATTACCATCGTTAAGAATTTGCATTCTTTTATTAAAGCATTCTTTTTACTTAAAGCAGGTACATATGAATACAGCATTAATGGTAGCTTACAAAAATATTGCTTATAAACATTTCTTCATATAAAGCTTAGAAAATGGCAATATAACAGTAAAAATATTTAATGCCCATCCGCCTGATGATAGCCGTTTTGGGATCTCGTCGGCTCATTAGAATTACATCTCCACTCGAAAATTGATTTTAAAAGAATAGCACCCACATATTCTGAAAGCTGTATATATCTTTAAAACTCTTTGCTCTTATGTTTAGATTTGATAATGCAGATTGTTTTATAGAATGTTTTCATTTGTATATCAAAATCACCATGTAAATTAATTTAGCATTGTTATATCACATGAAAAGAAAGACAAGTAAAATGAAATGCCCAACTTATCTCATGACAGATATCCAAACTCTTTCAAACCAAATCAGGTACATTTACCTTCCGGAGAAACCTTTATGAGGATGTCGTACATGTATGTTTTCTATGCATGTTCTCATAATCTTGGCGTTCGATTATATTCCGGTTAGACAACTAGATTCAGAATCATCATCAAGTATATTTGTGCTAGGTAACCACATCAGGGTAATGTAAAAGTGATGTCAAGAACTTGAAAACAAGTCTTCATATTTGATCCTTTTACTAATCAAAATGCAAATGATTCAAATCATTGATGTAGTTGGTACTGATTGGCCTACTGACGAGGAATAAGTATTTAGGGCGAGCTTTCGGATCGTAAAGAGCAAGTTTAGTTAATGAAGTATGCATACATACAAATCTAAAACATCATTAGATGTCTACATTACTTTAATTTTGCTTCATTTTCAATTCATAATTTTGAAATGCTCATGACATCCTTGTAGGTACATGATTTACAAACCCTGCAGGGAGACTCGACCTTTTCTATGTATGGTCTTTCTAGAATTCTGATTCTCTTCTTTTGCTATGCAAATTTTTACTGTATATTACTGTGTTTACAAATCATGTGATAGAGCATTAATATATTTATATTCTGAATTGAATCATCAGAGAAATTAAAATCTCAAAAAAGACATTTTAATTTTCTCAAAGCATTATCTGTGTAATGTTTAAAGCTAATGGTGTGCATTTCATCAATAACTGGTTACAGCAGGGAAAAAGATGGATGATATGTCTCCAATAAGCCAGTTCGTAAATAGCTTTGGAACGCATGACCTCAAAATATCCACAGCTCTTTCACAAGATGGATACGTCCATATGGTGCTTCATGAATACCTTTTGTTTGCCTCTTGAGAAGAATACTTCCACCTGTTTATCAGATAAATGTACTGTCGGTGCATAAATGAATACTTATTAACGGTACATAGCTTTCATGAGCACGATACCAGTATTTGTCTCAATGGGTTTTACAATTTGGGAACGAATGACCTACATGTATATCTGCCCATGCGCAGATAGTATTTACGAACTAGCTTTATATACACAGCTGCAATTAATATTCCAGGCAAAGCAGTTCCGTAGCTTGTAGCTTAGTCCCGCCCAGCCTGATTGATGTCCTGTCAATCTGGCATCATGTTGAGGTTGAAGAGATGACGCATGGTAGGGCGACCATGGGGGCAGTTCTGGTAAATGGAAAATAAGCAAGATTGTGTTTCTGGATTGTTGATAAATGTGAAGTTCGGAGAGTAAAAAACTTGAGGTATTTAAAGTGAGACTTGCATTAGAACATGTGCATGTAGAGCTAGGGAGGGAAAAAAACAGAAAGATGTTCTAAAAGCAGTATGACACGAGAGAGGGAGAAAGAGATAGAGTGGGGGCAAACAAACAGAGAGAGAGACAAACAGACATACAGCAACACAGATGAGACAAATGGAGAGAAAGACAGTGACAGACAGACAGTGACAGACAGACAGCGGAGAGGGACAGAGAGAGAGGGAGAGAGAGAGTGAGTATAACTGATAAGATAGGAAAGGTTGAAATAAGAAATGGAAGAGAGAGAGACAAATGTTCTGGGATTCAGAGAAGAAAAAAATAATTATTACAAAAACAAAAAACAGAAAGATACAGAAAGACACAAATAATACAGTTATTTTCTATTCATGTTGATACAATTCTATGAATAAAAGCTCAATTATAATAAACACTTTAAAGGTCTAGGGGCAACATATTTTACCATGTTTAATACTGAACTGTTGTAATATCAAGGGCTAAAAACAATAAAATACATCAGCACATAAAAGAGGGACTAACAAAATGACCTTTTTATAATGAGAGTTGGTTTAAAAAAACTATTTGTACTTACCCAAGGCTGTTCCAATTCACCCATGTGACAAACCAGCTGTAAAAACATAAACAATGTATGAACAGAAAAGATTAATGGTTGCAAAATACTTTTGTAACATATTAATTTTCATCAATTTGTTTTGTTTTCTTTGTTACGGATTATGAAGTTTTACAAATGTCATGGAAGGAATACTGATGAATAATCACACTCTGAAGCTGTTTGTCTCACACTCATGAGAGGGAACGGCACAAATTAACAGAAAGCTGATAGTGGATAAAAAAAAACGTAATCCGAAAGAATGTTTCACCTTCTTCATCTCTGCTTTGTTGAGGGCGGTGCCAATCATGATGGACTTCCGACACGACCTGGAAGCAAACATCTGACGTACCTTGGTGGGTCTGCAGTGAACACCCTGCAAATCATAAAGAGAGAGAGAGAGCGGTTCCAATCGGGATTCAATTAATGTTTCAGTTAAATAGTAGTAATTGCAATCATGTTTATTTTTGGGGAAAGGGTTGATTTTGTCAGCTCATCACACTATATAAAAAATTAAGAAGTGATAACCAATTTACTATTTTCTCCTTCCTAAAAAGTAAAAAAACAAAAAACCGTCACCAAGGAAATCCCCAATCCTAGGTGTTCAAGTTAGCGGATTATGGCCTTCAGCACATGAAAGCTGACGACCCACTGGCTTAAAAGTCACTAACCACTGAAGCATAATGCAGCTCCAGTGACATGGGTAAGTGGATTCTAATGTCCTAACACAGTTGTATGACACATGCTCCTGTTATGATTAATGTGTTTTAAATTCCTATACTCTCAGAGTCCTTGACTTAAACCTTGGACCCACTACTTTACATCACACTAACCCTTAAACCCAAACCGACCCTGACTCTACCTCTAAACATTTGATAAACTAACGCCCAAAGTATTTGTTGCTGGAGCAACAGTCAGATCATTATTATTATTAGCTTCATGAACTCACAGGTGCATCACTGAGCATGAATATGAGTTCATCGATATCATCCTTGCCGAACGTCCAGTTCTTACTAAAGGGCTGCGACACTAGCTTGACCCTCTCCGTAGGACGACCTGCAAAGACAACAAATAAAAAGCTCTTATCTTCAATAACATATCTAGCCAAATATGTTCTGGTGGCAACCTGTATAGAAAGACCACCTGCATATAAAGTCCACACTTTTGTTTCACTTTAAATCGACTGACCATGTTTAACCGACACATAAAGACCCCCTTGACATAAAGACCACTCATATTCATCGGTTCCACTGTATTTTTCTTTCTCTACCAAGGTTTGGTCTTGAGCTTTAGTTCACACTTTTAAATAACTACGTTTTCATTAAATCCCCCCACACTTTGGAAAAACAAAAACAAAAACTTTACACTTGAGAATAAAGGGAAATTGCATAATGAACATCATCCTAGCCAAATTATGTACAATACATATATACAGGTGTTTTTAATATGTGCATATAGAAAGAGAAAGTAGAAAAGAACTGCACTCACCATCCTCATCAATGATGAAATCAAATCCATTCTTCTTGAAGATCTCCACATCATCCATCAAGATGGACTCATTCACAGCAGTCAGCTCTAAAGGTAATGGTCTAGATGGGTAAGAATCAGATAAAGGATATCATTAGGAGGCGCGATAGCTCAGTCGGTAGAGCAGTGGTCTCGTGATCCGGTGACCCGGGTTCGAAACAAAGTCGATGCGCTAGTGCCCTTTGGTAAGGCATTAATCCTCATTACCAGGTTCCTCAGAGAGGACCCAAAGCCCTCGGCCGTCTGGTTGCTGACTAACAAGCATTTATGCTTTCTTAGCAGCCAGGTAAAATAACCACCACCATTCATCATTAGTTAAATCAGTTGAAAGTTTGACATTACTATAATAATAATAACATCTTGTTGTTGTCGTTGTTGAGATTCAGATGGTGCTCTTCAATCTTCTAAGATTATCTGCGCCACAAAATTAATTACAAGTCATGATGAGTCCTTATAAACTATAATAATAATACTAATAATAGAACAGTTGTTATACATGTATATGGCATTATACCCTTGTAAATAGTGTGTTATCATCTACTTTGCTCAAAGAGTTATGGATCACATGAATCACAAGACTCCTCAGAGTCATGATGGTACAAGGTTCCTTTACAAAAAAAAACCCAAATAAATATTTTAATTGAGACAAAATTACACACAATGGTGAGAAAATAAACAAATATTTGGGAATCTACATATTATACAGTATTATACATCTCAAATATAAGCAGGAAAGAACTACTTTTAATCTAAGAAAGAACAGTTGCTATCTTACTGAATAAGTCTTTGTCCTTGTAGTACTGTGTGTTTCTGCAAAGTCTCAAAATTGTACTTTTCATCAGTGGCATGCTGTATGGGGACAAGATAAACATACAGACACATGATATGGTTGTCAATTCAGAGAAAAGATGTTGATCTATAAAGTAAAACTCTTTGTACGTGGTGAAGAGATTCATTCATTATAGAAAGAAAAATAAAACTGTTTATCAAGTATCTGATCTTTAAACTCATAGTAACCCACTTTGAAAATAATAAGATACAATTGCAGACAAAAGGTTAATAAAATGTTCAATCAGAATATTTAAATGACGACAAACTAAATGTATCATCATGGAGTCAATACTCAAAAGAAAAGAGGAGAGAGAGAGGGAGAGAGAGATGATCAGTGATATTTTGGTGACTCTAAATGTTACTTTGGCCCTGCAATGTCTACATACTTTTCTTTTTCAAAAACAGAGCTCTATTTCAATTTTCAGGGCATTTTAGAGCTTTACAGATTAAATCACTAATCTCTCCTCAGTATTTCTTTGATGGAGTAGACAAACATATAGACTGACTGAGAGAGGGTGGTCTTCCATTACCTGATCAATGATGAATAGATCTTGTCCTAGCTTGGCAATGATGAATCCAAGATTGAACTGACCAAGAATCTCCATTTTGGAAAACATATCCTTGCTGAGAGAGAAAAGTGGTAAACAGAGGTAAGGAATGGTTAACAGTAAATGTGAGTTTGTCTAGCGGCACGTTCACTTGGTCAGCTCTCTGTCTTTGCCTACAAACTGGCTCAGGCGACCTGGTTCGAAAATAAGTGACATCTTTCGGATGATGACGTTAAAGGTCGGTTCCCAGACGTAAATAATCATATCTGATTGAAACACGTCTGTAAAACCCAATTATACATGCACACACACAATATCCCTGTTTGATTTCTGTAATATATCAAATGACATTCCAACGCACAGCTTTTATTGTCTGCTGAGAATTGTGGTAATAACTTCACAAAGATAATGAAGAGTCCTTCTGGTTCTTTACCGACAAAGTGCTATATTTGTGTTCAGATCTTCTCACAGAGGAACAGTGTTTTGTCAGTGAAATACAATAATATATTGATATAACAACACCAACCATGTCAATTACATTATAAATTATATTCTTTTTTATGCAGCTACCTTCTGTTTATAACTTAAATAAACTCATGATTACTGTTTAGAAAGTATTTCATTTTGTACCTGATTTCTCTACTAAGCTCCTCTTCAGCCGAGGCATTGTCCGAAGGAGCAATCTTGGCTCGGAACGTCCGACCAGCAATGCCTTCCTCTCTTTCTTGCGTCTCTGAAAAAACAGATTCAAAAGTAAATATTTTTTTATAAATACATATTTAAATATTTTGTTAAGCCACAGAGTCATAGCTAATAGGAAGATAGGTTGCATAGAAATGTCATCTTGCATTTTCTATACCTTCAATCAAAACGATTCATTGTCTTCAAAATGAAGTTATTGTATGTGAGGGTAAAAGATATTCTCCTAAAAAAAAGACATAGCAACATCCAAGCAAGGCTTATTCACAGGTTCTTCAATAATGTCTTCCATTAAACCTTTTCATCTCCATCCAAGTAAATTGTAAAATGAATCCCCTTCCTTCTCTTTTGTTCTTCATGGTTTATAAAGTTTTTTGGGTGTGCCATTTGGGGCTCACCAAGTGTAACGTAGTACTGTAGCAAACCTGGCAAACTATGGAGGGACTGACCAATGCACTGACTAGAGATTCCACAACTGATTGTCAAAGACAAACTGGAACATGTTCTGGCTGGAAACTTACCAAGCTCAAACTTTATATTAATCTACTGCTTGACTATCCATCCTCCAGTAGATTATAGACTCCATACAATATATAGGATTCTAAGAGTTTTGCATCTAAGCATTTTTCAACAAATATTAATTATCTATTTCAGAGAAGAATGTACCTGTAAAAAAAGGAAGGCCAGTACATACCTCTTTGTTCTCGAGCCCTTCTGAGACCAGCTAAGGACAAGGGAACAGTGACCTCTCTTCTCTGACCGGAATCAGATGATGAAGGAGTGCTGTCATCCTGACAGAAAAAAAAAGCCTTAATTTAAGCATTCATGGATATAAGTATATGAGACAACATTTGAGATTAACATGTAGCATATAAAGAATCTACGTCAAGTGAGATTAGGAGGTTACATTATTACATAACAAACTACAATTAACTTTGTAAGTTTTGTTATTTCTGTCACATAACACACAGATTTTGCAGTGTCAAGTCAGAGAGAGATATTTAGAAACTACTTCCAGAATGAAGCATCGAAAAATGACAAAATAATGGAAAAATTGTGGCAAACCGATGGAAAAATATTTGATATGTAATGGTAAATCAAAAGAAACTACTCACCATCCTATGAATGAGTATTCTATGGGTCTCTCCATCCTCTATCGCACTTCCCACGTCTGTAGAGGTACAATGCAATCTGTGTTCCTGTGTCTCTTGACTGGGTTCCTGACTGCTGTTGGTCTGACTCTCCTCACTAGACCTTATCCCACTGCTGCCACCGGTTGAAGATTCACAGAAACCGCTCTCACCGTCTGACCTTAACAGGGCCACTCCTGGAGACAAACAGTCCTCCACTTTATGCGATTCCCCAGTCTTGCTCCCTTCATCAGTGCATAAGGAGTCATGTAATTTGTTTCTTAATGGCGAGATTCCTACTTCCTCAGTTTCAACACGTGAGGGAGGTATACTATGTTGGAGAGAAATGATAGGACTTTTGCCATTTGCGATACCTTCAGGTTCAGTTCTGCAGTTTTCAAATGAAATTGTACAGGAAGGTACAGTGTCACTGAAAGTCTCTGAAGACTCCCTCTCATCAAAGGTCGAAGGAATTCTGTCCACAGAATCTGACCTATTGGTCAATTCTTGGGAACTTTGAAAGAAGGCATCCAGTTTGGGCTCTATAAAGAATGAATCAATGAATCAATTACCTCAATGATAGAAAACACGCTTCCACATTGTTAGATACAGGATATGTTTGTGAGCTTTAATTAATCTGAAAGAAAGGCATCACAATTTCCTCATGTCTTTGATCCAAGAAGGATGAAAGGTCTTTTCATTTTACAGCCTAACTTAATATGCAGGACTCCCGATCCTGCCCCCTCTCACATGGTGCTACCATTAGTCTTACTGTATAACTAAATATTGTATTTTAAACTATTGTAATCTTCATTAATATTCATTATGGTGCTTTACTAAACAAACGAAGAACAACAAACAAATCAGCAATGATCAAGGAATGCTACCTGTTCAAACAAAGCATCCATAAATCAAATAAAAAAGACTCACGTTTTGGTTGCCTCTCTTCCTCCCCATCGTCCTGGTGACTTGCATGGGCAAATGATCTAATAGAGAATAGATACAGGGAAAAAAACAATGTGAAGGAATCGCAGGAATTGCAGGACACCAGGCAGTGCAGCTAAGAAAACGTGGGACTCAGACTGATCACTTAGCTTGAGAAAGTCCACAGGAGTGGACAAAAGCTTGCGCCACAAATTTCAAGGTTGGTAGAAGCTTCAAAAACTACATTTTATCATTATCCCCAACCGATGAAAGTTTTCTGTATCAATATGAAGGAAATTTGATTTGTAAATAGGTTTTCCAAAGTCTGTTTTGGATTCTTTAATTCACTGCTTGAATGGAGGACAAATTAACTTTAGTTTACTATTGCTTTAATTATTTCTCTAGAAATGTTGTTCCTTAATATAAAATCTTGAGTGGGTTTGCTGTTAAAGAAAAAAATCTGTCATAAGAATATAGTTTGAAGAAATGGTGACAGTGTATGTACTCTGATAATAAAATACAGGGTAATTCCTACAGCTCCCAATCAGGAGCTTTTAAAGTTTCGTCCTTCAGAGACGAACAAACTACATAGAAACTCGCAACATGAAAACAGCTCCGGGAAAACAATAAAAGTGGCCTTTTCAGGAAGATGGTCTTTATATACAGGTTTCCTCAAATACAACTTTCAAGGAGAAACACTGTTCAAGGAAACACAGAAGTTGTCCTTACAGATGAATCATCTGACAATGTCTGATGGAAGCCACTGGGGCATTAACTTGTATGAATCATCACCTTTCTGTCTCTCACAAGTATAAAACACGCTTGCTTACAATATATTCTATCAGCTGACAAAGTGTTGCAGCGGTGCACGAAACGTCATGATCTTTTAGATCCCTTGACCATACATTCCAAGACAAACGAAAATCACTAGAGATATTATTTCCGATATATATGTTGCTGCTAGATGATCAAAGATCAGGTTAGACTCAATTACCTTTTGAGGTTGCCCAAGTTGAGAGTCCCAGCTCTTTTGCCCTCCCTCTGACTGCTCGGCCTGAAACATGGACTGCCTTGACTGCTACTGAACTGGCTACAGCCCAGACTACTGGCCGGACTACTGACTTGACCAGTGCTTGGACTACCGGTGCTAGTTTGACTACTGCCCTGGCTGCTGCTTGGACTGCGGCTGAACATATTGGACAAGGCCAAACTGGACGGAGTGACCGCTGACAGGGGCTTTTGGTTGACATCGTAACAGGAGGACCGTGGCTCGAACATGGCTTTCAGAGATGCCTGACAGAATGTGAACGAAAGCATAACATAAGCACAGTCACATAAAAAACCTACAGCCCTATAGCGGTATATGCTACTATAACAACTCCCTACGTGAGGGCAAGTGGTGTAAAAGCCTGTGCCATCACTGGTAACAAGAAGACAGCACCTCCAGACCTACATGTTTAGGATTCCATAGTTATCATATAGAGTTAACCAAAATAAATTTATTGCCATCATAGCTCGAAAGAACAATCAATATTGAATATTTTTTTAATAGTGCGAGGCAGGGAATCAAAAAGGCCCAGAAATAAAAGTGATATTTATCATAAATATTTATCACAAAATATACTAAAAGTTTGTTATCATAAATAAATATTTATCACAAAATATACTAAACGTTTGTTATCATAAATAAATATTTATCACACAATATACTAAAAGTTTTTATTTTCAACATCTGATAAAATATACACCTAATAATGCATTGCTCATCCATAGGCAAACAGACAAAAAAAACTTCATTTCCTTCTCCCTGGAAATGATAATGATATTCATCATGTTACCTTGAGGATAGCTAGAAGTGTTTTCTCCTCCTGCACCAGTACTTTCCTCTTATCGGGTGTGACGTTCACATCCACCGCATCTATGAAGATATATATTCATTACATAACAAATTAGTATCAAGGATATAAATGATGTTCTTAATTCTTATCATAGAATGGATTCAAATTATTACAGCCATTACAGGAAAGTTGTACCTTAAATATTGCTCAAACCAACAGAAAAGAAAGATCTCAGAAAAGACCTGAAGGCCACAGAGCTCCCACGTTTGCAATGAGCCCCTTCACCCCACACACACACACACACAAAAAAAAGGCAAAACAAAAAGACAAAACAATCTGGGCACCCAGCCACAAAAAATGATCTGGAGGTGGAACACCAATCCATGATGGTCAAAATCATATCTTATCATTGTCTGACTGGAAAACTGTGTGTTCAAATTCCTAGCCTAAACACAAATCCAACCCATGAAAACGTACAAATGAGAATGAAATGTTTTACTTGATCCTAAAAGTATCTACAATATCAATCTGTCTGACCATAAGCATGTAAAATTTGTGAAGGCTTGCAAGAATCTATGAAATGAAACAAAGTTTTATTGCATACTGCACAATTCATTGTATATAATTCAGAGAAAGAAATAAAATCTTAAGGCTCATTAATATATAATGTAGTAAACCCTGGCAGTTTTTTTCATTGTTATCATGATGTATTAAAGCATATCGTCGGTGGGGTGACAAAACCTTGTATCTCAAAAATCATGAATTTTCAGGAGAGCGCAAAAACCTTTCCTGTCTCAACAGATTTAGTGCTGTGACACTGTCCTTTGTTTGGAATTTGTGAAAAAACCGAGACAGGAGGCGTTCCATGGATTTATCAGGTGGTGTCGTAGGCCATTAGGTACAAAATTATGCAGAAAAATCAAAATCTCAAAAAATTGAGATACGAGGTTTTGTCACCCCACCGACGATATTACACTTCCTATTTTCCTACATATATCACACAGATAATTAATATGCATATAAGGCCTTTGCAGCTCCCATTTTTACCATTCCTACTTGCCATTTATTTTTCTTGTAGTAAAGAACCCCCACGAAAACCATAAAATAACCATACAAAACTCAGTCACACTACCATTTATTAGACTATGCTTTTTAACAAACCTTTAGCAAGTGAGATATCCATAACAACAAATGGGAACTGATGTCTGTTGTACATGTGGAAGACTTCATTGATCAGCTTGCTAACCTACAAAATATGAAACAAAGATATTCATGAAAGTTTCTCTCTTTGCTTGAAGTTGATGCCACTTTGCTTCACATTTATACAGTCAACTTTTCTTTTTGATCAAGTACTAGTACGTGTTTGTCAATGTAATTTTGGAATACTGTTATGTCTACTACTATTTCTCTTTTTAATGTTTTCTTATGAATACTGCAATGACCGAAAGTGAAAGACTACACTGTAAAACGCAAAATAAAAACATTACATACACACGTATCACATATTCTGCGGATTCTAAAAATTCACTCTAGTCACTCCTTATGTTTAATACAACTGAAGAATAAAGACTATTCAAATGAAACTTAGTTTTTTGCCCAAATTTCATGAGACATTCCTTTTCTACTTGAGATTTCTCAAGTTTCAAACGGTTTCTCCCCAAACTATGTAGAATAGTATGCATGCTGAGTATCCCCCCCCCCCCTCACCCCCCTCCCCCCCAAAAAAAAAAATTAAAAAAATCATATTTTAATGGAAATACTTTACAAAATAATATACTCTACTCTCCATGGAGAATACATTTCTAATTTTTGTTTTAATTGACAGAGGAACAAACCTTAGGAAAGTCACATGGTCTCCTATTGATGAAGTAGTACTGTCTATCTGCTGCACTGCGGCCCTGACCATGATCACACTTAGACACAAAACCAGATACACTGTTCATAAAAGAAACAGAAGTTTAAAGGATAAAAACTACTATAATTGTACAGCACAACTCAAAGAAGATCACCTTTGCATATTTCTAAATTGATACTAGTGTTTCTATAGCAGTGAGAAAGAGGGCCACAATCACTTAAATATATTCAGTGCTTCCATTATCCGAATCGTTCTGTACATTCATTTGAAGGGTAAAATAATAACAATAATAAAAACGGTGCTTATAAAGCGTTTTCCACCAGTCTCTAAGCGCTACCTGTATACAACATAGGATAGAATAATAATCATTGGTCAAGACACATCATTAGGGCTCATATAAAATATTATCCATGAGAAACATATCAATATAGTTTGTATAGAGAAATCTGACTGTAATTTGAATTTGAAAAAAAATATTTGAATACTCCCCTAAAACAGCAATACAGAAATAGATAGTGCAACTGCCTCAGCAGGCTATTTTTTCATATTTCGAAAACATTTTCTGACCTGAAAGGGATCTTCTCGAGTCGTTCAGGTTTGATGCCATACTCTTCGCACATTTCGGGGGTTGGCCTGCACTGGTCAAACTCCAAGAGACTCTGTATCTACAGTGTACAAAGATTGCACAAAGAGCATTGGTTTAGTAAAGCCTGTCCCTGATTTGTAGCCAAATCAGCCTGTTTTTACAGTATACTCATACCTTTTCATTTCCATTTTAAAACTTTTACCACAATTTATCTAAATGTATTGATAAGAAACTATTTGTTGGGATTTCTTTAACATGGTTATTGTGATCATACTATAAGATGAGTAGCAACCTTATTGAGGATACTTTTGATACGTTAGATAATAGGGGTACATTTTCTACATTAATATCTTCAATGTAATTCAAATTTCAAGTTATGGTGATATGTATATATATACATAGAATGACGGAGATATACAGAGAAGAGAGCGAATAAAAATACAGAGTGATTGACAGAGACAGATTGAGAGACACAGTGAGTGAGTGTGTGTGAGAGAGAGAGAGAAAAGACAGACAGACAGACAGACAGAGACAGAGACAAACACATAGATGGGAAGAGGCCACATACCTGCTTGGATCCAAAGACATTAGCAACGTTTTCTCTCATCGTTGAGGTCCCATTGGTAGATACAACCAAAGATTTCTTCCTGTAAAAAAAAAGCATAAAAACATAATACAGTCAGACCTGCTTTAGTGACCACCTGTCTACAAAGACCACATGTCTTCAAAGGCCATTTTTGTGTTCCCTTGGGCGGTCACTTTAGACAGGTTTTTATTGTACTACAAATAATGGCCATTTAAGCTGAGCTATAGTACACTAAGAAGTACCATAGTGCTTACAATGTTATACACATAAGAAAAGGACACAAAACAACTAGCTCTGTGGAAAAAGATGGGTCTTCAGTTTTGTTTTAATGTGGACAGATTTTCTATTGTACAACATTATATTAAAACAATGAAACTTTGAAAAGATACAACTCACCTATTCCTAATAACTTATATGAAATTTTAGTTTTACTAGGCTTTGTGTTTGACACTGTAGGTTGACTTTAAGGTCACATAGAAGTCAGCTCTCATGGGGAATTCGACACCATTCGGGTGTTTACCCAATAACCGGTGTTGTCAATCACCAGTTAGCCTTCAGTTTTATGACCATTCAACCTTATGTAATGCTTCGCTTTTCTCTCACCCGAAGCTCTCCGAGCGATTAGGGGGTAATTATTGACTGGCCAACAGGTTTGCTGTGTGCAGATTTGTACTCCCATTAATGGTATTTCCACCAAGTCTGGTGTCAGCGAATTATGGCCTTCTGCACATGGAAACTGTCGATTCAGTCCCTTTAACACCTATGTAGTCCCATCAAGAAATAACCTTAAGTCTCTTGGGGAGTCTTAGGGTGAGGGAAACGTAAGATAATGACTTTACCATATGGGGGAATGGGTGGAAAATTCAGAGCATTACATATTAGACACATTAATCATAAACTTGGTGATTGACAACACCTGTAATTGGGTAAACACCCGAATGCTGTCAAATTCCCCATGAGAGCCCACTACTTTGTGTCTTTTATAAGCAACCTCTTTTAAAGTCAAGGTGTGCATATTTGCTGCTTGATAAGGTACATACCCTTTGTCTGTTTGGTTTGTGCATGTTAACTTGACTCCTGACGCAATGATGCAGTACGCTTGTAAAACTTGAACCATCTTGGTGAACTCCTAGGAAATAGAGAACACAAAATCAAATTAATGTTAGTTTTATCATTCAAACACAGACAACGCCGACAAAACCACCAGATAAAATGATTCATTGGCAACTGGTTAGTTAAACAAAACAATGTCTACTTTATGCCCCAAACCACCATATTTGGCACAACTCTCTACACATTCTTGCATAAGTGTATCATTAATACAGCTAGCAGCTTGAACAATTTGCAATTTTTTAATCTCAATTGATGACAGTTTAAATCTGACCACAGTCATAGTGTAAATATCACAACATCAAATTATATCTGTGAGAGAGAGTGAAGTGTATGACCATAATATATACTTTGATTATGTTTGGAAAAATTGAATGCATGACCAAAAAATAATCCTAAACCTGAGATAAATCAATGGTCTATCGCTAACTGAGCAAGACATTTTATGCAGCGGAGCAAATCGTAAATACCTTTTTCAAGTTTCTCTGGAATTCCTTGTGTCTGACTGGAAGGGTGGAGAAGAGATTCTGAAGTGTAACTGTTGTACCTTGCTGTAATCAGAAAGTGAGAGAGAGAGAGGGGGTGAAGGGAAAGAGAGAGAGGGGGAGAGGGGAAAGAGAGAGAGAAAGAGAGAGGGGGAGAGAGAGAGAGAGAGTTGGAGGGAGGGAGGGCGAAAGAAAGAGAGAGAGAAAAAAAAAGGAAAGAAAGTGCAGTAACAAACATGGGAATTGATCATATTTATCCATATTTGTTTTCTAATAATGTCAGCAAATTGTTATCACAATAAGTACTTCAGTATACATCGACTTGTACAAAATTATCCTGAATTTTAATTTTTTTAATTTCAGTTTTACACAATGGAATCCGACTTCCTTTAAAGTAACTGACAGATCCAGGATGGTTGGTTGAGGGGAGGGGGTGGTGCACAAGTTTGACAATTTTCTGACAAGCAAAACAAGAAAGAAAGAAAAAAAAAACAGAAACAAACAAACAAAAACAAAAATAAATCAGGTTATCAGATTTCGGGTTATTATTATTAATTTTTTTTTTTTAAATAAATAATAATTAAAATTTCTCTGAAAAGTTTGGTTATGATGTGGATGACATTTATTCATTCATACCTGTCTAGGGCAAGGTACTTGTTTGAGGATCTTGCCATCATGATCATACACCAGCTTGGTTCCCACTGAAGCAGACCGGTGACATGTCACTATAGTCAGGTCACTGCAAACAAAGGAAAGTGTGTCATTCAATGTAAATAGGGTAACCACTCAGAAGAGTGATACTTCCTGGTATTGTCTTACTTGATTTTCATTGAAAATATAGCTAAAATTGTCAATAAATCACTTCACTAGGGCTCTCTTTCTACTTCCTGAAACATATGATTAGATACGACTTATGTAAGAAAGGAGAGATCTTTTGGAACCAGCACTATCTTGAAGGACACATAATAATAAAGTTCCAGTGATGATCCTATATCAAACTAATCTGATCTAATTTAATCTTATCTAATCAAATCTAATCTCATCTCAAGAAATCTAATCAAACCTAGTCAAACCTAACCAAATCTAACCTAATATAATTTACTCTAATAAAGTAAAATATAATTCAATCTAATCTGATCTCATCTAATCTAATAGATTCAAAACTAATATAATACAATTTACTCTAATCTGACCTGAACTAATCTAGTCAAATTTAATCAAATACTTCACTCAGATCTGATCTAAAGTAATCCAGTCAAACATAATCTAATCTTATATAATTCAATAAAATCTAATCTAATCCAATTATCTAATCTCATGAAACCTAATCTTATCAACGACAGGTGTATCAGTGATCCTACCTCAGTGCACAGAGTGAGCTGAGAGCCTCTCCTCTGAAACCAAACGTATCTACAGTGCTCAGGTCTGAGAAATCATGAAGCTTGGATGTGTGGTGCTTCAAAACTAATCTAATCTGATCTAATCCAAACCTAATCTTATCAACGACAGGTGTATCAGTGATCCTACCTCAGTGCACAGAGTGAGCTGAGAGCCTCTCCTCTAAAACCAAACGTATCTACAGTGCTCAGGTCTGAGAAATCATGAAGTTTGGATGTGTGGTGCTTCAAAGCTGATCAAGATATAAAAACAGATATTGATGAATTTAGGTTTTTTCTGCAATATGCAAGCTGCAGTATGCAAGCTGCAGTATATAAAGCACAGAGAACAAAGTTCAAAATAGAAGTGGGGTATATAAAATACCTTAACGAGAAGTGTAGGAGAAATGGAGAGAAATTGGGAGAATAAAAAGGGGGATGATAGAGGGTGGAGAGAGAGAGAGTGAGAGAGTGAACACAACACATTTCAAACAATCTCTCTTTAGTAGATTTTAAAAATGTAAATAATATATAGAGATAGATTTTAAATACCTACACATGTATAATGTTAAATGTTACCAATACTGTTTGAATGAATGATTGTAACAAATGAAATATAATATTATTTAATGGAGCTCATGTTTATGTAAACATGCACAATTCAGCATTTTGGCTGCGAGGCATTGTTTTTTAATAAAACCATTATTGAATTGAATGAATTGAACTCATCTTAATACTACCAGGTAATCAGACCTCTACTCCCAAAGTAAAAAGTGTGAAAAAAGCATTGTTTAAAGCCGGGGATGTGAAAAAGACAAAAAGTTATAGGGAGGATTAGAAGCATTTAGTGCTTACCATGTCCTTGTTACCAGTTTCTATTTTTAAATGTTGACTTACTGAGTCCTGAGAAGTTGCATTCCTGTACTCCTGAAGCATTGTCAGATACCTCCAGACTCTCACCGCCATAGTCCTTCAATTTGATTTCTACAATAAAGAAAACAAAATATAGGTTTACTGTTATATATTAATTTCTGGCATTTGTGAGAGAATAAAAACAAGTTTGGTCTTAAATACTAAAGCTCACAGAATAAAAGAAAAAGAATAGCCAAACAACAGTTTTCCACTGGAACAATAGAAAGGAGTTTTGCAACAATTACTTCCTTTCCACATTTCTACTTTGTAATGTTTTGTGTTGGTGTAGTAAAAATTAACATTTCGTATGTTTCTGAAGAAAAAAAATTAAATTGGTATTTGCACTTTACATGAAGCAAAGACATAAATAAATTAGTTTCCTTGAAAAAGAGAGCAATTTAGGGTATGAAAATTTTAACAATTGATGAATAAAGAGAGAATGATATCACATCCCCACAACCAAGTTATAAATTTGTCTCCAATTCATCAGTCATCATGTTAACAAAGACAATCATGAATCCCATCAGCTGTCTTATCATCTCCCCCATCCTTTTTGTTTGGGGGGGATCTGTTTTTCTTAGTAGTTTTTTATGTTTATTAGAAAGCAATTTCTTTTTGGGCCAATGTCCTCCATATCATTAGTTTAATAAGTACACTTTTTTAAATAATTGTTTTAGTTTTATAGAAATTGCCATGATTGAAGGCTAAAATCATCTTCATTATTATTTTGTTGCTGTCTCCTTGCACTCCTTCATACTCTCCTAGTAAGTCCTGTATCCCTGATTTTTTAAAAAGAGGGTCATGCATGATTCCCATGTCTCTTCAAAAAATGTGAAACTTAAGAAAGTATAAAACTTAGAAGGTACATACTGATAATGATTACATTTTTTACAAAATAAAAAGTTAATGGTTTCCAACAAACTCTTAGAATTATTTCTTAATTTCCATTTAAACAGACTCAATACATTTGTGGTACACTTTGCATTTAATTAGAATAGATGCCTGGAGATTGAGAGGGGAAAACATAATTTATATACTAACCAATGATTGTAGCTCCAGCATCCAAACTATTCTCAACAAGTTCTTTGATGGCTGTGGCAAGATTCAGGACAACTTGGCCGGAGCAGATCTGATGGACTGACCGCCGGTCAATCGCCTTCACTTTCCCAGCCACTGCCATGTCTGGTTATTTTGTAACCTGTACATATCAGATGGAAGGATTAATATAAAGAAATGGGAACAACTCATTTTTATAGGGCATGCCATAGACTATAGGTAGTACAGACACCTCCGTTTCTGTATCTGTTTCAGTTGCGTCGGTATATTCAGCCTCTCAGAATTAACTGTACTTCACCAACATTGCCAATTTGTACAAAGTTTATATAATTATAGTTAAAGGAGGGGAAAGAAGACACATAGCTGTGCTATTGCAAATGCAATGCATGGAGTGGACACAATACTGACAAATTAATTTTGTTTAAAACATTGTTTGTCAAAAATGAAATCCTGTAGCCTGTACTCTGTAGATTCTATGTGCCTGTGGGGCTGGCTGTGCGGAAACTAAGTCCGAGTCTAATTTAGTTCAAGACTCTGGACTAAATTAACAGTAGACAAATTTATATCTTACCTAAATTAAGTTTTAAGTAAAGTTTAATCGACTTTATAAGTTTATCATGAAAAAAGTTAATCAAGTTTTAACTTTAGTTTTAGGTCTAGATCTAGATCTAGATCTAATGTTAGATCTAGAAATCTAGGCCTAACAAGTTAGAGGTCTAAAGTTAGACCTAGGTCTAGACCGAAAGCTTCAGTCTCTCTAATCGTCGGTTGTTCCACTGAGACTACGTCTGGCTCCACTAGACCTCCGATTATTGTATTGGGGAATGACAACAAATGTCAGTTTTATTAAAGAAATGACCCAAATTAGATGGTTATTTCTGTCTAACCTAGGTCTAGCCCTAGCTAAAACTTGATCAACTTATTTCACCATAAAGTCGATAAGGTCAGGATATTTACACAAACAATTTCATAATGTTTATTATCTTGATGCATAATGTGAGCGGTTGATCACGATCACGATCATAATAAATTGTTGTTGTTGTTGGGTAATTGTTTATTGGCGTTCATTCAATGTTGAATATATACCTACGCCATAATTATTTTTAATTTTATAAGGAAAATCAGTTATAGGTCTAAATAAGAAAACTGAGGATAAAGATTTGTAATTAAAAAGTAACGCAATTTTTTAGGAGTCTCTGGATGGTTTGCAACTTCGTGTTTCTGCTTTTTTTAAAAGTTTAATCTGGTCAGCCCGGTTTCGATGGCATGGAAAACTAGCTTTGCCCGATCATAATAAAAGAAATGAAAAACAAACAAACCAAACAAGACTGAAAGAGAAGACGCCTCATTCAATAGATGGGACCGAAGCTAAGGTGAGCTTGACCTCAATAGTCGATGCGATGCTAGCGATTATTCACAATTTCAAAGTAAATGAAAGTACCGGTACATTGACGAGAAGAAAATATTTAGACAGACTTACCTTCAACAAGTTCATACAGCTAGTTTGACGTCATTTATCGAATTCAGGAAGAAACATGTTCACTAGTCTACACACTTCAAATTTGGACAGGATCAGGATTCCCCGCGTCAACAAGATACTAGTCTACTTGTCAGACGCGATTCCGTCAAATATATGTAGGTCTAGGCCCTAGACTATATAAAAGAGAATAAATTACAATGTTGTTTTTTTTCTTCCCGCTAAACTCATCAAAAGAATGCTATGATGAATGGATTGAGTGCAATTCCTGACATAGCAACAATGACCACATTATTTTGAGGTTTTGTCCCTAAAGATACTGAAGAGGATCTTTCTCCTTGTCTGGGAGGACAAGCACTTTCATTAATGCTCATCAAACTTCTTGGAAGCAGGCTAGCTTCATCACACCCCCCCCCCCCTAAGTTCTTTTTCAACTTTTATTAAAAAGCAAATATATGTCCCCTTTCCAGGATACCAGCCAACATCTATATGTCACCAATAAGCAAAACAAGACAACAAACAAATGTATTTAACAAATAGTAAACCCAACAAAAAACATACTCAGACTCGATCTCTTTCATCACATATTTATGTATTTATTTGTCACTTTTATATACTACACATTCAGGCATATAAATAAGCACAATTTTAGCATGTATAGGCCTACATTATGCATGAATATAAATAAACTGTCAGGGATTGTTGTACATGCATTATAAGCACCAATAACATACAAATCTTACACTTCTTTCAAAAAGAAAGTTCATACTTATAATTATAATTGTCCAAAAAAATCAAATGTTAAATAATGTTCTAATCTCCTACTATTTTAATTACTGCACTGCAAAACAAAGTTTATTTAACACATTAAAATTTTAAAGTTAAAGTGATAGATGTGCTAAAAAAAGCAGCAACTACATGTATATTGAAATGTTTATGATCATGTATCTCATCCAAAAACGAAGTTCATTTAAGAGACTTGCCAATGATTGGGTGAATAATTACATTTAAGAATACAGTACTAAGACGTTTATCTCATCTTTATTGCTTAATTGCACTGCCTGTATGGCCTTACAAGTACTAATCCACACGGCAAACCGTTCAGCTATATACAGTACTGAATACCTAGCTATATCAAAATAAATACTGAATACACACTTTCATCACATTGCATGCTATATTATAAATATATGTTTCACACCAATAGAGTTACATAGTAAAATATACTTCTTATTCAGCCACAGAGATATAGAGTTGACTTTGGTGACAAGCTTTGTGCATATTTGAGCTACATTCATAAGAAGTTAATAGTACATATGAAGTTAAATCATTTGATAAGAGTAGAATTCATGCAATGAATCATATTTGCATATGTGCATTTATCTAAATATATTTCAGAATGTGTTTGGCATTAAAATTAATTGTTTGATTGCCATATGCTATAAAGTACTCTACCCTCGATTTTCAAACCACTAATTAAAGGTAAAGACCAGTATTGGAAACGCCCCAATTTCAAAAAATGAAATGGAAGCTCTCATTACCAATCATGTGAAAGAATATGTTTTGACTAATACATGATGATAAAAAATTTGCCGGGAAACCACCTACTAATTCATATATTTGGTAAATTTGTTTCTCTCTTGGTCTGTGAGAGATATAGGGTAGTCCCATATACATCTTTCTGTGTATAGTGCTTGTAACTTTACGAAGAATGGGCCAAATTTCTTATCATTTTGATGATTCCAGAACCTTGCTAGATGCTAGATGATCAACCTTTTCGGATCGATTCCACAACGTTTCTTTCACAATGCAATCGCATGACCATAACTGGTCTTTACCTTTAAGCTTGCATTACATATAGTCTGCTAAGAGCCAGAAGGGGGTTCACTCTAAATTAAAGTAATTTTTTGGCTATTAACAGATGATATTTAAAAGTGCCCTATTTACTTTAAAAAAAATTTAGTCATGAAATAAAGTTATTCTAATATCACCGATATCAAAACATTTCTCAGTACTCCCATTATCAATAACATATTTACAGTACAGTAACAAACAGCAGCAACATATCTTATTTCCAGCCAGTTATATATAACAATGTGGTTCAACTATTAAAAAAAGTTCGTATCTAATTACCCAAAACCCTGCCACAGATCCAAATACTGAAAACATAACATTCAACCTTTATCACCATCTTATCTTTTAACTATCCCACAAATAATTCAAATTTCTTTCTGCCTTTAAACAAAAAAAAAAGAAAATTTCACATATCTGCATTGTATAATGAATAGATACTATTTGTTCTTGTAAAATGAGCACCCATGTTTTTTGTTTATAACTGCGATGAAGAATATAAGTGTCCAAAGTAAAATCAACTCTTTTAACACATCAAACTTTGTTCCAATTTCTATCAATATATACTCTCTTCACATAGATACATGTATATTATAAGGGCAATATTATTAATTCAGTAATTGCTACATATCTCTATATATTCAATTTCATCTTCCTTGATTATACATCCTGTTTGAAAAGGAGACAAACAGGATGGATGCAAGCACCCTTACTCATCTACATACTTGAAGTGCAGTTGGTATATCCTGGTCAACTGTAAGCAGTAACTTGATACAATGTACATACAAAAAGTAATAAGATATCAGAAACAAGGAAAAGGTCTTTATAACTGGAGAGGAAACTTGTGTCTGGTTGCAAGGGCCTAAATTAAATCATTCATGTACCAGTCCAGCTAAATTATACAATTCATGTTGCAATCACAAATTAATCTAAACCTGTGTGTTCATGTTGGCAGATGAATAACATTTCTTATTGCATTTAATAGAAAGTCATGAAATATAACAAAGTTTGATTTAATGAATACAAATCCAGTGTTTTAAATTCATTTCATAATTGCTAACTCGGAAATACCATTAAAATTGTTTTTCTGCTCCTAGAAACTTTTTCAATATCAATATACACAGAAAAACATAGCGGTAAGGCCCTACATCTATCTTACATCCTAGCATATATACAAGTACAAGAAGCAGAATGTATCTGTTATACACATAATTTGGACTGGCGAAAAGTGTCGGTACTGTTGAAAAACAAAATCATATAAAAGCAGGCAAGAATGTGGTCTCAAAGAAATAAATACATAACTCTCTACCCTCATAGAAATTCCCTACACTAATCCATTCATTTTACATGGATAATTTGAATCTATGCTCCGAGGTGAATCTGGAATTAAAACATATGCATGAAAGTGATTGTTTTGTTCTTCTTTTTACTTCAACAGGAGTGTCCATTTTGAATAAATATTGTCAATTTTATTTTGCTAGGAACAACTCAAACATTTAAAATATTTCTTAGTACAGAAAAGAAAACAAATGGAGTTACGATGGTTTCAAAAGCTGTTTAAATAATTCTAAAACATACAAAACAAAATTGAAACATGCAGACCCTGTACACCTGAATACTTTCAGCCATTCAATGTAGTTTAAATATGGGTAAGTATGTATACAAATTATGACAAAATCTTATCAAAGTTTTGATAATAAGTTTTTACATTGAATAGTCCAATATCTGCCGTTAACATGATTTTCGGGCTGATCAAATTTAAAGCCAAATAAGTGGAAGACATACAATAAATGTTCAGAGATGCACAACCTATAGCCAGATGAATACCTGTGAAGACCTCGAAGCAAGCAAATTGAATACAGCTTTCATAAGCTCACAAAATACACAGGAAATCAATGTCACAAAGGAAATATTTGTTTTTTTCCAAACTTAGCATAGCTTCAAATTACAAAATCATTTCCTTTGTTTTCTTTTTATCCCAAGAGCATTTTCATGTCAAAGGAACTGAAAGAAAACTTTCAGATAACCGAGGCAGTCATGTAGATTACTCTTGAGATGCTATGTTAACTTGATTGATGGTTTCAGCGAGCATGTCGAATGTGCTGCCCCCTATGCTAGCTTGGAGAGAGTGCTGGTTCCAGACGACCAGCAGTCCGTCAGCACCGACGGAGGAGAGTTTGGTGACGGCCTCCCTGCCTCCTGTGTGGATGAGGAGTTGGCTGTCCATGGGGAAGGATGAAAAAAGTTGTATAGTTTAGCTTAATTATTCAACATTTTCTTATTCAACATGGTCTTTTTTATACAGTAGGCTTGGGCTTGCGGTTACACCCTCTCTTACATGGTGCAACTGCAAGCCTACTGTATATTCACATCACCATGCAAGTCGATACTTATAAGCGGCATCTATTTTCTTATTTGTTTTCAATGGGGATAAAATGCAAAGCTATCCATAATTGAGATGATGGGCATTTTGTCAAGATATGTTCTGTTGAGGGAACATAAAGGAAAAAAAACAAAACAAGACACCCCCACCACCAAAAAGAAAGGGTTATAAGCCTGTATATTAAAACTCATGAGCCCCCCCCCCCCCCCCCCCTCCTCCCACAAAAAACTGCCCAAACACCATTATATGCTATATTGCAGTGTAAGCTTGAAGTCTAGCGCCACCTAGCATGCTCACCTTAGGGGATTCCCCACTTTCTTTTTAATACTGATTAAACTTTTCATGACAAAAGTGAACACAGTAGTACAAATTTTCAGTGACTGAACGGCTACATAATGGGTATGGGCTACAAACCTTCACAATACTTTCAGGAAACATAGGAAAGTTAAAAGAGAAAAAAGAATAAGTACAAGTATCTTGGATAGTTACTTACACAATAGAGTTTTGGTGTATTGAGGTCTTCTTAGAATCGTCTTCGACTGTGGCTCTCTTGTCTAAGCTCTGAAACATTGACATGGCACTACAAGAGACAGAAGATAGAAGAAAACAAACTAAATAGCCTATCAGGATATATCAAAAGCAATGTAAGGGCACTGCTAAAGGGCAGTACCTCTGATTAATAAGGTCTGAAACTTTACTGAAAACACTAATTATTTGTTTACATTGACCAACCCACAGAAATTGTGCATGGTTTACGCTTGATCAGTCCATTCTAAATTTACACATATGTTTTTCTATATATTTTAAGGTTCTTTTAGAAAAATTGTGTTTGTTGCATATAGCTTCATCATAAAAAATGCTATAAATGTGGAATTGTAGAGACAACTGTGATAAAAGTACATCCATATGTGTATGCTCTGCTTCAACACAGATTTATATATATATATATATATATATATTTTAAAATTGTTTTCCCCCTTCAAAATGTATATCGGTAGGTCAATTCAAGAAAACTTAGGTAGCATATTTCAAGAGAGGGAATGAATATAGTTATCTTTGTCAAACTCACGTTACTTTCTCTTCAGTCCTCTTTCTGGAGAAGCCAACTCTCCCCTCGAAGGTGAGGTTGTTACTGTCATCAACACTGAATCGCAGCAGCCAGCAATCATGACCCTACAAAATCAACAAGAAGAACATACACAGTTAGAATGTTGTCATATTTTCATCTTTAAGCAAGCAAATGGATAAAATCATTACATGAGTGATTACTGGAAGAAATGACTTGTTACTTAAATCCCATGCATACCTCTTAAAGGTAATACAAAGTTTTGGGAAATTTTGAAAACTGGCTTGATAGTGATTCTTTACCATTTTATTATATTTGGATGCTCCTGTGGATGTAATATAAGCACTAGAAAATTTAGCCCCTAAAACACTTCTGCTTTCGATAAAAATTAAATATCAAAATTTACCGGTGCTCCCGGTAAATTTCGATACATTTCAAATAGCGCTTACGGCCATACAAAGGTAGCACCGACCATGAAAATCTCAGAATATTTAGTTGTGATATATAATTTCCAAACGGGGAATAGCCAATTGGTCGATTTTAGTCAAGAAACATTGTTTTATGTCTTAATTAATATCTTGACCTTGAGAGGGAGCTATACAACATAAAGGGTTTATTATTTACAATTTCATACTTTTAGGATCGATTTCAACCGCGACAACGATCACTGAATATTGTAGGATCGCATATGCTTCCAATATGTTAATTTGAACCAAATTCATGACCCCATACCAAAACTCTGTAATACCTTTAAGAAAGTTATTTATTTAATTTTTTTAATTAGTGCACCAGGGTATAATTTACTTGATCTATAATCAAGAACCTGATCTGAGCTTCAACTACCACCACCACCTCCATCATCATCATCATCATCATCATCATCATCATCAATTCATCATCATCGCCGCCACCACCACCACCACCACCACCACCACCACCCCCATCATCATCCTAAAACAAAAACCTCTTCACTTACTCCAGCTACAATACTGTCTGGTCCCACCCACTGCAGGCTGTGGCAGGGAAGATTCTTGAGTTTAGTTTGGCTCTCTGCAAAGTTGGCCGAAGCATTCACCATGTTGATGGTGCTGTCGTGGCTCACCCAGGCCAGACGGTTACCGGTCGCATCAAAGGACACACCGTGGACCCATCCACCTGCAAAACAACATACAAACAAAACACACTAAGCACAAAACATTGCAGGTTCCCATGGAATATAAACAAATTATCTTCTTGAGCAAGGCATATATACTAATGTCAAACATGGCTGAGCAAGGTATTTTATCTACGTTGCTCCTCTCCACCCAGGTGTTAATAGGGTACCTGGTAGTGGTAGGATCAATCAATGCTAACTTCAATGTGATTAGATTAGCATGTCGGCTCCCGTACAAGGTGACTTAGATGGGATGCTACCCATATGAGGGGAGAGTATGCAATATAACTTGCGGAACTGTGATTGAATCGAGTGACAGGGCTAATAAAATACTGTAAGTGTGTATATTTGTGTGTTTTTTTTATTAGGTTTTTACAGTCCTGTATCAATCAGATATGATATTTAATTTTTGTCTGGGCACCGACTTTTAATCCGGAATGACATGACTCAAACCGGAGTGCGCCCGAGTTAGTTTGTAGGTGAAGATCGACAGAGAGCTGACCAAGTGAATGTAAGCATTTAGTTGGCTATAAATTTAACTGGTATGGTGCTATTTAAAAATCAAAGTTATTTATTATCATCAACATACCACTTCCTCCAAACTCCATAAGGCATGCACCGAGGGGTAGCTTGGAGCCCCACACGTTACCGCTTGGTTTCGCCTCTACGTCCTTCACATAGGCAGAGAACACCCTGTTTAGAAAAGAAGAAGATGATTTTTGTTTAAATTTAAATGATAGGATCAATAAAATCTTTGTTCCTGCATTCACTTTCATAAGCTCTGCATAATGCTTTCACCCAGTAGAACAGGAAAGTTAATTCATGAACTAGTTGTTGCAAATGAGAAAACAGATATGATCAAACAACACAAATCACTGTTGATACTCTCGCATTTCTGTATCTTAATTATGATACAGAGCTCAGTAAATACACGTAAGTGATTTGTGGCATGCAGTTGCCATTCATCTGAAGTTGCTTTTTTCCGAGGCGGTTTACCTTGCCGTATCTGAACAAGAATTTTGGATTACAGAACAATTTTTTGAAGCAGAAACATGGCACTGTATAACTGCTGTCCACCATCATCACCATCATCATCATCAAGCAGCAGCAGCAGATCATCATCATCATCATCATCACAACTGACTTCATCATCACACCCATCATCATCATCATTGTCATCATCATCATCACCATTATAATCACCATCATTATAATCACCATCATCATTATCACCACTGACTTCATCATCACACCATATCATCATCATCATCATCATCATCATCATCATCACCATTATAATCACCATCATCACCCTCACCATTATCATCACCACTATAATCACCATACTCATCTTCATCATATCATAATCATCATCTTCATCATTTCCATCGTCAACGTCATCATCATCACCATTATCACCACCATGCACCAATCATCATCATCATCATTTATCATCATCATCACTATCTTCACCATAACCATCATACGTCATCATCTGGTAAACTAACCTGACTTTGAAGTCAGTTGAGCCACATGCCAGGAGAATGTTGTTGGGATGCCAATCAACGGTGGTGATGGTTGAACGGATCGGCTTCTTGATGTGCTTGCTCACCCACCTGAAATTGCAATATAAATGCATTAACATTAACTTTTATTTCAGAGTAAACTAGTAGGATTTCAATTCAGTAAACGAAGGAAAAAATAAAGAAACAATTTTGTGCATTATCAATTAAAATTTGAGAAAATATATACCGGTAGCCTTTTTACTTTTTATAAACATAATGTTTGATGGTATAACACAATGTCATAATGCACAAGTTACTTTCTATCAACAATGATAAATATAGTGTATAGCGCTCTCTCTCTCTCTCTCTCTCTCTTTCTCTCCCTCTCTCTCTCTATATGTATATGTCTATCAACCTCTACAGCCCAAGACAAATACATAATGAAGACCTGTACGAGTAGAACAGTTACACCAACAAACACAATATTGTGGTCCAAAAACAAGAGCATCCTCTGAAAACAGTTTCCAATTTTAGTCCATGCAATATGAGAGGAGAAGAGAAGAAAAAATATTACCGGTATATGCAAATAGGTAATTAATGCTCCACAAATATTTCAAATCCAATAAAAAAATAAAGTCAGTTAATATGTTGATACAAATGTTAGTTAATGCCGCCAAAATGACATACAACATCTATATAAGTAATACGCTAAGGCTCCGCGGGGGGCGCGACGTCTCGGCGAGCCTTTGTATTCTATTGTTTTTTAATGAGATCGCCGACCCAAGTTGGTGCGGCTATCTCCTCCTGAACCCTGCCCTCGGGGTACCCGTGCCCGGTGCCATCGTCCGCGGGAGAGTCTACTCTAGCGAATTGGCTATACTCCGCCCGAGGTCCTCCTCCGTGTCGACGTCCAGGGCGAAAACAGACGCGACATGCATAATGCAGGATATGCGTGACGACAGAGATACCTCATGCATATTCAACATTACATCCGTATCAAATAGACACACGACAGACGACGAGCAATCCCGTCGACGTCCAAACTTAGAGACCTATTTCCATCATGATTGCCGCGATTTTGATATAGTTTTTGTGAATGGAGGTATGAAATCAAAGCTTATTTTGTGATTATTACGGACATGTATACTAAATTTTGATCATCATTTTCTAAAGGAAAGTTATTACAAGAAAACCATTAGACTGACAGTTGAGTCGCAAGCTGCCTTCAGTCAACACACAGTGCAATGCTGCTGTGCAGTGTGTGTGAGTTGACATGAGCTTGCAGGAAGCTTCAACACCAGCACCGCGCACTGCAGGCGTCCGACGCCTGCGGCGCCGGTGTTCGAGCTCATGGAGTTACGCTGTAGTGTGTGTGAGTTCAGCTGAGCTGATTTGACACTTTGAAATTGTTATCTGTTGGTTTGCATCATTATTGCCGCGATTTCAATATAGTTTTGTGAATAGATTTACGAAACCTGAGCTTAGAAATAGTAAAAGTATTACTAATGTCTACGTTTTTAAACGACTGTCTGATTTTCTTGTGAAAATTTTACTTTGAAAAATGATTATCGAAATTCATGGTCGGAAATAATCACAATCTAGGGTTTATAATGTTACAGTTCTTGCATCAAATCAATGCATGAAAACTTAGTTATTGAACTAGAAAAATGTTTTTTTTTTTTTTTTTAAATAGGCAATTATGAAGTAGGAAGCCTGAAACCTTATAGCCTACTAAACAAATCTCAACAAAGTGTAGGCCTATCCTTTTATGAATTAATGAAAAAGGAGCCCCAGAAGAAAGAGCCCCCGAAAGTTGAAAAAGTAGCCCCCGAAAATTTCCCAAAAATTTGAAATGGAGCCCCCGAAATGAAAAACTTAATTTTTTGCCTGCGCCCCCCTTTAGAATCCTGCGGATTTCCACGGGTCCTGAGTTGAGTGTATATATAATATAGGCGTGGGGTCCACGGGTTTCAAGGGGCCAGCATAAACCCCCAAAAGCTCAGGGTTACGTTCTTCAAAGTTGGGGGGGGGAGATCAGATCGCAGCGAGTTGCGTGTATATATAATATAGGCGTGGGGTCCACGGGTTTCAAGGGGCCATAAACCCCCGAAAGCTCGGGGGTTTTAGGTGTTTAATTAGGGTCAGATGAGCATATTTTTTTCATACTTTATTTGTGACACTTGCGGGTCACTAATTGGCGTGGGGTTAATACGTAGAGTTGCATAGTGTTGCGTACCAACTACGCTGGCCTACGTTACTATATGCTGAGGGACGGAAAGGGGTACGCAAGATGAACGAAAACAATTCAACATGTTTAATTTTTTTTCGCGTACTTTCGGCGTAGAAACTTGACGCAGAAAGTACGCCTTTTTACGCAACACTATGCTACATGACTACGCAGCAGTACGCTACCCTACGCCAGATCGACAAAGCAGTAAAAGCTTTCCACACAGTAAGCAACCATAAGCAAACCTGTACGCCAGCCTACGCATAACCTACGCAGGGACTATTTTCCCATTAATACGCAGCCTAATTTCTGCGTATTCGGTACGCCACACTACGGAACTTAAAGCTTAAAGAATAACTACCGGTACAGTTGGATCGTTTTTTAAATTTTTATATAGGGCCAAATTTAAAAAAAAACATGTTTAGCATCCTGTTTTTTTCGATAAATGGGAAGGAGGAGGCCCTTTTTTTTTTTTTTTTCCTTTCAAAATGGCCGCTCCGTACATTTTCCCATGACATTCGGGCTATTTTTCAAGATGGCGGCCGACAATTTTTTTTTTTTCATTTTTTTTTTCTTTCAAAAAATAAAAAAAATTCAAAAAAAAAAAAAAATTCAAAAAAAATTCAAAAAAAATTCAAAAAAAAAAATAAATATAGGAGGCGGCCCCCAAAAAGGAAGCGGACAGGACGCTGTTTTATTTTCTTTCAAAAAAAAAAAAATCAAAAAAATTTCAAAAAATAAATAAATAGGAGGCGGCCCCCAAAAAGGAAGCGGGCGGGGACGCTAAACATGTATATTTTTTAAATGGCCTGAATGGCAAATAAAGTTCTTGGTGGTTTTAATTTAAACACTCTCTATATATCTATTTACACCCCCGCCCCCCCTCTAAAATCCCGCGGATTTCCGCGGGTCCTGCTAGTTAGTTTATAAAAGCCTTATCCAATTGATATGAAACATAAAAAGAAATGAGACAGAAAGGTGAAAAAGAGGAGAAATTTTGACTGAGATGACCTGAAACAACCCAACAAATTTGTGACACATCATCTGTTTGGAGCCAGAAGGGTGTTACTTCACATACTTGAACACAGAAGAGATAACGTCCTTCTGACTCTGAGCAGATGATATTATTGCGCAATGTAGGTGCTCCTCACATGTAAAATTCATGTATGATCATTCTTACCGGGCCAATGCATGCTGTTCAATCAATGTGCCATCGATGTGCCAAATTACCCAAGATGTAAAGAGTGGAATAAGATGTGAGGGCGACATCTTGAAAGAGGTATATATTTTTATAGAACTGTTTGAATACCAATGAAGGGATTCTCTCTTTCAGACATTTCAATTTGGTAGCGAAGATTTTTTCTCCCTTTAGCTCTTTTGTTGTTTTAGGTATAATTATATGTTAAAAATAATTTTAGTGTTAGAAGAAATTTTACATATTTGTATTTATTCACAATTAGTATCAACACATTAAATCTTATAAATACACATATGGATGGAAAATGGAAATGTCTTGAGATAAACATATGTGACATATGGACAATTATACACTAAACGATCATGCTTATTGTAATACAAGCCTAGAGTCTATTTGATTCAATGTCTCTACTAGTATGAATGCACACGAGAAATAATTGTCTTACCAGTCGTGGTCTTTATCAAAATAACAGATGGAGATCAGTCTGGAACCGCTACCAACAGCAAACTTGTTTTCTGCAGATAGAATACAGAAAGTTTAATCTAACAGTGACAGCTGCTAAAGTACCCATAGTAAAAATTCAACATGGGCAAAACATTGGCAAACATACTTCAATCACTGTATGTGGTAAATGAAGAAGAGCATATACTTCATGCATCATGCCATTTTATGCATAACAGGAAGGTGTAAACACAAATCAGATGTGATCAAATTTTCAAAGTTTTTATAGTTTTGTCATGAAAGGATTAAAAATAACACAAATGATAATATATATATATATATATATATATATATATCAATGTAATTTTTTCTTCATTTTAAACCCTGTACGGGCTAAAATGTGCTACGTAAATGTTGTCAAAGGAAGATAGACTGGGATATATTTATTCTATGGCTAGCTTATATATCTCTGAATAAAGTAAATATTTATTTTAAAAAAATCATAAGAGGCGAAATCTTCTCACCCAATGGTGACCAGCGTACACAGGTGGCAGCTCGGTTGATACGCAGGATAACAAGAGAGGGCTTCCACTCATCATTGCCGTTCTGAATCCATACATAGGCATTACGGTCCTGGAATGGAAATAAAAGACATCACCTCTGTAAAATCACTTGTTATCTGACATTGAGTAAAATGTATACGTGTGTGCACGGCGTCCTAGCTGTTAACCCACCCGTTCAGTGTATAAACTTGTCATTGGGCAAAGTGCCTGAGAAAGTCATGGAGGCTGGAGCTAGGAAGAATTTTAAACGGTTTATCTTCTTAAGTTTAGGAAAGTCAAAAATGTATTTCGATAAGGATACAAAGACTAGTTTTTCAATCAGGCCAGTTTAAAAATAATTGTTTGAATCACAATATTTCCAAGTTGACCTGCAGTATCATTGAAATGAAAGATAAGTGTTTCTGGCAATTATTTGCTTTATACCCCCCCCCCCCCTCACTGACCCATCCAATGGGATAAAAGTTAGCATAGTAAAATACAAGCCCGGCAAAGAATTGAAACGGATTAAAATCACAAAATATTCATACAGTGTGTATTGCTGCAACAGTTCTTACAAAAACACAAAAATTTAAAACCTAATCAAATAAACAAACAAAAAACAATAACAACGAGAAGAAACAGCTCTTAAAGATATAATAATGGTTTATCCCTCATTTTTGTTGCAAATATTCAACCACTTAGGCTGGTTTCTGGTGGTTTCTTCTACACATCTCTCAAATAATGAGCAAGATGAACACAAACAAAGAAGCCCATCCTCCCCCCCCCCCCCCCAAAAAAAAATAAATAAATAAAAATGTCAGAGGTTGATCAAGATGACGTACAAACAAATATTGGGATTACCTACAACATATATGCGAAAGGGGTATTATACTCACGGATCCACATGTGACAATCATGTTGCTTTCGGGTGCCCAGTCAACACTGGTCACTCGCTGGGTGTGCTAGATAGAGATAAAGAGAAGTTAATTTTCATTTCAACATTGTGTTTTACTTTACAGATCTGAAAAATGAGTGTGACGGAGGCTGGAAAACAGCATCATTTTTGCAAAACGTCAAATTTATCCTATCTTATTCAAAACATTTTCAGTAGTACCAGTATCTAAAATTTTAGAGCATTTCTTTAAAACTGATTTGTAAGGCAAGGCATACCTGCAGGCTTGAATAGATAATACATATGAATGTAGATTTGAGACTAAAAGCATCCCCAGAAAGAGGCCGACATGGATCGTGGTAATGTTTTATTTTTTAAATCTCAGACTCTCTAGATGCAACAGAATTAGATCTATTAAAAAATATTGCCACCCAAATGAACATGCGCATACATACCTCATTCAGGGTTTGTGTTTTCTCCCATCCTTCCTCACTCTTTTGATAGATGTCAACCAAACTGTTGTTGGCAGAAATGGCTATTTCTGTAGAAGAAAAAACAAGAAAGCAAACAAACAGACTTGTAAGACATATATTGTATAAACGATAACTGCATGCATGCAGCATATAAATTCAGTGATGATGTCGCAGAGGTCAATTTTGATGTAACATTGGTCTCATATTTATGTTTTCTACCTGTCAAATATACAAGGCTTTCTAACAAAGATATTGTATAGAGAGAACGATAACATTTTGTTTAACTGTTATCCATATTCATTAATTAATTAACTGATTTGAGAGCAGAGAAGAACCATGAAATTGAAAGAATATTACACAAAGAAAAAAAAACAACCAACAAAGTATTATATAAAATAAAAGAAAGAAAAGAAAGAAAGAAAGAAAAGAAAAGTTTTAGTTACTATCAAATTTCATGGATAAAGATAAGTATAGTAAACTTACGTGTTCGGTCACGGTTCCAAGCATGTGAAGTGATAGGGTCCACCCCAAAACTGAATTTCTCCATCTTTCTGTTTCTGTGGTTGTGTATAATTGCTCAATGATAGAAACACTTTCTAAATTGCTTATCAGGATTCTAAAAAAAGGAGAGACAGAATTAAAAAATGATAATTGATAAACAGCAAATTCAAATACAGATCTTAAGTAGACTATTAAGTTCACTTAAACTTAAAAATATCACTAAGGATTATTTTCAGCTGGAATGCGGTGAAAAGGTTGCACAATGCAACAGGGAGGGGAGGGGAGATTCCAAACACTGGCTTAATTACCTTTATAAAGTTTACAATTAACTGATATAACAAAGTCAGATAAAGACTAGTTTAAAATAATTTGTTTTTCTGCAATGGTCAATGCTTAGCCGGGCCCAAGTCTTGATGGTGATCTAACATTAATTATAATAAAAGTAATTATGTTAGTCACCAATGATCTACTGAAGATGTAAAACCAGCAGTAGCACTCACCACCGGCACTGACTCACTCTCACTCATTCACAGACTAACTTCACTAAGTAAGGAGAAGATTAATTAAAAATTTCATATTACAAATATTTCATTGAAATCAAATGTCTTAACTGGTCATTTGGAGCTGAATAATAATCCAATATTTTGAAGCAATTAAATCGAACATGTCAAAGTTTTTGTCAACGTGCAGGTGATCATTCATCACACGGTTGTAAATACATGGGACTGAACCAAGTTCATCGTCAGTCCTGCACACGGTTCACTGAAAAATACATTGTTTATTGGTGAGCTAATGACAGTTCGCATTCATATATCATATCACAATTAATAATTATATCATTTAAATATATTATGTTTAGTACTCATACTCACGAAATTTCGTAGCAAGAAATTCGTGGACTCTGGTCAGTCTACACGAATTAGTGTGTTCAGTGCAGTAACATACAGCTAGCTTGGCATGTAGCGAACGTATGCAAACAGTAGGCCTACACGCACAGTGCTTGCAGTGTATAAATTCACTGTGTTGATGTCGCGTCGCCCAGGTCAATTTTGACGTCACATTGGTCTCATATTTGGAATTCCAGAAATCTAGAAGAAAAAAAAAACTTATGTTATCTTTCAATCTATCTCCATCTTCATAATACAGCAACAATATCTGTTTAAACTTAAAGGTAATGTTGATCGGATCGTGCAATTTCAATGCGAAAGAAAGTGAAAATTACAGTTATGTGGAATGCGGATAATTGTTTTGTTTTTTAATAAAAGGAAAATTGTGGGATCCAGGGATTGTGAAGTTTGGGGGTTTTGGAAGCATCTCAATGACAACGATTTGCCGGGATTCGAATTTTCAAAATGAAAAGATGCAAATTACTTATAAATTAAATTTTGAGAAACGAATCTTTCAACACAACTAGTCCAGAAATGAATACTTGGTTTTAACAATGTCATATGCCATACACTTGAGTTATTTAGCATCCGTCAAGACCGTCATAATCGGAGGCCTACAATTAAATATTATCCCACTATAATGGATAATAGTTTGTTACATTAGCCGAAACAATATAGCTTTTGATAATTAAGTATATGACTTTAAATGTATATCATTATGAATGAGTAACAATTTGAGCTTGCAATTAACGTTGAACCAAAAAGACCTAATCACAAGTCCCATGGCAGGCATTTTTATCATGCTCATGATACAATTAAAAAACATAGCTACCATTTTCTTGTTGCTGTTGTTGTTATTATCATCATCATCATTATTATTATCATAATTGTTGTTATTATTATTATTATCATTATAATTATCATCATCATCCTTCTTCTTCCTCTTATTATTATTATTATCATCATCATCATCATCATCCCCATCACCATCATCATCACTGATCATCATCATCATCATCATTAGTATTATGGTTTTGTATGAAATCCTCTTAATTCATCTATAAAGAGGTGCAAACTATCAGGCTGCATGCCGGATGAGAAGAAAATATATTTCCAAGTAGTATCATATATTCATGAAAATGTAACGCTCCACTGACTCGATGGATGATAAAATGACGGGTCGTTCACGTATGGCTTGATAATCGTGAAGACATCAAATCTATTTTGTGCATTATCTAGTCCAAATTATCATTTATTATACATTATATTAGACATAGACATTATAGAAATAAAATGTAGGCCAAATTTATATAATTATCAAAATCTTCGTTGAATAACAATGGGTTATGGACCCCATCTCTCTCTCTCTCTCTCTCTCTCCCTCCTATCTCGGCTCTCTCTCTCTCTCTCTCTCTCTCTCTCTCTCTCTCTCTTTCTTCTCCCCTCTTTCTTGGAAATTAACTCTTTTACGAGTTATATTAGAAATTATTTCGTTTTTTAATCCACTCCGATGAGAGAAATTTACTCTTAATATATGTTTCAATTACTATTTTGTGAGTGGATTCTAAGTTTTTTGCGTGAATTTCCACTCCAACGCGAAATAATCCACATATTATGACATTTTAAAGAGTGGATTTCCTCTCCCGTATATTATTTTGGAGAACAGACTATACCATAGGTCTACAAAACATCACCAAAACAAATGTATTTGCATATATATATAGTTACGATGATGTGAACAGACCTACTCATTTTTCAGCCTGAATACATAATGGGTTCGTCAGAAATGCCTGAAAATGGTAATAAATTGAGATATCAATTACTTCAGACTCGCTGTGTCTCATGCATTGTCATGCTAGTTACGAAGAATCTTAAAGCGGTGTTAATTTGATTATTAAATGCTGATCATTTCGAAAAATACAATTGAGTCAAACTTCCTCTTATAAAAACTATTATGAACATGAAATGATTTATATTCTTGCAAATTCATTAATAACATTAGTGAAAATCTGTTTGATTAAATATTTGATTGATTGAAAAGGAAAAGGCGCTATATATCTTTTGGATTGGATTGGATTGGATTGATTGATCAGGTGATTGATAAACATTGATCGGTTAATATTAAATGAACAAAGGCTTGTGAATGAATGTCCTTTTGCTAATAATATTCTTCCAAGTGGCTATAATAATATTGGGTATAAGTCGTATATAATTATGGGCATAATTTTGAGCATACTCTTTTTTTGTATAGTTTGGTCATAATTTCGGTCAAAATTTGGGGCATATTATGAGAATAGGACATGGGCATTTGTCGACGGAAAAGGGGACCCCATCAGATTTTGATAGGAGCATTTTATAAAAGGCGAAAAGGGCATTAAATTTTATGAAAAGGGGGTAGGTCCCGTATTAGAAAGGAAAGGGGGCATGTATCATTATAAAAAGGGAAATTATCAGAGGTGAATGAGGCACTTATCGCACCTGAAATTGGGCAACGACCAAATATGAAAAGGGGCACCTAAAGTGTATGAAAAAGGAGCACTTATAATAAAGGAAAATGTGCATTTGTTGAAAGAAAATGGGCAACGATCAGATTTTAAAGGGGCACTTATCGGAGGAGAAGGGGGAACTTATCTGAAGTGAAAAGAAGTAACTTCTTGTACCTGAAACGTGTCATTTGAGATGTAAAGGGGCATTCATGAGAAGGGGAATGGGGCTCTTTTATTAATGGGGGCACTTTTCATTAGGAAACGGGGCACTTATTAGAAAGGTGAAGGGGCACATGTGAAAATATAAGGTGCGCTTATCCGAGATAGAATGGGGGTAGTCATTACAAGGAGAAGGGGCACTTCTTACCAAGGAAAAGGGGCACTTGTCACAGTAAAAAAAGGCACCTCTCAGATATGAATGGGGCAATTATATCAAAGGTGAATGGGGAACTTATCAAAAGTGAAGGAGGGCACTTCTCGTACCTGAAAAGGGTACTTACTATAGAGATTAAGAAAGGCACTTATGAGAATGGAAAATGGACACTTTCTGCAAAGGAAAAGGGGCACTTGGCAAAGTAAAAGGGGCACTATTCCTATATAAAAAGGGGCACTTCTTACAAAGTTAAAGGGGCACTATTCCTATATAAAAAGGGGCACTTCTTACAAAGTTAAAGGGGAACTTTTCCTATGTAAAAGGGGGCACTTTTCGGATGCTTGAAAAAGTAGGGGGCACTATGCCCCCTCTGCCCCCCCCCCCCCGGAGGGCCGCTATGCTAGATACAATAGGAAAAGGTAAGTGTGCGTTATAATGGTTGTGCGCCGCGCGCGTTCCGTCCAATCCATCCTTCATAACACACACTCAGAAAGAGGGAAAAGATGTTTCTTTAGCGATGGGAAGTCATTTAGAAATAATCAGTTATAGACGATTAATTCTCTATTAATAGTTTAAGGCCTTTCTGATACATTGCGAGTATGATATTGAGATGCTTCGGATTAGTGGAAACGTAATTTGAAAGGATTCATCATCATCTTTAGCTGTTGCAAAGAATTCCACTTCATAATTTTATAGCCATCTCTTTCGCGCGCTGCAGTCTCTCCGATGTTCTTTAGCAGTGATGCGGTGTCGTCTGCGTGAACATCTTCGGATCATATTTCTCTTTAGGACACGGATGCCACTGGATGCATCTGGATGCCTATATGTGCTTGTGTCTCCAAGCCTCTAATACATCGCCATCGACACCCTTTAATTTGAATCTGCCCATCGAATCTCTCTGAACATCAGCCTAAACTCCTTTGGTTGGCCCAAATTAAGACGGGTGTCTTCAATCATTTCAGATACTCCTTATCCATACGACATGCACGTCTGTTTTGAAATTGATGCATAGTGAATACACGGTTTGCTGAAAGTTGACACGGTGTATAAACGCGTTGATGATAATTATAACCAAGACTGATGAACATTGTTTTAAGCTGTCCATCATGTTTTGAGCCAACTTATCCTTATTGGATAATCAGCTTTTGGAGCGATTTCGAAAATCATCTAAGGAGCGAATGTATGTATCAATACTGTTGTTTCGTGTGGAGACATCGGTACATCGCTTTAGCATTTTCCTGACCTGTGGAATAATTTCAACACTCTCTACATGGTGCTTACGTCAGTGTGGACAGGAGAAGTATCGTGAAGGGTAACAAGAAGCATAAAATGAGGATGAAGTGAATTAAACAATAACAAATTAGATAATCGTGGAGAGAACACACAAATGAAAGAAGCAGGAAAAAAGGAAGGGAGACACATAGAAGCGAATAGTGTTATAAGCGGACTATAGAGGTCACAAGGAAAGCAAAATAAAGGATTTAATACCCCAAAATCGAGGATAGGAAGAAAAAAAGATGAAAAATAAGAACCTTACTTTGTTGGGGCTGACGATCTGGGCGGTGGCTGGGTCTTATATTACCCTATTCCTCGTTGGGATAGCTACCTTTACCAACCAATGGATCTTCACGAACGAGATCATTGATCGAGATTTCAGTAACGGCACCCTCCGAGTCACCATTAAATTGCACTCCGGATTGCTGGAATTTTGCCGAGATAAAGGTATAATTTGTTCACCACCCAATTTATCTTCTCCTCCCTCCCCCTATTCCCAACACGATCACAAAAGATTTAAAGCCCCACTGTCATACTTGTAGCTACTTGCTCCCTCTATATAGAAAACTTCCCCAATCGGTGCCTGTTGTTCCCCAATGATCCTCTTTTTCTTATGTTATAGTTGAGAGCTGAATGAGATAGCCACCTGTCAGTGACCTCGCTGTGTGGTCTCATCCATTCTGGCCCAATATTATTGACGGTCTTTAAAATAATCAACAGAATTAGGCAACTCCAATACATTGCGTCATATCAAAATGTCTGAATATATGACAATGGTATACGTACGTGATTTCTATATTATGAGCAATATGTAGAGTATAATATTGAATTCTTGAAAGCCTTTGCGATCACGTTTTCCATACATTATGTTCTTGATTTTCATTATAAAGTACATTGTATGTGAATTCGTCCAACAATCCTGTCCAACAGCATTTCGAGCTGAAATTCATTATAATTATTGTTTGCTTCTGAAAAATGATAAAATAAGCATTGCTTTAAATCATTTTTTTTTATGCGGGGACTTGCTTTCTCTATGCACCAGTAGTTTAATCTACAAGCTATAAAAAAAAAGTATTAGCTGATTAAAACAAAATTAAATAGACCTATAGTTCAGTATATAGAGGAGTCGTGGTCTAATGGATACGTCATCGGACTGTGGATCACATAGCACGCAGTTGCTCCCCAAATAAAATCCATTCATTCATGGTTTTCTAATTCGATACCAGTGATTTACAAATGTTGCTGATATTACATGATTCTCCGGGTGTTTTTTTTCTTCTCACTTTTGGTGAATTATAATTTATGCGTTTGTTGGAAAATGATAAATTTTCCCAAATCTAATGCTCATTACGCCACTGAGTCACATGGAATAGCTGTAAGGGGGCACATGCATAAAATCAAATAACAGAAGGAAAAATAGAAGAGGGATTGTTTTTTCTTCAAGAGCGCAAAGGTAAAGAGAAATGGGAAAAGGACGAGAAAAGTAAGCAGGACCCCTCCCACACGTTTCCTCCAATCAGAGGCCCTGTAAATCAGCATAATCAATGATCAAAGAGTGGTATCGATCCCCCTTCCATGGTATCAGTGCCCCACAATGGTTGGAATCGCGCTATTCAATTCAATTCAAATCATATATGTCCAAATTCTAACATCAATTAAAACAATGTGTATAAACAGTCAATGGGCAATAAAAGCATTATAAAACTATGACATTTCAATCAAACGATTAAGAAGGTAAATTAACAAAACATAATTATATAGCATTCAATAAGAAACAAGGTGAAGAAAGGGGAAAAGTAGATCGTATAATACATAATTCAGTAATGACAGACTACATACTTAAACAATCAAAGTGGATAATTCAATAATTGGGAAAATGGTGAACACAAAGAAAGCCAGGTTTGTGGCTGTTAAAGTGCACACCTAGTTTATATATTTGTTTGTTTTTACATTATCATTGTAAAATTGAGAGATTGGTAAAACCATACATAAGACACAAAACTTGATAACATAAACATAAAAACATATAAAAGCATCGAACAGTGTGGTGTGGTTCCACAAGATAATCTAAGAAGAGATATTTAACAAATAAAAAGTAATCAATAGGAACAATTTAAATATTTCTTATATTGCCTCACGAATGTATTATTAAATGAAATATTTAATTGGATACAATTTATATTATACCAAAGAAGTGGACCCAAATGTCTCAGAGAGTATCTTGAATAATCATTAATATGCCTCTGATTGGGTCCTTTAAAGTACTATAGTGAAAGTACAGACCTCTTGTTTAATATCAAACGCTAATAGATCTGCACACGAAGGAGAAAAAAAACTATTACAAAAACGTATTGTGGCAAATTGCTTTCGTATACTCATGGAGAAGATGGGATTATTTTTGCGTTCGCATCACGATTTCAATTTGCTTTTGTTGCATTTCGACGCCTCTAAATACCCTCGGTTGAATTATCGTGGTATTTTAGCCCTAACTTCAGTGATTACCCCCATCTTACCGAGCTTCCATCATCTGGAGAAACTCTCTCGTGTAATCAGGGAGACGCCATCCTCATTCGAGTGATTTGTCAGTTAAAGAGAATATGATTATCTAGTATGCATACTAGAATTTTCTTTTTCTTCATTCTATACTCAATGCTGTTATAGAGTTTGGATGTGTTATCGTGTTATCGTAAATGACCACTAATTTCTTATCTTTGAATTAATATGATTTATGGGAATAAAGAGAGCTATGTTGAAATTTACAACTTACCCAACCCCCCCCCCCACCATTTTTTCGCAGGGGGCGGGGGGATAGTAAGAAATCGATTGGGATTATCAAAATGGCCAATAGATAGAAACATATTCTAAAATTATCACATTTAAATGAAAATATAGTTGAATTTTACCCCACGTAACGCAAACTTAAAACACAAAGAGATGCAAACGAGGCATATTTTTCGTTTAGTTCGAGTTTTCAAGGCCCCCATAGAACCCCGTCAGATAGGCACCCAGAAGCATATTAATATTGTGCTCACAATGTGTAAATTATTGATCTGTTTCATTCTGCCTGTTAACGACTCAGCGGACAGACTGTCACGATAATTTCGAATTGAAACGTCGTCAGCTTTTCTTCATGAACATATTGAGCGGATGAACAGAAAATAATACGTTAATGTCTTTTTATTTTTTATTTTTAATGTAGGACATTATTTTGACAGGATAAGGAGAGAGGAGGGGGTGGGGGGGGGGTAGGAGAGATGGGGAGGACGAAGAGAGTGAGGGAGGGGATGGAGAGAGAGATGGGAGGGACAGAGAGAGAGAGAGAGAGAGAGAGAGAGAGAGAGAGAGAGAGAGAGAGAGAGAGAGAGAGAGACAGATTATTCGATTATTCATAGACACCATTATCACGTAGACTATACTCAAACCACAAGGGAGCTACTGATAAGGTGCATAATCACCATTCGGGTTCTTTTTCGTTGTTGCCTGAGTCATCGCAATACGCTGACCAACTCGAAAAGAGACAGTAACCTCTAACAGTGGCGTAGCGAGTGTGTAGCCACGGGGGGGGGGGGGGGGGGGGGGGGTGTGTGCCCGACCTACATGGGGGACGGGCCTGACTGTATATAAAAAAATATGGCCAAGGTTCCACCATATAGAAGATAAAATGAAATGCAAAGGAGTAAAGCGACCCAGCGATCGTATCGTCTTGTCTCATCATCCCCTCTCTGTTTCTATCCTCCCCCTTTTTGCCTTTCAATTCGAGTGCACACAGGGCCCATTATTGGAGCCACTGCCCCGATGTCACGCATCAGAGATTTAAAATCATATATTTCATTCCATAATTATCTTATTTATTTAATTGATGATTTTAACAAATTCATGTAACTGGAGAGCATGACTGCCCGTTATATAATTGTTCTCTGGTACCTTCAATGGGCATTCGGTCTCAAGGTTTGTTGCCACAACCTCGCAAACTCGAGACCAATACTGCATGGTTCGTTTTCTCTTCGATGTACAATTTGAAACATGAATGTTTCTAAATTGCAACACATTGATATTATATTCAACCACTTTGTACATTAGCATTAATGCATTTTGAATGATTCCTTTGTAACCTATTCCTATATTTTTGTATGTCTTGTGTATTGAAAATAATTCCTAATTATGGATTCCATTTCGATAAAATTTGATTTCGTTCATTTGTTCATTTGTTTATTATGTTATGTATATTGTTCATATATATTATATGTTATGTATAGTAATATTTGTGTACATTACTGCACGATAATGTTTGGAAAGATTTGATCTCTTCGCATTGTAATCTAACTCTCAGTCATGCCATTTGGTTTCATCCATTATGCAGTATCTTATATTTGGATCGGTTCTCCGTCATTCACTGCGACCAAGAATGTATCGGAGGCCACTATGAAAACCCTCTACGCTGCTCCAGGTTTGTAGATGAATTTAATTATAATGACGTGTTTGGGTGACATATTGATTAAAATATTAATAATATAGAGTATTATTTTGTAAAGCGCCAACTCCGCTTGACTAATGTGTTCGAGACGCAAAAACTACAAGTATACACGAAAATACACGAAATGGAACAACAACAATGTAAAAGTAAGTCAACTTGGAAAGCCGCTTTGAAGAAAAAGAAAGAGTTTTGAGGGCATTTTTAAAGCATTCTACACTTGAAAAAGATCCAACGTGTGCAATTGACCGATCCCCCATTATTTCTTAGTTTTCGAAACAACAAGCAATTTAGAATCGGATGATCTTAAGCGTCTGGGAGGATTATAAGGCATCAACATCATTATGATGATGATGATGATGATGATGATCGTGATGATGATGATACTGATGATGGTGATGATTATGTAATGGCAGATACATGTTATAGACATGATTATCTATAACATGTCTATAAAATATCGGTAATATAGGCGATGTCGATGGTGGCATAATAGTGGTGGATGATAATGATAATGATGTTGTTGATGATAATGTTGTTGGTGGTGGTTGTGGTGGTGATGTTGCCATTTCGTGCCTGAATTGTAGTTACAAGTATAGTGCAGCCCCGCTTTAAGGCTTTTCAGCAGCATTACAAATGACATTCTTAATGACAAGATGGTGATAATACAGTGTGGTTTGGGCTGCTGAAAATAATGTTGATTTTGAAAGGGCACTTCGTACATAAACGTACACGATGAGGTTTAATATATACGTCGGTCAGTTTCTCAATCTTTGCTCTCTTTATATCCCATGCTTCTGCGTCTCCCTATTATCCTGCCATCATAAGGCATAATTCATTGCCGTCACGACCGCGGTCGTGTATTATTCATGGAAGTCATTGGAGCTTCAATTCCCTGGTCGACATCGCCGGCGATGATGCATTCACGAGATCAGATGGGGTCCGTGTTTACGTCGCTTGCTCGCGAGTCCCAATATCGCAAGCCGCGTGGTGCAGATTATTGATGCGTTTTAGTTGGAACGCCCTAATTCGGATGCTGCTGAAGAAAGACAACTACGGATAGCATCATGCAATGTTCGAAATGAAGATGCGGGTTGGAGGAGTGGGGGATAGGGAGGGGGGGGGGGTAGAGAGATGAGGGTAATTTGGATTTGGCACAGGAGTATACAGTGTGAGTCAAAAAAAAGTTTACACCTATAGAAAATCGCTAATTATTTTAAAAATCATCTATGAAAAGTATATTATCATACATCTTATGAAAAAGTGTTTTATCCCAAATCATTTAGTATCATTTGTGTGTGGTATGTGTTCACGCTTGGATGAACAGGAGGCATCGTTTGCGAGAGTGCAAAAATCGACTTGCGCCAAAGTTTCTTATGTGATGTTTGAATAAAACAATGGGGATTTGGGTATTAATTCGGTCTTTGCAGATCCAAATAACATCCCTAACAAAATAAATCATGCCACACTTATCAAATATCAATTATCAAAGAACATTTGTGCGCGTGTGTCTGTGTGTGTGTGTGACTTTGCCTCAGTCTGCAAAAAGCCTACGCAATGCATCTTATTTGATACATTCAATTCATTTTCTATAATACAGTACATAAGCAACTTTTTCGCAATTCGATTTTTGCACCCTTGCAAACAATGCCTCCTGTTCATTCAAGCGTCAACACATACCACACAAAAATGATACCAAATGATTTGAGATAAAACAATCTTTCATGAGATGTATAATAATTTACTGTTTATAGATGATCTTTAAAATAATTAGCAACTGTCTAGGTGTAAACGTTTTTTTTTGACTCACTCGGTATAGCCCATGCAGACATGGCTGCCATGCTAATGACCATAATATCAGGAAATATATTTTGCCCGAGGGAGGCAGAGTATTATAATAATCTTGACTGTATGGGATAGATAAGGTGTGTCAACTTGGTTTGTGTATGGCATCAATACAAAGTCCCGGGGAAAACAAAAGTAATGGGGTACATTTGGAAACTCCACTTGAAAAAAAAAAATATTCTCATGACAAATATTTTACAATCTTTTCGAATTTCTGTGCATTCTTCTTTGTTAACTGTGTACTCCGTTTTATTTGGACCATTATCTTTTAAATTGTGTATAATTATATTAAATACACTTGTTTCTTTCTCTAGAAGATGCTCTTTGTAATGAAATGCATTATTATTTCATATTTTCCTACAATGTGTCGAAGCATATCTCAATCAATTTTGAATATCGCATAATGTAAATATCATAACTGTCTCGTGTGCTCATTTTGCCAGAGCCTAATTAATTTGTTTTCGGGCCATGGTCACGATCCAATAGGATCTTGAATTTGTTACCTACTTTCAATCTTAAAGTTCTTATTATTTATCCGATTTTGCTCAAACTTGTTTTTATTGGTTTTTCTGATTTTTCTGCTTCTATTGAAAGCAAGTTATTTTTGGAGTGGACTTGTACTTTAAGAATATTTGCCTGTGAAATATTAAATAATTGTACAAGTTGGGAAGGGCTATGCCTATTATAATGCACATAACAATTATTCAATTAAGCTAATTCATTCGTCGTCGCCTTCCAATCCGGGGTCTGTATAATTGGACAAGGGCCCAATCTCTATCTCTATATAATTATGCAAGTAGGACTCTGTCAAACATTTTCTTTGAATGTCTTTGTCTTTCCGTCTCTCCCATCCCCCTATTTCTTCCCGCTCTCTCATCGTCTTTCCTTTTCTCTCTCCAGATAACCCGGGATGTTTTAATATTCGAGCATCTCTTCCAGAGCCGAGTGAGCCGCCAAAAGATGTGAGCTCAGCCGTTTTACGTAAGTCCTCTTATCCCTTATTTATACCATTTTTTGCTATCTCCAAGGAAATCTGCTCTGGTTTTCATGAGTGTCTTGATACTTTAAGAAAGATTTCTTTAAGTTTGGTTTTTCAAGTAAGTTGATGTGGTAAGAAAAGGAGAAGTACATTTCGAAATTTGTATTTTCAAATTTGGCAACTTTTTAGAGTCAAATTTAGGCCCCTATGATCATTGTACAATAATCATGATGATTTTTGATTAGTGTTGGTAATAGGTCAACAAACAAAAGAATAATCATGTATTTTTTATATGCATTTTGTTATGTCTATTTTTACCAAAATAAAGAGAAAGAGAAAGAAAGGGAGAGTGAGAGAGAGAGAGAGAAAGAGAAAAAGAGAGAGAGAAAGAGAGAGAGAGAGAGAGAGAGAGAGAGAGAGAGAGAGAGAAAGGGAGAGAGAGAAAGAGAGAGAGAGAGGAGTGAGAAAGCTACGACGAGGGGTCATTCAATAAAGATATAATAATAGAGATGCAGGAGGGCGTCAATTTGAGCCTGACCCCCCCCCCCCGGGGGGGGGGGGGGGGAACAATAATCATTGAATTATTTATACCTCTCGTGCACACGTAATTGCTTTCCCATCTTATCCTGAAGCCTGACGATTATAAATTCCGTTTACAGACCTCGCGACCAAACCGTCATTTCTCAACGTGTCACATAATAGTCCATTGTGGCTTACGTTGACGTTATTTGCTATAGGTCGCCATAAATCATCGAACTACTTGTGTTGTGACAATGACGTCACGGCAATACAAGTACGATTAAAATGAAATAACATGCTGATACAATCTATTAATTTACTTGGAGAAGTTATTGTCATATTGTTTTAGAGAAACTTAGTCACTATGACATTTTTAATTTTTTTTTAATTTTTTTTTTTTTTTTTTTTTTGGGGGGGGGGGGGCCGGATCAAATTTTATGTTTGCCAGCAAGTTAGATAAAACGTTTTAAACGATATAAAAGAGGAAGGCTTATCCATAGTTTGTTTTCATTTTGCAGGCAAGAATAACAATTTGATCTTTACATTCCATGTTTGTCGACAGATTGATGACCCATGACTATTGTCAATTTGCCGGATCCAACGAGTAAGAAAGAGGAAATAACAAAGGTTAACACAATATGTGATAAATTGCCTCCGGAGGTGGATTGGGAGGGGGGAGGGGGTTCTCGTGTTTGCCGACAGAAAATTTGGAATGATGGAAGGGGGTTGTAAATTGATAGTGTATTGATAGTGATGATTATCATCGGTATATGAGCGATATACGATATCAACTATACAAACGAAAAGCATCATCAACTGACTGAATTAGTATTGGTCATTTTCCTCCCCTTCTTTTAATCACTGTACAATAATTTTCTGCAGAATACTGATACTCTTCTTTTATTTCTTGATCAACTTACAGAGCACGTGGTGAAGGTGTTTCCCTTGCCTATATGTAGTTTTCTTCTTCTTGTGATTACGTCATCGCTCAGTACCATGGGTCTCTTCTTCCCTCAACGTCGCTGTTTTATGTTCCTTACTGGAGCGGGTCACATCCTCGCAGGTGAGAACGGGGGATTCCCCGAAATGCACATGCACTCCACCAAGTCTGGCATATTATAATAAGTATGTCCAGACATTGTAATGATTGAGGGGGCACCTGCATTACTTTACTCAGCGGCGAATGAATATGCGAATAAAAAAGGGTCATCGCTTGTTGAGGAGAGGGTGTGGAGTATGGAACTATCTCGTTTTTTTCTTGTTACGCCCCCCCCCCATCCTCTCTCCCCCATCCTCCCCCCCTCTCTCTCTCTCTCTCTCTCTCTCTCTCTCTCTCCCTCTCTTTCTCTCTCTCTCGCCCCCTTTTCTTATTTTTGTTTACACACAAATTTGATCCACCTCCCTTTAAACCTGATCGATTCCTCTCTGCCACGTCCATCTTACGTTGGATACGCAAATGTCTAAGACCCCGACCATTAACAAAATATCTTCATTTTTACATGAAACTAGTTTCCTTCGAAAACATATTTCTTGTAGTTCATTTGTAATATATACTCCCATATTTTCTTAAGAAGATGATCGAATTGGCTTTTGGAAAACCTGAAAAAATATTGGAGGCATTTATGGCACCCTCGAAAGGATTTCAGCCGCTTTACGCTCTTAAAACACCGCGCCTTCCAAAACGATCTGATACAATATATGCTATAATGCATAGTTTTTCTTTAAAAAAATGTAAAAGCACAGAGGATTCTAAGAAATATTATGCGCTATACAAACACTTTCCATTAACATTGCAAGTATTTCCCCTGTCCCTCGGTTTGTCCAGCCCCCCCCCCCATCATACAACGATCCTGCTATATCGTCATATGAATACAATATAACTAATACTAGATGAAATAGATAAATGCATTATTAGCTCATGACGTGCACTGAATAAAGTTTTAAAAACATTCAAATTTTGGTTGAGGGTTAAAAATAATCATGACACTAAACATGCTAAAAAGGAGATGTTATAAGCTTTTCCTCTTTGTTTTCGTTTAATTTTATTTTTGTGTTAACATTTGGTAGGATTGTGTTCCTTGACGGGTCTCATCCGGTACATCATCGCCGTCAACGACGCCGTGATCGAGAAGCACCCCGTATCACAGGACAAGCTCTTCGAGCACAAGTACGGCATTTCATTCGTGCTCGCCGTCCTCGCCTTCTTCCTCATCAACTCAACCGGCGTGGCCAGCCTCTATCTCTACATTCGGCTAGAAAAGATGGCGGTTCGAAGCGAGCAGGATCGGTACCGTCATCAGTTCACCATGAGCTCGTGTGTCACCAGCTCGCCCGACATCGAGATCACCGCGCACGATGTCGATGAGGAGAACGATGCCGCGGATGGGAGTGGTCGCCGTGGTGGTGACAGGACGAGTGAGGAGAATCCCCTGCGACCTCGTCCGGAGGGGATCGAACGCGATTTACATATCGACGGCCAGCAGAGGCATTATGTCAATTATAGTAACAACGAACCGGTTAGTCAACCGACTTCGATCGAGCTATAAAGAAGGCTGTTTTAAAAAGAAAAAAATTAGCAATATAGTCTACATCGAAATTTATCAAATAATAATCTTGAAAGTAAAGTTTTCTTCTTATGTGAACATGCATATGGTATAGTGAAAGACTCAAGTCCGCTACTTAAATTGGCCGCCATTGGCTTCCCATAAAAGAGAGAATTCTCTTCATGATCCTACTGGTTTTGTTAAAAGCTTTCCATGATCAAATTGCCTCAAACCCATCACTAGATGGGTCTCTAGCAGAGTCTCTAGAAGAGCAACGATTAGGAGTTTTCTAGGGACCCTTTTTCATACCATTCCAAATACTTGGAGCAAAGCTGCAGATGTTCGCACATCTACTGTAACACCATCCAAAGAATGGAACAATTAACCAATCTGACAAAAAATCTGCTAATTCCATGCTGCAGAGACTATTATAATAAATTCTTGAAAACAAGTCTCTTCCCAGAATGGTTAAGCTCCTTTTGATTTCGTTCCTTTGAACTTGTTCAATTTAATATATTTTGTAAACACTGTGTTATAATTGTACTATGTAGAGAGTTTTTACAAAATAATGTTTGCGTACTACGAGTTTTACATTATTCTAAATAACAATTACGCTTTATGCAAATTTGTTATCTGTTCAGTTATCATATTGTTATGTATATATAAGTTAACTATGTACGATATAACTGTAGAAGTAATAATAGTAGTAGTAGTAGTAGTAGTAGTAGCAGGCGCGTACGCAGGGGGGGGGGTGGGTTGGGGGTTGAACCCCCCCTTTGGTATGTGTTATGTGTGTATTTTGGAGGAACCCCCCCCCCTTTGATCGGCCCGATTGAAAATGTTAAACCTTCCCCCCCCCCCCCTTGAAAAAATCCTGCGTACGCGCCTGAGTAGTAGTAGTATCAGTAGCAGCAGTAGTAGTGGTATAGTAGTCGTCATCGTCGTAGTAATAGAAGTAATATAGTATGAAGTAGAAATATTATTAGTGGTCAAACGTGATCGAAGTACTACAGTCGTCATCATCATCATCGTCGTCGTAGTAGTATATTGAATATCACGAGAAATTTGACAGTATAATTGGAACTATAGGAACTGGGTAAGAACGAAAGACGAAGTCAGAGTTGCTCAGAAAATAACAGGGTATAGCGCCGATTAAGATGCAGTATTGAATCGTCTTGTAGTCCACATTGGTTCGAAAAGGGGATGCGGTGGGGAGTGGGGGGGGGGGGGGGGGGGGGGAGGGGGATGAGGGTTCTATTCCAAAATTTGTCTTTGTTTAGTTTATTATGAATGAAAGATCACAACAGAATCTCAAAGCCCCCCCCCCAAAAAAAAAGCACCCGAATTACCAGCCCCCTTATTAAATTATCACGCGTCTTTTCAGATGATGACATTCCAAAAGTTCCAAAAATGTATCTACTCCCCTTCCTGTGATTATAAGTTCTGAATACTCATTAAATTGCTGCTTTGAAAGCATACACAAAGCGGTGAGGGGGGGGGGGGGTGGGGGGCTCTTTTTGCAGCCCAGCTCCGTAATTGCCCTTTTTATTTAACGGGGGGGGGGGTCCCAACATTCCACAACCCTCACGTCGTAGTTGGGCATCGAATTACAACCCCGTTTTAAGATTACACTGAAGTCTGAAAAATTGCTCCATCAAAAGTGAATTACAGTACGTAAGGTTTGTCAGTTTGTCTTTTATTAATTGTGATAAGCAAATACGTTTTTTTTTTATAGATCACAACCTGAATGACTTTGTGTAATGTATTTGTGTAAAAGTATATTGTAAGTGCTGGTGATTTTTGTCATTTCAATTGTCGAATTATGATACGAACAATATATATTGCGTGAACTGAATGATGTCACGTCAGTCAACTTAATTTGGTAACTTTTTCGATGTCAGTTGTATTCTGTAGTACGAAATAACTGTTCAAAAGCTGGACTTCGTAATTTGTGTTAAGCATTAATTGATAACTTTGAATGTTGTCAACAAGTGTGAATAAAACATTTGTTAAGACATTTAGGCTGTATCTGTTGCATCATTACCATGTAACCATACGTTTCCTGTACCTACCAACTGACCAACATGTAAATATACCGAGTGCCTCTAGAGTTGAAAGGGGGAAGCGTCGCCAAAATTAATTGATATTTTTGTCTTTTCTCTCTCTCTCTTTCTCTCTCTCTTTATTTGGCTCCCCTTCCTCGGTGAGATGAAAAATGTTTTCTGGTACCTCTCCATTTTGATTTAAATTTAAATTCTCTCTTCTTTCATTAAATTTTTCATTTTGATGGTATGACTATTTTCCCGCATTTTTAACATAGAAGTAATATCCAGACGTACATGTCTTTTATCAAAAGTCAAAAATACATACACTGTATATGATCATATTATCGTAATACAAATTAATTAAATAATTTTACCCTAGGTTTAGGTATATAAACGTATACATAAACTATAAATACTTGTAAAGCAATCTACGCATTTAGTTAGATTATATAGAAAACTAAAATGCAAAGATACAAAGAACATGATAATTCTGCACAATTTAAATCATTGTTAGTATATTTTTTATTTATTATGAATTCACATCGAGTAATTACGGTGAATGAAAAATATGGATAAAACATGTATGCAGGAACATGGCAAGTATTATATAAGAGGATAACTTTGAAATAAATACATAAAAAAACACAATGAAAACATACAGGAAAAAAGAGAAATAGGCACTAAGATAAACCAACAGTGTTGTATATACTCCCTATATTGTTTTAGATAAAAACATGCCTTTTCAGCAATGAGATAGTAAGATAGGTGAAATAAAAAGTAGTATATTAATCATGTTTACAGGTACATACAAGGGTGCAAGTGTCCTATGGTGTCTCCAACGGGTTTCAAAGGTGTAACCAAATACCAGGTAAAAACGATTCATTCAATTTTCTACCAAAGGGCACTAGTAACACTGGATGAGTTTTAAACCTGATGCCTTGATTCAGCATTTAAAACAAGTTTTAATGAAACAAACCAACTTTTACCCAATCGTATACGTTAATTGATGGTTTGCACACAAGAGTTGCATATCACAACTCTTCAACCTATAGCAGTTTAGCGTCGACTTTTATTTACGCTTTATTTTCATTTTTTGATCCAGAATGCTTGGAAGTATAAATTGTACATGATCAAGAAGTGCAAAAATCGATGGAAAATTTGAGTCTATTTCTGCTGTAGTACATTGTACCATTTGTTTATGAATAATAGCGGTTTAATCAAATATAATAACTGAAGTCTCTAGATTGGCAATGCAGATTGAAATTGATAATTACTATTTTTGTGTACAAATTGGCAATTTGTTTTCTTTCACACTATTCATTCAATATTTATTTTAATTTTTTATACTATGAGAGTGGAAAATACAAATAACTGTTGTCAATTTGAGGATGAAACCCTTAAGAAATCCCTGAATTGCTCATGCAAGAGGTCCCATGGACATGAAATTGCACTTGTAAGTAATACCTTGTTAGTGTAATTTACATAGTTAAGTTAATGATGTATCAAATTTCCAGATCTTATTTAAAGACTGCTAAAAATTAGTCGTACATTTTTCGTCATTTTGAGAAGAACATAAATTGGGAGTAATATTCATGACATCACAAGCACAACTCTCTTGGCAATTAACTCTAAAATTTATGATTTTTGGTGTCAAATTTTTCTTTTCTTCAAAGTTAGTTTCTATTCGGATTCCAAAATCGAGTCTTATTCTGTTCTATTCATAATAAAGTCTTGGAAAATGGGCACTTAACAAAACATTAGCCCTGTAATATTTGGACTTATAACTGATGGCATCTCTTCCAAATTAATCATATTTCCTAACTGTGAATCAACTGTATCTTACAATCTTATAATGCAGAAAGAATCTGTGAAGATACAATTAATTGTAGCTAGAATGGAAATACATATTAACAAAAACAAAACCCAATGTATTGAAGATAGATTTTTATGTCACAGGGCCATGATAAACATGAATAACTAACAAAGATGAGGAACCTTCAAATTTCAAGTCTTTCTCCCATTAACATTACACGTTCCCCATAACATCAAGCTGATCCTATCAAAAACAGAAAATCAATAAGAAATAATGTACCAGTGGAAGTTTGAGAACATTTTCCATGGATATACAGTAGGCTTGCGGGTGCACCATGTGAGAGAGAGGGAGGATTGAGGAGTCCTGAAAAGGACTATCAGTAATCTTGGATTACAATTATAAATTTTCATAATAGTGAAGATCCCTATACAAATTGGCAACTCAATTATTTAATTCCAAAGCTATTAGCCATATATCAAGTACTGAAAAGTTAATGAAAAAGACCACTATACTCCACACATTTGTTTCCTTCTCATTTTAATCCCAGAAATACATCATTGGGGAAATAATCACAAATGCCGCCCTCTATGGAAGAAATCTATAAATCTATCATTAAATGAAAGAGGGATATCTTGAAAAATCATATGAACCGAATGATATTGAGAAATTAATCATAAAGTTGCCAATTTGTTTAATGCAGTTCCCCAAAATATAATATTCTTTATCGAATTGTCTTTGAATTTCCAATGACCCAGTTTTTAGAAATAAATAAATAAAGAAAGAAAAATAAGAAAAGAAAAAAAAGAGGAAAAAAGAAAGAAAACAAATCTGATAAATACAAGAGCAGTGCGGACTTTCCTGTTAATTTGTCTATTGAAAGAAGCTACATTAACAAACTAAATAAATACATCTTTTTGCCACATTAATATTGTATGCATTACCACAACCAATCATGACAAAGACACAAATGTGAAGGAAACTATATGGTATATAATAAATAGCTATAGTAGACAAATAAATTGTTATATTAGTCATGACATGCTTTGGAATTTAAAAGGCACAAAGTTTCAGCCACGCAACTTAAATTTGTTCACATCAGTATGCAGACTTTTATGTGTCCTGACGAATAAAACACATTCACAATTAACTGAATATATCTCTTTACTGGATATCAAACACATTATAAATAACTCCCCCTCAAAACATACAACCTAACAACTCACATACGGGGTTAAATGTATGGCTATAAACAACAATAAGTAGAAAGGAATCGAGGCTAGGCCAAAAATGTCAATCACTGTTATACCTTACAAGATTATACTGTTACATAATCACATGACCCATGACTAATCACAAAATCACTTCCTTCTGACCAGATTTTCTTTTCCGTCTATATGTTTCTATTGACCCACTTATAAGTCTTCATATCATTAACACAAAAACGCTTCCATGCAAGTAAAATATCCAAATCTCTTGCTAAAATAATGGTGATAAAAATAATATAAAACATTAAAATCCAAAACATGGACACAGAAATAGATTCAGATCAGAGGGTTAATAATAATAATGATGATGGTGGCTTCTTATGTAGTGTACATGTCCGTCATGTTGTGATGCTCCTGGCGCTGCCCTGATTATTACCCTGGCTTTAGCAAGGCGGCCACTGCGGCGCTCTAGCATTTCGAGGAATCAATTCCTGCCAGGTACGTTGTGGCGTATTATATAAATCATCTCTTGAGAGCCAAAAGGACGTTACCTCTATGTTAAAATATTTGAGTTAACGCCCTTCTGGCACCCACACAATAAAATGATCCGCCTTTCTAATTTATTTGATTCCATAAAAAGTGCCTGTACATGTACTACATGTATTGTCACAACTCACAAAGCAAATATTTCCCAATTTTATGTTAAACCCTGCTTTTAATTTTGTCCGGTTCATTTAGTTTAATAAAAAAAAACAATGTTCAGAAACTGACGTTTTAGATTGTAGAATGTAATATCAAGAAACATACGGGCTGAAAATGAGAATAAAAGTAAACCATGTTCACATTCAAATATCAAAATCCTATGTCCATTGGCAATCATTCAGTTACATCTTTGAAAATTGTTTGAAATGGAAACAAACAAAAATATGTCAGTAAAATACAACTGCAAGTTCACACTCCTCAGTACCTTCTTTTTCGCTTGTTTTCATACACATACTTTTAATACAGTTACAACATGGTTTTATGAACTGGATAAATTATGTATTTCAAATTTCAACAATATCAATATGCACATCACTTGAAATATCTTCATAGGTAAAGGTATGAAGGGCAGTGCAATAAATGTATAATGAGGTTGTAATTTTTTTAATAAAAAGTATGCAAGTCTCTGAGTAGGCAGGCTGCGTGAACGTGAAATTTTCCAGTCAAATGTAAACACAAATCCTGAATATTCATCATTTTTTATCTATCTTTCTTTCTTTCTATCTATCTATCTATCTATCTATCTATCTATCTATCTATCAATCAATCAACGCTTTATCTTTTCAACTACTACCTATCTAGACTATCTATCAATGTATTCACCTATCTACAATGTATCTATCTATCTTTCTATTAATGTTGAAGTTATCCATGAGTCTAACTTTTGATCTAGCCCTCGACACATTACTATAGAACAAGTTTGCAGCAGAACAATCCGAGGAAAGAGATTTCAGTTGAAGGCACTCGCATCAAAGACATCTGCCAGGCTTGGGTCCTTGACCCGTTTTAACCTCTCAAAGTGGGCCGAGCGAAGTAACCTGTTGACATGACAGTAGTACGTCTCTGAAGTCTCGTGGAGAACGTCCGGGAGAGGGCCCAGGTACGGGTGTTGGTGGGATGGGGGCAGGATCCCCGCATCTTTCAAGAGTAAGGGATGATGCTGATGCTGGTGGTGGTGACAGGATGGGAGAGAGGCAGGTGGAGGAGGTGAAGGAGAATGGGGAGGGTTGTTGTTTCCATGTCTGTCTAGATGGGTATTGTGTAGGGCTGCTATGATGTCGGCACTGTTGTGTGAGTGTGGAAGACGGTGGGAGGCGGTGCTACCAGCCTGAGGACTTGTTGCTAGCGGCGACGTGGAAGAGGATGCTGCCTGTAATTAAGGATTCACAATGTTACATAAATTGTCAATCTTACAATAAGCACACGCTAATAGAGAAGCAATATCTGCAACATCATTTCACAAACAAAAATGTATTACATATTTAACACTTTAAAGCATGTTTGCACTAGTTTCGCCAGGGGGGATTAGGCCTCCTTGCAAGGTTGTTTTTTTTTTTTCTCTTTTAAAACTATTTATCAAGTAATTTGTACATACATCATGATAACAATAATCATAAAAATCACTGCACAATAATTACAAAAGGTAAAAACAAATGAAAAACGTCAAACAATACAAAAATAGTGGGTAACATTTTCTTTTCTACAGTGTATATCATAGGATTAAAATCAAAATACTTCTTCCATAGGGGACCATTTCTTATAGTGCACTGACAGGTTGTTATCTCATCAAATCAGCTCTCAATTAACATAAGAATAAGAGGATCATGGGGGACCAACAGGCACCGATTAGGCATTGTTTGCTATATAGAGGGCGCAAGTAGCTATAAGTAGTGCAGTGGGGCTTTGAATAAAAAACATTTTCTTGATGATGGCTGAAGGACATGTCTCACCGATACTTGAGATAAATCATACATGTGGAACTCACTAATCTTTGTCTTAGACTACTTGCCTGTGAATGATGTGGCTCCCCTGCTCCATCCGCCTGGTCTTCATGGAATCCTTGACAGGAGCTAAAAGCAAGTAAATCACAAATCCCCAAAACCATCGATCAATATAACTACATCAGGGGGGCATTTCACAAAACTTGTCATCAGTGACAAATGACAGTTTTTATTATAGCTACTGAAATCCTTGCTTCTGATTGGTTACCAGCAGATTTTTCACTGATTGTTGTCATTTGTCATTGAAAAAAGGCTTACCGGTAGTGAAACGGGTCCCAGGTCACTTCCCCAAATGCTCTTGATATGGACCCCTATTGTACTACTAATACTAAAACTTTAAAGCTAGCATAAGGATCAATTTATCATTACCATCATTGTTAATTATTATCATTTAAACTATTTGACATCATCATATGTCCCATTGTTATGGGGAAAAGAAAACTGAATCTCAATGACCCTCTGCCTTCCTGCAGAATTGATTGGATTGAAGAAGAAGAGGAAGAGGAAGAAGAAGAGGAAGAGGAAGAGGAAGAGGAAGAGGAAGAGGAAGAGGAAGAGGAAGAGGAAGAGGAAGAGAGGAAGAGGAGGAGGAAGAAGAGGAAGAAGAAGAAGAAGAAGAAGAATAATGATATCTACAACTGAACTAACCTGTCAAAGTTGTACTCTCTCCTCTTTGTTCTTGGTAAAATATCACTGTCTTCATCTTTGCTCCTAGAGCGTTTTTGACTGAACAGAAAACAAAACAAAAGAAAACATGAAGCATAGAGTCTAGATCTAAATGAAGTACAACTGCAATCAGCAAGAAAAGCAGACAAGAGTTTTTGTATACATGTACCCGAGTTGTTATTTCTCAAAGCATTTACCACTAAAGTGATGTACATGTATCATGCTTTTTACACAAAAATAATCAGGTTCATGTTGCTGTAAAGTGAGATTCAAATCATTCAACAATACATAACATGTTCAAATAATTACATAAAGTGTTATGTTGTGGCCCCAATAAAGTGTGTTATTGCTATTGACTGAAAAAAAAAACTATTTTGCTATTTTCAAAATCCCACAGCTACAGTATTCTGGATAATCTTCATTATAAATATCAAAATAATCAATTCTTTATCTAGAGATAGATATTGTTTTCTTACTCAAAATGAATTTATTCATTTGAATTTGACGATTGCTTTTTGGGCTATTTATAAATGATTATTTTTTTGTAACAAGTATGGGTATGATAATAGAGAATTGAATTTCATAATTTGTTATTTATTTAAAATTATTATAGAAATAAATGAACATTTGAAAGTTCAAAATATGAAATTTCCTGCAAATTTGCTGTTATATTTGAACAAATATTATTGTGTACGTGTTATTGATGTTCTATTGTTCTGCTACATTGTAAGTGATATGGTTCCTTGTATTAATTGTAGCTTTTATAAAGTGTAATATTAGCCTATATGTATAACAAGTACCGTCAAGAATTAATAATTTCATCTTCAAAATGACCATAATTAGAAATAAAAATAGAAAAATAAAACTATGTTTGCTTGGAGTTTTCTATTATATTTTGTATTTTTAAACTCTCTAGTCTCCGCCAGGCTCCAAGAGAAGAATTGCCCGGAATGGGTGAAGCCAGCTCTAAACCAGACAGAGTCTCAGTGGAACATAAACGGAAGAAATAGACATATTTTTCGGTCTAATTTATCTAAATTATCTAAATTACAATAGAAGGCTGTTTGATTACTTTACGATGCCCCGTTCAATGCCCACACTTTGCCACTTTTTCAACAATTAAAGCTTCTAAATGTTTATGATATAAATAATGTTAATATTGCTATATTTATGTTTATGTATTCTAAGGGATTATTGCCAAGGTCCATGTCATGTAAATTTACTTTCAATTATGAAATACATTCTTATGAAACCCGTAATGCTGGTAATTTTCATTTTCCTAAAATTGGTACAAATGTTTAAAAAAACAGTTTTTTTCAAAGGGCCAGTTTTGTGGAAAAATATCCCATTTGATATAAAAAACTCTACTTCACTGAATATTTTTAAACGAATGTATAAATCCCATCTTTTATTATTGTATTCAATCTCAAAATAAATGATGTTACGTTTCAGTTAATGCACTTTCTAATGTATTCCCCCTCCCCTCCCCTTCCCTTCTTCCTTTTTTTGTTTTCTTCTTTTGTATTGGTGTTTAGATTCTCTCGGCTTTCCTTTTCCTTTTCTCAACAATACAATGTATACGTTCATAAGGCTAATTGCCCTTTTTTTGTTAACCCCACATTCACTTAAAATGTTGTTTGCTCCTTCCCTTTGTATTTTTCTTGTAATCGATCTTTTATCTGTAGAGGTCTATACCATGTTTGTATGTTTTGATGTTTTTATGGAGAATGAAATAAGTGAAATTAAATGAATGAAATAAATAAAAACATGAATGAATGAGTTGCACAGGCACCGGCACATAATTTAGAACGGTGAAATTCATGAAATCTATTCATTGCTAGGTACTTCAGGGTCCATGAATCTATTCAGATTTCAGAATATTCATATTACTAATTACTACTAGCTATTCTTATATTTCTTTTACAATAAATTTTGCTGCTTTTGGTGCTAACATCATAACAATTTATTTCTGCACAAGTGTGCAGCTTCAGATGGAGTGCGTGATGCGTGAACGGTGGCCCATCCCCTTTTCGCCCTGCGCCGTCCGCATAAAAGTAGCCACAATACACAAAAAGTCCGATCATATACTGCGCATATATTCTACGTACACAGCTCCAATGCAATGGACAATGACAAAGCACAGCTGATCGTTCAACGAATGTGCCTCAGAACTTAAATTTCACAGAAGACATAGATCAATCCATCTTTATCATTTTATTCACACATGCAATGCTCCCTAAATGTTCGACTGGGAAACGTTTTAACATAGTTTAACACTCTCATTTACGAATTACAGCAATTTTACCTAGCCTTTGTTAGTGTCATCTCCCTCTCTTCTGTTGATAAGTGTTGCGAAATCACACACCGCACGTTCGCACAGTACATATCCATATGCCTTACGCACGCAAAATACCTAATCTCCTATGGAGCTTTTACGTACGCGTACGGGCACGTCATTTGTTATGTTTACAAATCGACCTTCAGCATGGCTGACCTTTGAACAGCTGGTATGTCATTTCGTTCGCTTGCCCGCAAGTTTGCCTTATTACGTATAGATCTACAATGCAACCATCGCTATTTTGCATATCAGCGAATTATGTTTACCCCCAGACCCATACTCTCAGTCTATACACGTGGGTTTCTTGATGTTGAAGTCTAACTCTACACGATCTACTGCTGACGAAGCTACGCTGCGAAATAGAGTTTATCACGGATCCTAATCAAGCGAATCTCAAGACGAAAATAGCCCATTTTACTTCCATATTTCTCCGCTGAAATGTCGGCGATGGATGATCTTGAATTTGAGGAAATAGAGCCGGAGGAGATTATGGAGTTAGTGGATCATGAAAAGAGCGACGATGATGAAATCGAAGAAGAAGATCATGAAGATGGAGAAGGTTCAAGCGAAAGTCAAAGACAAGAAACAAGAGTGTATCTTCCTGGCCGTAACGATGAAGAGATGGGTGATGACGAGGTACTTGTCAAAGATGAGTCTGCTTACCACATGTACCACCATGCTCAAACAGGTATCTTTCCAAATTCCCAGTCATCCTAATCCGAATCCTAACTCCTAAGACCTAAAGTTAAACTAAGATGAGATGAGTAAGACACAAGTTGCTTTGAATATTAACATGATGATGAAAGTGAAACTTAAATCAAATTTAGTCAATTATTAGACTAGATCTAGTGACTAGTGTCTGAGAGAGAATTAAGTGAAACATTGAGAGCAATCTCTTTATTACTACTAGACTAGTCTTTTGTTTTTTTGTATGATCAATTATCAATACAATATCTGATAAGATAATAGATTTGTTCAAATTTTTCATCATCCGAATTAACAAATGTAAACGATGCATCGTCAACATTTATCTTTTGCTGCTTTGCATCTAGACCGAAAGCTTCAGTCTCTATACCGTCGGTTGTTCCACTGAGACTACGTCTGGCTCCACTAGACCTCCGGTTATAGAGACTGAACGATCGCCTATGCCAGCCTATGTTGAAGATATCACGGCTAGATTTTAGCCGTTAGGCCCCTCCCACAAACATGAACAAACTTGCCACGGCCGTATTGTTATGCCCCCAAAATCCCCCAAAATGTCATTTTACCTCGTGCATATCCAATTTTACATTAGGCCTAGGCTATAATACATCGGTTCCATGATTATGAAGGAAAAACTGTGATAACGCCATTACGAATGTGTAGATGGCGCACAGTTTTTCCTTCATAATCATGTTGCCTTCGGCGTAGACTAGAAGGGATGAGATTGACGGCAGCGAGAGTTTAACACGGCTTGCAAGATTTTCAACATGGATGTCGATTTTGACCCATAATTTCCTTAAAAGGGACCATTAAACGGATTATTTCAATCAAGTTAGTAAGTGGAACCGATGTATTATAGCCTAGGCCTAATGTAAAATTGGATATGCACGAGGTAAAATGACATTTTGGGGGATTTTGGGGGCATAACAATAAGGCCGTGGCAAGTTTGTTCATGTTTGTGGGAGGGGCCTAACGGCTAAAATCTAGCTGTGATATCTTCAACATAGGCTGGCATAGGCGATCGTTCTGTCTCTATAACCGGAGGTCTAGTGGAGCCAGACGTAGTCTCAGTGGAACAACTGACGGTATAGAGACTGAAGCTTTCGGTCTACTTTGCATCTAGTTATAGATCTAGATGTACAACTTAAAGATCTCCTGTCTGTCATTCCTGTTACTGTGTAAATGTAAGGAATATTTTTAACATTTTCAATTCCAAAAGTTAAAGGAACTGTAAAGTTAATAAAAATGAGTAGATCTAGATCTAGGCCTACATTAATTAGAGTTTACAAATGTTTTATTTTATCTCCCATCCAAGGTTCGCCATGCCTTAGCTTTGATATCTTGAAAGATGGTCTTGGAGATTCAAGAGTTGCCTATCCACACTCAGTTTACATTGTAGCAGGTGAGCAAATATTTTTTTAGCAATAGAGTTTTGGAGCTGTGGAACGGCCTCCCAGAAAACGGTGTGGCAGCTGGGTCGGTCAACTCGTTTAAGACTTGATAGTCACTGGTCAAAGAATGCAAGCCTTCTGTATGAGCCGGTCTAGGTGTTGTCAGTTGTCTCATGTTAGCACACAACCTCCTCCCTCCACAAATAGCAGTAACTAGTCACTAGCAGTAACCATGGAAGAATCCTGGATCGATGAACAGGCTTAGACATACATCTTGTTTATCAAAGTAAAAGTTAAAGTAAATCGTATATATTTGCAATTGATCAGAACAAGTTGACTCATAAATTATGTCTTCAATTCCCTATTTTCCCCAAGGCTGTATGATAAGAACCACTCTTGTTCATGTGTAGGCAAAATGTATAACAATTTCAGATAGACACCACATTATGAGTAAGAGAAAGAAAATAAAAGAAGGAAAAGATGGAAAAAAAAGGTAGAAAACGGTCAAATGAATTGATTGACCAAGTGATGAAGGAATGTTGTGAATGTTATTACTTCAATGTTGTTTATAGAAAATCAAAAGAGTTGAACTTTTTTCATTGAAAGGGCTGTGACAATAAATGGTGTTGTTCTTTAAGGGCATTTGAATTCAATTTTCCATTCAAGGAGGTTCTGATATTTTAGAGTGTGTGGGTCATTGAAGATGGTAAAAAACCTGCTTAATTAAGGGTATTCAGAATAGTGAGAATACAACATATTTTTCAGTGATAAATATGGCAAGTTAAGTTGCAAAGATATGGTAGGTATTTTATTCAAGTGTCCATATCCAAATGTTAGATTTTCTCAAGTAAAAGCCTTAATTTTTTCATTAGCAGTCTTAAACAATAGCTCTTACTTTTTTTTTCACTCTGATTTGTGATTCGGGGGGAATTAGAAAGAGTTACTGAGGTATTCTCATAGTCAAAGGCATATGATCCTGACCACATTATCTTCAACATACTTTTTTTTTAATGATGTAGGGTCGCAAGCGGAGAAGGCTCACCTTAACCATGTCATTGTGATGAAGATGAGCAACATGAACAGGACAAGCAAGCCATCGGAAGAGGATGATGATGATGAGGATGACGATGACAGTGATGACGAGGATGACAAGCACCCCGAGTTGGAGACGGCTATGATAGACCATCTTGGTTCAGTCAACAGAATCCGGGTAAGAAAGACTGGAGATAAAAAATAATTTCCAAAATATACAAACGCCTTATTTGCTCGGTGAACCTCTCTCGAAATTCATCTGTACTCAACATTTTTTCTGTGATTTTCTGTCTAATTTCTTTTTACGTATATTGCTGTTTCATTCAATAAGTGTTTCTTTCTTATTTTCATAAATTCATCTGAACTTAATTTTTTTCAATGCTTATGTTCAGTTTCCCTTACATAAATTTTATTTTGCAGTTTCATTCAAAACGTGTTTTCTTTCTTTATTTGTGTAGTGTGCACTTCATTTTTTTGTCTGTAATTAATTAGATTGTTGAAAATTAATCGAACATTGAGAGGAAATTTTGCAAAGAAAATCATTTTTTGCTCTTTTCATGAATATAATAATATAACCAAAATTTTGAAACTGATGTGAATTATCAAAAAAAAAAAAAAAGTTTGTTTAATGTTCACTGTTATTTACTGGTATTCAGTCATTTAAAATATTTGGAAGTTTTTTTTAATAGAAAGTTTCTGATTTAATAACTTACATACAGTATCACTATTTTAGAGCGCAGGATTTTGTGTAATGTCGAAGTGTAAACCTGTAAACATCTTCTTCCCCCCCCCCCTTGATCAGAGGACCACCGTCGGTGACAGGCAGGTTGCTGCCTCCTGGTCAGACACAGGGAACGTTCACATATGGGATCTCAGTGACCCTCTACAGGCCCTGGAAAGCCCCGCCGCTATGGCTAAATACATGAGGCAGAACAACAGTAAGCCTCTCTACACCTTCAACGGTCACGTGGCCGAGGGCTACGCCTTGGATTGGTCACCGACTGTTCCAGGTAAGAACTGATTTTCGTTTCCTTACCAGACAGTTTTGAGTGGTTGACCATTCAGTGAAGACAATGATTTTCTCTGAGACTAGTTAGTTTACATTTATTACATGTACATGGACTTTAATGCATAATTCCAAAACAAAGCATGAACAATTCTTAAGCAAATGTTGCTGTTGATAACTTGGAAGCATTCTTGATGCTTGCCTGACATGGCATGGCATAATGTATAGACATGCTATTATTTTCCATTGTCAGATATTTTGAGTTGTAAAAGCTCCTGCAATTGTATGTCAGCAAATTTGTTCAAGCATTGTGATAGTTAATATTTATAGCAAGTTTTTATGAAACTTTGACCTGATGGGAGTCTGGAGGGTGACTGAACAAAGTTGTTATCATTTGGGTACAAAGGCATGTGGCAATAGCCTAGGTAATTGTTAAAAAAAACAGGACAATTGTACAAAGTTAACATACACATCAATCATCTAATCTAAAACATTGAGCCAACAGAACATATGGATTTGATAAATCTTATACAAGTTATATGTTTGTTTGTTTGTAGAACATATGGGTTTGATAAATCTTATAAAACTTAATAAAATTATTACATCTTCTTTGAATTGTAATATTTTGAAACTGAAGACATAATTGATGTATGATTCTGTTCCCCAGGGACTATGTTGTCTGGAGACTGCAAGAAGCACATTCACATGTGGAAGCTGAGAGAGGGGGGTGTTTGGAACGTGGATCAGAGGCCGTATTTGGCTCATACAGACTCAGTAGAAGACATACAGTGGTCACCAAATGAGAAGAATGTAGGTCGATAATATTTTGTTGTAGACCATTTTTTTATGGAACATTTGGATTTAATCACCTGCATTGATTTGTGCAGTTATGTGAGACATTTCTCAAAACATTAAAAAAAAATACATTGATATGAAGTGAGAACATTATTGGAGCCTAGTTTGCACTTGTAAGTTGTGTGTAACAGTGTCTGAGATATAAGACTACCATAGGCTCTGTACTTGAGCTTCTCTCATATGACACAGCCAGAGACTGACATATCTAGGCTCTGCCTAAGGCTTTAGTAATTGTGGTCTAGTTGTCAATTAAAGTTTTGCTTGCAGACTAATTTGAGCTTGCAAGTATGTTTTTTGTGGAGCAAATTTTATTTTTCCTTTTCTCTTTTCAATTCATGACCTGCATTCAACACTCATTAGCATATTGAAGATGGAGCTTTTAGAGGAGACTTTTGAAAGAGATAACAGGAATGCCAAAGTAATTACATGTTGCAAATGATAATTTTATGTATATGGTTGCACATTGTGACATTTGATAGGATGTGCGGTTGTATTGTGGATGAGATACCGTTTTAAATATTTCACTTTGTTTGATAAATTTATTCATTCATTCCCTTGCTCACTTGCTTACTCATTCCATTCATTCTCTCACACATTCATTTATTTATTTATTCATTCATTCATTCAAACTGATTTTTCTCTCATTTCTTTATAGGTGTTTGCTTCATGCTCAGTAGACAAATCCATCCGTATTCAGTCCCTCACTTACTCCCTCACTCCTTCATTCATTCATTTATTTATTCATTCATTAAAACCTCACTGCACTACTTATGGCTACTTGCGCCCTCTATATAACAAACAATGCCTAATCGGTGACCGTTGGTCCCCCATGGTCCCCTTTTTCTTATGTTAATTGAGAGCTTATTTGATGAGATACCCACCTGTCAGTGACCATGCAGGGAGGTCTAATCCCACCTCACCTGGCCAAACTAGTGCAGATAGGCTTTAAAACTGATTTTCTCTTTTCTTGACAGGTGTTTGCATCATGCTCGGTAGACAAGTCCATCCGTATTTGGGATGTTCGGGCCGTCCCCTCCAAGGCCTGCATGCTGACCTTGGAAGAGGCCCATGAAAGCGACGTCAATGTGATCCACTGGAACAGGAATGATCCATTCATCTTGTCGGGGGGTGATGATGGTGTCATTAATGTTTGGGATCTCAGGCAGTTTCAGGTGAGTTTTTCATGCTAATATTTTGATGTCGTTATTTATTTGTACCCTGTGAAATGTATGAGCGTAATTTTCACGATTGGCTCATGTAGATTACAAGGACAATATGAGTCTTTTGAGCCCAAAGTCATTGATGCTAAATGATATATTGTCTGTTTAGAGCTAGAAGGGCGTTAGCCCTGACACTATGAACATGATGGACAAAGAAAGAGGACAAAATATACAGTTCCTCAGGTAGACAAAGAAACATCCCTTCACTGCTGTTGTGTAAAAATGTGTAGAACAGGTGAATATGCATGTGACACATGTTCTACACATTTTTACATAATAGCAGTGAAGGGATGTTCCTTTGTCCACCTGAGGAACTGTATATTTTGTCCTCTTTCTTGTCCGTCATATTCATAGTGTGAGTTAAAGTATATGAGTCAATGATTTTCTGGCTCTCGACAGACGTTCGTTCAGAGACAAGTTAGGAATTAAATACAGAGGCACATAACAGTACACTCGAGCCTTGACCATCTTTAAAGATGTGGGTTTAAGAAAAGTTAATATGTCATTTTCATACAGGGGTAGATTTCAGTCATCTTTACTTGCTGTGATAGTTAGGATTTGCTTCTGATAGATTGTGTGCTGGTCCCACTTTGTTGCCAATCTTATACTTTAATAGGTCTGGGTTAGTCAGTTTGCAATTCCCATTTGTGTTTTGCCTTTGTCCACTGAAGGTGGTGATGGAGGCAGTATTCTTGCAATAATGAGAAATAATAATATATATTGTGAACATATCTATCCTAGGAGACTTGTGGCACCTACAAAATTTCCCTGGCTTTAGCCTTCTTCATACCACCTTACAGTTTGTTCATCCAGGACTATACTGTTATTCACTCCATTGGTTGATAAGTGAATGATGATGAAGATCCTTTAATTTCAAATGAGTAAGAGTATTCCCAACTTCTTTATTTTCCATCAGAAAAAAGCGTCTCCTGTGGCCAAGTTCAAGCATCACACCGCTCCCATCACCTCGGTAGAATGGCACCCAACAGACAGCACCGTCTTCGCTGCATCAGGAGCAGACGACCAGCTCACCCAGTGGGATCTGGCCGTCGAGCCCGACGACACCGAAGGTCAAGGTTCAAAGGGCAATGACCCTGATGTTCCTCCGCAGCTGCTGTTCATCCACCAAGGTCAGTCAGACATTAAGGAGGTTCACTGGCACCCCCAGATACCTGGAGTGGTTATTAGTACAGCGCAGAGTGGATTCAACATCTTCAGGACTATTAGCGTGTAGCCTGCCTGATGACAGGAGTTCCAGTCCCTTGGATGGCTTTAACCTGTCACATACTGGAGCTAGTTCGTTCCTGTACAAAGCCAATGGGAATGAGACAATTCAGCATTCAATGGGTTAAAGCCCCACTGCACTACTTACAGCTACTTGCGCCCTCTATAGAGCAAACAATGCCTTATCGGTGCCCGTTGGTCTCCCATGATCCTCTTTTTCTTATGTTAATTGAGAGCTGATTTAATGAGATAACCACCTGTCGGTGACCATGCAGGGAGGTTTAATCCCCCTGGCCAAACTAGTCCAGATGGGCTTTAAGAGGAATGCCTGTGTGACTTTCTGAATGTATGGCAAAGGAATTCGACTGACTCTTCTCCCTTTTGGATTGAGGGGATAGCTATTTAAGATGTCACGCCTTTTAAGCTGGAACCATCTTCTCTCTACATTTTGACCCAATTTAAGAGTTTGATGGAAGATTAACCGGTTTTGGAGCGATGATTGTACAGGTACCACCAACAGTGTATGCCCTTTGCACAACATAGGAACCCCATGTTTACTTAGAATCTTGTACACACACCTGACCTGCAGCCAGTTGCCCTCACCTGGCCTGGAGATGAAGTCTTCCCCAGACTTAATTGGAACCTTACTTTGCCTAGTTGTAAACTAACTATGGTATATGTTCTATAGCACACATAGTTAGTTGACAATTAGTAAGGAAAGACGACTCTTCCCGGGGCCCCAGCCAGCGTCTCCGGGCTCGTTTGCTTCACAGCGTTCAGCCGCTGCAAGGAAGGCGGGCTCCGCCTTTGGGAATATCGACCCGGTTCCCTTTCATCTTAGGGGCGTGACCCGATTCTCGAAAGACCCGGCCGATGCCTCCACTTGGAGCGGAATGTTCACATGGAACCTTCTCCTTACCCAGCCCTCAAGGATTTCGCTTGAGTATTTGCTACTACAAGATCTGCGCCCACAAAGTCAGTTGCTTCCGTGCTCACCGCGGCATCCCTCCTACTCGCTGGGGCTCCTCCGCTCCAGCGGCCGGGTTTGGGCCAAAACACACGCTCATCCATTTTCAGGGCTGGTCGATTCTTAGTTAGTAATTAGCTACCGGTAAGTTAGTTTGAGCCTGACTTTTTATTAGGCACACTGGCTGGAGATAATTGCATTTTCATCAATCTTCCATAAAATCTTGGATAGTTGGCTGCCGCGGGGGCCCTAATAGGACAGAGTGTCAGTGTTATAATATCATTACCATATATGCAAGGAAGATCAACCACTTTGTTTGGAAAGATAAAGGTTCTTTACTTCTTTAAGCTCTGTCAAATGTTTTATTGAGCGAGATGTTCTCTCTTAAGCAGTTGTACTCAACTACTGCATCATGACTGATCATGGGTTACTGAATTGAGGATGTGCAGAAACAAAGGTCATATTTCCATTGTTTCTAGTCATTTATCAAGTATAACATGAATAGATTTTATTACAATTAACACTCCGAGTGATGTGAGTCCTACAGGTGTATTGTTACTTTCGATACCTTGGTTAACTTCTATGTTAAGGGATGTACCCTTAAAACTTCCTGAGAGCCAATTCTTCAGAAGAATCTAAGAGCCAGTGAACAAAAAATGATTTTTCTTTTCTTGAACTTCATACCTTATTTTATCTCTGTGTATCAAATTATATCCAAATATTGTAAAAATATTGTAAAATGTAACAAATAAGGGCGTTACATTGATAAATCATTAAGATACATTGCAAATTTGTTGAATGGCAATAAAGCCAAAAGTGCTGTGACTTCTTTTAAGAGTTGAACACACAATAATTATACCTGAAGGAGTGCCTAACTAATCAACCTGTTTACCAAAATGGCTTCATGTGTTTTTGAGAGTGAACAATTTTACTCAGTGGTCAGGAAAGAAAGGTAAGAAGTAATCGTACAATAGCAAACATTAAGTCTTTAGCTTTCCTTACACAACATCCAAAAATATGAATTTAGTCCTGTATTTTTTTGCAGTAATGGTGATGAAATCTTGGGTCTTTTTTCCATGTTTGCCACAAAATAATGTACAGTTTATCATTTTAAAGGTACATGTACATTGTATATCTTATTCTGAATTTGATTTTTATGCCTCCGTTATGCATTATCTGAAGAACCGATTGATGGATTCCTGCCAAACTTTGGTCATGTATGTTTTTTTGCAGAGCCGATGAACTGAGTAGATTTTGGGGTCACGAGGTCAAAGGTCAAAGGTCACAGGGCTCATTATGTATGCAAAAATAGCTCGTGATCGCGTTATCTCAAGAACCGATTGATGGATTCCTGCCAAACTTTGGTCATGTATGTATCTTGCAGAGCCGATGAACTGATTAGATTTTGGGGTCTTGGTCAAGGTCAAAGGTCATGCGGCTCATTATGTATGCAAAAAATAGCTTGTGATCGCATTATCATTAGAACAGATTGATGGATTCCTGCCAAACTTAGATCATGGGATGTATCTTGCAGAGCCAATGAACTGAGTAGATTTTTTGGGTCATGAGGTCAAAGGTCAAATGTCATGGGCTCATTATGTATGCAAAAATAGCTTGTGAACGCATTCTCATTAGAACTGACAGATGGATTACTATTTAACTCAGGACATCTTGCAGAGCCAATGAACTGAGTACATTTCAGGGTCATGAGGTCAAAGATCAAAGGGTCATATATGTATATGAGAAATTGCTTTTTGGTTTGTAAACTTGCTCTATGACGGAGGCATCATTTTCGACATTTTTTTTGGAGATGGGCCCCCCCCCCCTGGCGCTCAAGGGGGGGGGGGGCAACTAACTGCAAACAAGGCTTTAGAGGTGAAATGCATGTATATAAAATCTGCATTGCCTATGTGAACCTGGTGGCTCGTGCATGGGACCTATGGAAATAAGAAAATTCAGTAGTCAGTGGGTTAAAATAATCCAATTAAATTCTGCTCGTGTGATTTATGATGAGCCTACTGAACAAATGCAAATGGATTGTTGAAAAATGTTCATTTATATGTGTGATTTTCAATTTTTATTGCAGTTTCACTTCAAAAGCATACATTGGATCAAACTTATGAAACAAATTTACAATATTCATTTTATTTATCTATTTACGGAACAGATTTGTTAGATGAAATTCTCAAAGGAGATTTTCTCAAATTTCACCCATGTCTTACCATTAGAAAACCATGCTATTTTATAATGTACAATTGTCAATGTTGCAAATTTATTGCAGACCATTAAATAAATGGAAATAATTTCGGAGATATGAAATTTGTTGTGACGAGTGATCCTGCGATGCTTGCTCTGGGCTTCATTCGTCTAAGATTTAGGGTTTGGGGCATGAATTGGGTTGTATGTTAGGTTCAGGGTTAGGGTTAGGCAGGCATATAGTGTTGGGTCCAGCATTCAAGTTGGGAATATAGTTGAGACTAGAGTAGGAAATTGTGCCTTACAATGGGTTTGAGAGATTGAGAAGGAGGGAGAGACATAGATATATATAGAGAGAGAGAGGGAGAAGGAGAAAGAGATTCAAAGGGAGGGGAGGGAGAGACAGACGGAGAGTGTGGGGGGGGGGGGTAGTGTGCACTATTTTTTTTTTTTTTGCTCTCAAAAAATTTGAAAAATCTCCCCCTTGAGCGGGGCACTTTTTTCTGTGGGCCAAAAAGAAAACAGTTAAAAACCGTTAAGACTCCATCCTTTTAAATTCAATGGCCTCTTTGAAACTGCATTCATGATATGCTGTCGATTTTTATTTCTTCATTTGTCCTTTCACTTGAAGTCACTGGTTTAATATAAATGATCCCCTTCATATACTAGATGTATGGAGGAAGAGGAAGGAGGAGGAAGAAGGGGAAGGAGGAGGAGGAGGAGGAGGAAGGAGAAGGAGGAGGAGGAAGAGGAAGAGGAGGAGGAAGGAAAAGGAGGAAGAGGAGGAAGAGGAAGAGGAGGAGGAAAAAGAGGAAGGAAGAGGAAGGAGGAGGAAAAGAGGAAGGAAAAAGAGGAAGAGGAAGGAAAAAGAGGAAGGAGGAAGAGGAAAAAGAGGAGGAAGGAGGAAGAGGAGGAGGAAGAGGAGGAGGAAGAGGAGGAGGAAGAAGAGGAGGAAGGAGGAGGAAGAAGGAGGAGGAGGAGGAAGAAGAGGAGGGAGAAGGAGGAGGAGGAGGAAGAAGAGGAGGGAGGAGGAGGAGGAGGAAGAGGAAGGACAAGGAGGAGGAGGAAGAGGAAGAAGAGAAGGAGGAGGAGGAAGAGGAGGAAGAAGAGGAGGAAGGAGGAAGAGGGAGTAGAGGAGGAAGGAGGAGGAAGGAAGAGGAGGAAGAAGAGGAAGAAGAGGAGGAAGAAGAGGAAGGAGAAGGAGGAATAGGAAGAGGAGGAAGGAGAAGAGAAAGAAAAAGAATAATAAAATAATAATGAAAATAATGAGAATAGTATGCCTAATTAGGATTATGAGAGGTCATGAGTAATGGCACGCTATGATATCAATCATCTTATTTACCATAGTTCACTTACTATTAGGTGTTGCAATTATATATATTTGTAATACATTGCAACTCAACTTTCTTGCAACGCCCCACTAGTCTCCTAAATTTCCTAGGATTTTGTGAGGATTAAAGGTTTAAAGGTAAAGACCAGTATTGGAAACGCCCCAATTTCAAAAAATGAAATGGAAGCTCTCAATACCAATAATGTGAAAGAATATGTTTTGACTAATACATGATAACAAATTTGCCAGGAAACCGCCTACTCATTCATATATTTGGTAAATTTGTTTCTCTCACGGACTGTGAGAGATATAGGGTAGTCCCATATACATCTTTCTGTGTATAGTGCTTGTAACTTTACGAAGAATGGGCCAAATTTCTTATCATTTTGATGTTTCCATAACCTTGCAGATGCTAGATGATCAACCTTTTCTGATTGATTCCACAACCGTTTCTTTCACAATGCAATCGCACGACCATAACTGGTCTTTACCTTTAACAATTAAATTAAGTTTTTTTTTTTTTATAAATCTAGCTTTTATCCCCCCCCCCCCTTTCTCTCTCTCTCTACTAAAGGGGGCATTGCAAGAATTTGAGTTGCGATCAATTGCAAATTTGCAATTAATTGCAAGACTAATGCTTGGTTTTGGGGGTTTGCAATTGATTGCAACTTTCTTGCACACCCCTGCTCAACAGAAACGTGGAAAGAAAAAGACAGCACTGGTGGTATCTGATTTTATTTTATTTTATTTCTGCATTTTTCCAAATACAATAACTGAACAACAAAGAACATATAGCTGAAGCTATAATACAAAAGATACAAACAATAACTTCACGTCAATTTTTTTTTACATATAATAATAACGAAAGTAATATTTCTACACCATATAAATTTAATATTTTTCTCCAAACTATCTGTGGAAAAAGTGCGGGAGACGAATCATAAGCGATCATAGGCGATGCTTGACTAGGATGGCGGCCTTAAAAAAAAAATCTTAAGGTGAAATTTTAAATAAAAATATGTTTAAACGATCTTTGTGTAGGAGTTTGTGAGTGTGTTGCGCTAGTGTTGATTGTATGTGTGCGTGTATTTGTGCGTGTATGTGGGTTTGTATGTGGGTGCATGCGTCTGTCTATGCGTCTGTCTGTGTGTGTGTATGTGTGTGTGCGTGTGTCTACCGGTATGTGTGTGTTGCGAATGGTGGATGTGTACATAGCTCTGTGTGGTATGGTAGAGTGGAAACAAATGTAGCCTTTTCAACAAAGGAAACAAAGAATTTGAAATATAATACAAAATAAGCAAAAAAGAGTTGCAACAAGACCAAAACTCAAGGTCAAAATCTCCACTCAAGAGTCTCATGAAAGACCAAGTAGATCTCTTTTGTTCTCATGGCGTATTGTGTGAAGCATTAGTTTCAAATATGACACCAGAAAGTATGAAAGTAAAGACAAATTGTACTTTCAAAGGAAAGATGTAAATATTGTCATCTGAAAATTAAAATCTTACATTGATTGTAAAATTATTTACACTTTAATTCACATAGATGTAAGATCTGGACACATCTCCATTCTTTTCGCATTGCCTGAAGCTGTGGAAGTTATGGTGAACGAGAAGTACTTTCGAGCAGCTGAAGGGGCAATTCTGCTAGCTAGCTTTCGACGAAGCACATTGCATTTCACAGTGATGAAAGAAATAAGGATACCACCACAATATGCAATAATCACATCTACTGGCGTAATATAGGGAGGGATGGGGGAGAGCTGCCCTGAAATAATAATGCAAGAAAATATTTGCATTTTCTCAATATAATTAAAACATTCCTTGCATATCTAGGCGATTGGACCTTTTTTATTCTGAAATTCCTGTTTTCCCGAAGCTTTTTCTTCTTGTTTGTCAGCAGCTGAAACTCCTTAAAAAATTTCTGGATAGCACACCACCCCTACAAAAAAGGATTGGTTCATTACACCACTGATTAGATAAGATAAAATTTCCTGTATGCATACGGTTCAAGGACAATTAACTCTCACCTAAACAACTAGCCACTAGAGAGGACAGCTAATCGAGTTATTGGAAGGTAGCAGAATAGTGAGTCTTGTAGAAGACATTCCCACATTGGCACCGACTACAACCGCCACACAGGACATATATCTACGATTATTGGAAGGTAGCAGAATAGTTAGTCTAGTAGTAGAAGACATTCCCACATTGGCACCGACTAACACTGCCACACAGGACATATATCTACGATTATTGGAAGGTAGCAGAATAGTGAATCTTGTAGAAGACGTTCCCACATTGGCACTGACTAACACCGCCACACAGGACATATATCTACGATTATTGGAAGGTAGCAGAATAGTGAGTCTAGTAGTAGAAGACATTCCCACATTGGCACTGACTACGACCGCCACACAGGACATCTTCTACGATTATTGGAAGGTAGCAGAATAGTGAGTCTAGTAGAAGACATTGGCACTGACTACTACCGCCACACAGGACATCTACGATTATTGAAAGGTAGCAGAATAGTGAGTCTAGTAGAAGACATTGGCACTGACTATGACCGCCACACAGGACATATATCTATGATTATTGGAAGGTAGCAGAATAGTGAGTCTTGTAGAAGACATTCCTACATTGGCACTGACTACGACCGCCACACAGGACATCTATCTACGATTATTGGAAGGTAGCAGAATAGTGAGTCTTGTAGAAGATATTCCTACATTGGCCCTGACTACGACCGCCACACGGGACATATATCTACGATTATTGGAAGGTAGCAGAATAGTGAGTCTTGTAGAAGACATTCCTACATCGGCACTGACTACGACCGCCACACAGGACATATATCTACGATTATTGGAAGGTAGCAGAATAGCAAGTCTTGTAGAAGACATTGGCACTGACTGCGACTGCCACACAGGACATCTATCATCTATCAGTTGTTGCAATGAGTGACGACAACACACATCTGGTGGCAAGAAATTCTAACCGGTTGGTATATTTCTAGTTTCTACGAGTACTGTATGTTTAAGGGGGAAGACACGGAAAGTCACGCATCCACACACACTCACTATGTAGGCAAACATATACCAAAACTTCTTGAAACAACAATATGTTGACTGATAAACTGTTTTGATGAACTTCGTTATTTTCTCTAAATAATATACAAATTTTAACATCTGAACGTCACTGCATTTCATTTCAGAAGAAAATTCAATATTCTCAATTACCTTCATACTATTCTGTTCCATCATAATTATATGATTGTCTTTGCATTCTGGTGCATTTATAAAAAAATTATGGTTGATTGAAACAGATGTAGTTAAAAGAGCCAAGTTATTAAAAACACCTATTCAAAAGAGAGTGAATAGAAATAAACACGATGCAAAAGGGACTCGCTGGAAACACAAGAGATCAACTTTCTATTCAGTTATTAGAAGTGATGTCATTGTAAAACTATGTTAAGTTCATTAATTTTGTTATTAGACATCAGTGTCACTTTGAAATTAAATAATTTATTATGCTTTGTTATTTTGAAGAAGATTTGGATGATAATAAATTCCTCTGAATCATGAGAAGAAAACAAAAATGATTTTTCTTATATCTATGTTGCATAAGTTAATGATATGCATTTATTCTTTTAATCCTGCATGCTATCAAATAAGTTTTACTTTTTCCTTCCAAGTCAAAGTAACTGGACACGTCTGGTCAACATCCGAGACAAAAATACTCTTTACAAGATCAATTACCCGTATTACATTTTAATACCTGTATAAACATGGAATGCTACAAGAAATAGATAATGTTCTCATTTCCTTTGGCAGTCCCAACATATATCTCCACAATCAACAGACTTCCCAAGATCCCTCAAAATCCTTAGGCTGGCTAATCAACAACACCAAGACTTCTGGACGTAAATAAAAACAAGTAATAGTGAACACCGTAAATATGAGGCAATGTGAATATACAGTGCGTCCCAGAAAAACGAAACCGAGAATTATTGATGTTTTATCATAACTTAAAGATAAACTTAAGTTCTGGTAAAAAAAAAAAATTTTTTCTTCACAGAATCAAAGAAACTTGCACTGAATGTTCAAGATTACAAATAAATGTCATGTGCCAAACAATTTTGGAAGAAAATGTATACTGGCTGAGTAATGAGCATAGAAAGAAGGGGATTTTAAAAGAATCTGAACGCAATTCCTGAAGGTACCATCAGAGTAGTGGTGGCAACAGTGGGCTTTGGCCTAGGAATTTAAGTACACGATGTTGATGTCATCGTGAACTGGGGAGTGGAATAAATGCTTGTTTACTAGCAAGAAGTGGGCAGATGGGCTCACGATGGCCATCAAGGTTTAAATACTCACTGATGTACGCATATCCTAGATCTATTAATGAATGTACCGGCGAGATAGTAAAAAGGACCCTCGCAGAGAGAAGAATCAGAAGCACCATTCTGAAGAATTTCAAGCTCCCAGGAATGGAGGAAAGACATAAGGAATTGTCCACAACGTAATGAGAAGTGTACCATGTGATAGTGCAGGAAATGCCTTTGTTGCACTTTCTGTGCAGAAGGTTGTACATGTAGAGGTGGAAATATTGAAGTAACAAATCGTCTCGTATCAACAGAACGTTAAGGTAATTCAATGAGAACCTAAAGGGGAGAGGATGGTAGGAGGAATGCTTCATATAGGGTTTCTTGAGATGCTTCTTCTTCAACTGACACATTTGCATGAGCTTTGTCCATTCCTTGGGCCCGTTGTAGCTGGTGATTTTCTATGCACTCAATGAATATATCCTGCTGTGTTAGAGCATGTTTGAATACGAAATCACTAAAGCCAGTGTGACTCCTTCCAGGGAGTTGCTCCAAACAGTTATGCTCCAAAAGCAGTTTCGCCAGCTCCAACGTGTCTTCCTGCATGTTTTGAGCCTTTCTACTATCATTTTCGCGTTTGTTTTGGGGCAAGTGCACTTCAAACTTACTCTGAAAGTCCTGACGCATACCCACCACTCTGCTATAACGGTTCATTGTACTTGGAGTGATGTTTCCACTGCATGACTTGACAGCAAGTTTGAATTCTTCTTTGAGATGATTCATTGCCAAGTCCATGGATATGTTGTGACCTCTTCCACCACGCACGTTCACCGTTCTGTTCCATTTCATTTGATGCGCCACACGCTCTGGTACACCACCATTCATGTCGGTTAGTAGGTGAAAACCTTCAATGAAATATTTCGGGTGCTGCATGTTGTAGAAGTCTATCATGTCAGATCGCCAATGAGAAATGATACGATCACCATCATTTTCTCTGATGGCATCGTATCGCGCCCTTTCTCCCAGCCCCCGAAAGAGCATTGCTCGAGAATACTGGAAGACATGGTCATCGGTAGCGTGGAAGACGACTACTCTTTTTTCTTCTGTGATGCTTGAGAACACTCTATGGAACAGTAGTACTTATCCTCAGGTACATCTTCTAGTGTCATATTCATGCAGGAAAGGTGAAACCAAGATCCACGACGACATGAAGGGTTCTCACAAAACAACATATCATCCTCAATATCGGTGTGACAGATGCAGTATGGATACACATGGATCTCGCTTTCAGGTTCTTCCACATGCTGGACTGCAACCTCTGGTTTGTCTAAATACTCGAATGCAATCTCCACCACTAACTCAACAACATCTTGAAAATACAGCAATCCTTCATCTCCTTCTGGAAGATCTTTTGGCATCTTGCTTGGATCATCGATCTCAACATGCAAACAGGCGGCTGCAACCACATACGCTTCCGTTGAAAGTTGCAATAACTCTGTGCCGGAGTCGAAGGCGTGTATCACTTTGTCTGGTTTAAAACTCCGGCCATACTTTTCCTTGATGAAGCTGAGTGTCCCAACGTCCATTGAGCTGCGCACATCATACAGCAATTTGTAGGTATCCTATTGAGGGCAACATAAGTCACAAACGTGGATCAATATAAACAATTATATACCTCATTTTAAGATTCTTTACTAATCCTGTCTTCTGATTGGTTGAAAATGCAGTCATGTTCTTAACCATGCCCGCTAATTGAAATTCATAGTCATTCTTCCCGGCTCTACCGGTTTATATCCATTTTTCATAGCACTTTTTCCATGGCTGTGAAACGTGACGTCATTTTGCTGCGATCCCCATTTTGGTTTACGTGTTACCGTATAAGTTTCTTTTGTGCGATGACCGATGCGCAATACCGTTAACGGTGTTTGAGTGCAATTCGATTTTGGTCGCTGCATTCAGGCGACGAATCTACCAATCCACGCAGCGCAGACGACCGATCGCCATTTTGTGTACTAGTCTCGATCGCAAAATACTGGGGTTTTTTGTTTCCAATTTTTTGTCAATAAAGAGGCAAAATGGAGGACACAGCTATGCCAAGATTTCAACTTATGGATGACATTCAGCTGCAAGACTTAATCGATTCTGACATCGAGTCAACATTTTCCTTTTTTTCGGTATATAAAATATATATTGACTGCTTTTAATATTCGAGGCATAGTTGTTTCTATAGGGTCTCGGGAAACTCACAACCTGCTATGACCCCGCGGCGCAAGCGCCTTGGGGTCATAGCAGGTTGTGAGTTTCCCTTGACCCTATAGAAACCACTATGCCTCTCAAAGCAGTCAATATATCCTTACTATGTCTGCACTGATATCGTTGCAATTTATAAGACTCAACAAAATTCATCTTTGCAATTCATACAAAATGTCTTAGGTAATAAGCTTTACAGGTGCAGTGGGTATGTTTCACAACCTGAAACAATTTTGACATGTTAAGCATTTGCATCTATGCCTATACTAGTGAAAAGAAAAAACACTTCAATAGGCAGCAGTTACACTTTTATCATCCATGGTGAGGTCTCTTTTGCCACTGAAAAAGATACAATGGTTTTGTGTTGTTGTTGTTTTTCATATATATCCACTTGGTGGCTATAATATTTTTAGGAAAAATGCAGAATGAAACAGAAAACAAGAATGGATGTGTGGATAGCCTACCTGATTACAACTGTGCATAATTTGTCAAGTTATCACTTTCATGGTTGTTTATATAAGCACCCAAATACAATATCATATTATTGCAAGAACTCAATAATACATGCACTCACAAGAAAGATGTTGTCTTGTAAGTTCCATTAATTTCATACAAAATTTTTAAAAATGTGCAGTGCCAACATACCTCTAAGAGAAGGCCACGTTTGTGCCTTTCTTGGATTGTGGGATGAAGACCCTCCAGGCGGTCGAACGAGTTTGTCGCGTTTCTTCTGGAATTTAGCGCATCACGTGCACGTTCGCATCTAACTCCATCTCCATATAGCACTGTGGTGACTGGCTCGCCATCTTGGTAGGGTACTAGGTCGTGATAGCTCTGGAGAATGTCGACCATATCGTAAATTTTTGCTTCATCTTTCATCAAGACACCTAACGGTACCTATGCAATAAATGTAATAAATGCAAAATGATCAAAATGAAATGATGTTGTAATTATGAAAGTGCAAGTTGCCATAGATATTTTGGTGTGGGTCAAATCATGCTCATCATAACTATATTCAAAGATTACCTTGCTATAAATTCAAAAGATATGGATGTAAGCCACATCTAAAAGCTTCATTTCTAATCAAACCTACCAGTATCTCGTTTGGCAATGATTGCACTTCATGTGACCCCTTGCAATTCATTACAGATAATAGTTTACAAATATCCGGACAAATGAGCAGTAACAGATTTGAAGGAAGACTACATGGAGAGTTGACTATGCTCAGTTGAATTTAACGCCTCTGCCCTGAACAGAATCGGAACACATCCCACATTCGTTTTTCAAGTCTCTGAAATACCTTTTCTAAATCAATTAGAAATCAGGGAAAAAAATATTAAATTTTTTTCTAGTTCTAGTTTTCAAGCTTGCTTGCATGAAAATAACACTCTTTAATTTGTTTTGCATTGAACTCTATGCAAGTTTTTTTGGGCTCTTCTATGACTTTTGGGGGCTAATTCGCCCTGAGCCCCCATGTATATTTTTCCCTGTTAGAAATTGATGTAACATTTCATCTCTTCTCATTTCGAATAGGATAAAATATCTTTAAAGGCAACAAACTGATCTCCCGATGCTGCACTTGTTGATGAGGATAGACCAAACACTTACTATTTTACTCTTCTGCTTGGATTCTTTGAAGTATGGATGTGGTATGTGGTTTTTGACGTGCTCAGCGAATCGTTGAAAGCAAGGCATCAGTTGTGTTAGAATCCTTGAGACTATGACAGTGTACTCTTCCCTGAAATTAAAAAAATGTATGCGTTCTGTTTACGAGGTGGACGTGAACGCTACTTCTCATATTAAAGTCACTACATGTAGCGTATTATTTGCTGTCCAGGCCGATGCTTAGCCGTGCCAGGGAGAGCGGCGCCCGCTGGTATGGTGCCTTCGGTAAAAATTGTTTCCCAAATCAAGCACTGTCAAACCCACCACTCAGAAACTGGGACCAAATGTCCGGATTTCTATTTGGACTCGGAGGAAAATGGATTATTCTGCCATCTTTGGTTTTTAAAACAGCATTGTTTACTGTTATTATTATTATTAAATCGGCGCCTTCAACTGCAACTCGAAGTAAAATTGCATGCGTTTCGACGGACCTGGGATACTGCTCTAGTGGTATTGTGGTGGCAAAAAAAAATCAAATTAAAAAAAATTAAAAAAAATTATAAAAAAACATGGCGTCCGAATATTCGAGTATTAGCTTGTAAAGTCTGGGAGTGTACTCGGGTACCTCATTACACTGTTGTGCACAGCCTGAACGGGTGGCCAACCTTTAAAAGCTCGCGGGCCACAGCTAACGACTGGCATAACTTGGCGGGCCGTAGGTAGTCTTCTCCTCCCTCACACACACACACACACACACACACTCATGCAATACGTGTACACACTTGTAATTTTGTAAAAACAAACAAGCAAACAACAAAATCAGTGAAAAAATATCAGGTTTACTTATTAAGTGTGATTTCTGGGGCTGCATCTCATTGAACGCGGTGTAAAGAAAAGGGGACTACCCTATCCAGTTTACGATTAAGATTCATGAGAAAATTCAACGGCGGGAGAAAAGGGTTGTAAGTTTCAAGCCGGGGGGGTTCTCAGATTTAGTTTAGTCGGGAGTGTGCCTTTCAAGGCTCGAAACCCCTACCCATTTTAAAGGGACATTAAGGGGATTTTGCTCGAAATAAAGCACATTTTTCTCAATTTTCTGGAGTTTTTCGGGTGTTTGCCATGCAATGCAAACACCCAAAAATTTGGGAAACGCTCTTGGCGGTCTCGCCTGCATTACGCAATTTGATATAATGAAAAATTGAGGTTGGGATATTATTTATAGGCAGGGTGGCCCATTAGCAGCCCCCCCCCCCAAAAAAAAAAAAATCCTCTGAATATAATCAGCATTTTGAAGTGAGTTTTGGCTAAGAATCATCAGAAAATATTTACTATAACTTGTACCAAGATTGATAACTTTAATGAAATATGAACAAATAATAAAAATTGATTTATTAATTCTCATATTAAGTTGTGAAAACATAATCCAAGTTTACTGACCAGGCTAAAATGACCTTTGACCAGGACTTTGTGACCTAAAATTTGCATCATATGATTTGTGATACTTGATAACCCTTGTGTACAAGTTTCATGGAATTTGAAAAAAATGCTTTTGAAATTATGCTGAAAATTCAAAGTCTTGAGGTTGATACCACAACATAGTCTAAGTTTGCAGACCTTAAATTACATTTGACCTTGATTTTGTTACCTAACAGACTAATCAAATGATTGATGATACTTGATAACTCTTTAGTCTAAGTTTCATTGAAAAAGAACATACACTTTAAAAATTATATTGAAAAATCAAAAACTTAACCTGAGGTTAAGTTTTCGATGATGATGCCACAACGTAGTCCAAGTCTTGTGACCTGAAATGATCTTTGAACTTGACTGTGTGACCTGAAATTCTGCTCAAATGATTGGGGATACTTGATAATTATTTGGTCCAAGTTTCATTGAATAAGAACTTATACTTTCAAAATTATACTAAAATTTCAAAAACTTAACCTGAGGTTAAGTTTTTGATGTTGACGCCGTTGCCGCTTTATGTCTCGCTTTTTGCTACGCAGGCGAGACAAAAACAGACCCAGTTTTGTATCAAACAATTAACGAGTCAATACATATGTTGTGAATGATAAAAACAAATTATGGAAATAGACACTATGAACATGACGGACAAAGAAAGCGGACAAAATATACAGTTCCTCATTGGACCCTCAACAATTGCTTTGGTAGACAAAGGAACATCCCTTCACTGCTGTATGTAAAAATGTGTAGAACAGGTGAATATGCATGTGACACCTGTTCTACAGATTTTTTACATATATATAGCAGTGAAGGGATGTTCCTTGGTCTACCATAGCAATTGTTGAGGGTAGAATGAGGAACTGTATATTTTGTCCGCTTTCTTTGCCCATCATGTTCATAGTGAGAGATAGTTGTGTGTAAATGTTTTACCCTATTTCATGGCTGCTAAGCAGGCCGCATTTCATTTAAGAGCTATTTTTATAATTACTTTTCCGATGCTGCGCGGGCCGCACCGCGGGTTGGCCACCGGTGCGTTAAAGTGTAGCTAACGTGTATCTGTAAATGAAAAGTAAAGATAAGCGTAGGTCATACCTAAGGAGGGCCTCGTCACTGTCATTTGGTAAGTACAGCAGGGGATCTATCTGCAGGATGTCGTTGGCGGTGGGAGGAGTGTCACTCAGAAGGTAGGAGGGCACACGATCAAACGCTGCATATGCCTTCACCATGTTGAGTTCCTTGTTATTCTTGTGTCCCCTATTGTACCTGTCGTGCATCATCTGGCTGGCATTGTCAAATACTATGGTGTAACCAATTTTTGCGGGCTCTGTTCCATCCGGGAGCGAATCTATAACGGATAATATAAATTTCGTTAATTGTGTTGGAAGGGTGTAACTCTTCAACACCATAGATAAAGAACAAAACAAAACAAAAAGTATGATTTGCATACAACTATTGACATAATTGCACTGAATTTTCACTTTGGACTACAGCTGTACTCTAGTTTGTTAGCCTCTTATGCGGGTAGGGTCGGCTCCTTGACCTACCCACATAATAGGCTAACAAACTAGAGACAAAATTGTTGGTCTAAAGCTGTGCATACCATCCATTGTTTCATCCAGATTGTCCGGAGACTTGTCAGTTCTGCCCGTTGAAGTAGTCTCTTCGGGATTTTCAGGTGTAGATTTTGACTTTTTCCCCTTTGACTTTTTCCCATCTGCTTTGTTGCTGGAAATGGAACTTTCCACTTGGTTTGTTTCAGCTGCATCAGATGAGCCGCTGGATATTGCCAGCTCTGTCATTGTAAGAATAGCAAAGAAAATAATGTTGGGTTATTACAAATAAATCTACTATCTTCATTCAGGTTTAGTGGGGTTTTCATGCACACTATAGGTCTATATTTTATAAAGTACAGGGGCGGATCCAGGATTGTCAGAAGGTGGGGGGGGGGGGGGGGGGTGGGCGGGCCGGGAGTGCCCCCTCTAGATCCACCACCGATAAGTATATAAGTGCACTATTCCCATCAGGATTGGCTCTATACCTAATTATTCAATTGACTTTGAGATGTGAGATGTGAACAAAAATGTTAAAAACATCTCCAAATGCATGCTTGTTGTATCACGGAGTGCACTGAATGTGCATGAATGAATAATGATAACATAACTTTCAGGAGCACGTATCCAGTATTTTGTCTCCGCGCATTTCAAAATTTGTTCTGCAATGACCTTTATCTGCTCAAGCTCAGACTGCAACTGTGAACTGGCTTATTGCGTTGGTTCACATATTTTTCTGAATTGTTATCAATTGATTAAAGAGACAGAGTTATCAATGTAAGCTGCATCCAGCTTTTCTTCATTCAAGACTTGGTAGTCATTCTAAGCAGCTAAAATATAATCTTATTGCGACAAAAAGGTCACTTTGATTTATTATCATTAAACTATATCACTAAATGACCGTCATTTGGTATCGATGAAAATAAGTATGCTGTAAAAAAGACATTGAAAGTCAGAACACATTTGTTTTCTCTTGATTCCTTTTTGTTTCAATTTTCGCTTACCGGTATTGCTGCATATAATTTTTGTATGGGTTCAACCATAATTCCTGAACATTTAACAATAATAATAATAATAATCATACCACTACTACCACTACTACTACTACTACTACTACTACTACTACTACTACTACTAATAAAAATGATGATAACAATAAAGTATGTGATTCACAAAAAGAAACATGCCTGTTTCTTGTGCTGGTATTGCCTCACATGCTTCTAGTTCCTTTTTCTTTTCCAAGATGTCACGATCAGATTCCTTGATCATAGTGTCGATGCAGGTTGCTGTCCTATCCATGAATGTGGACATACCGAGACCATTTAACCTCCTGAATGTCTGTGAAATACAGAAATGGAAGGGGGGGGGGGGGGAGGTTTAAATATAAAGTTAAACTCTGACCAAGATAAATTAAACAAATTGCAAGTGTTTTACATTTCATCAATGTTCCCTACTATCTGCTACATTGTACATGTATAGTGATGGCACATGCAAGACTATTGACAGTCAACCAAGCATGATCATCAGGCACGACATCTCGAGCCGCTCAATTATAGTACGGGTACTTAGTTATGCATTATTATGTCATCAAAATAATGGTGACAAAAATGAAAAAGAAAGTAAAGCTTCTGCCCGAAAGTAGGCAAATGGTTGCCCCATTCCTTGCTGGGTTTTGCCCAGATATTGTGATTTGAAACTCTTTTGTGCCCCCACCTGCCCCCTCCCAGGTCCAAAAGCAAGTTAAATAAGTCACCTCGCAAAAAGGCATTTAGATCACCAAACAAACAAACAACAAAACAAAACTAGATGGAATTCGACTGCGCGCAGTCGAAAATGATGCCTCCGTCATAGAGCAATTTTACAAACCGAAACGGAAGAAATTTTTCAAATTCAAGTTCAATTGTAATCCATTAACATGTTCTCAGAATATCGTGATTACAAGCAATTTCTCATATACATATATGACCCTTTGATCTTTGACCTCATGACCCTAAAATCTACTCAGTTCATTGGCTCTGCAAGATTTCCTGAGTTAAATAGTAATCCATCTGTCAGTTCTAATGAGAATGCGTCCACAAGCTATTTTTGCATACATAATGAGCCCATGACCTTTGATCTTATGAACCATTCATTGGCTCTGCAAGATACATAAATGATCTAAGTTTGGCAGGAATCCATCAATCTGTTCTAATGATAATACGATCACAAGCTATTTTTGCATACATAATGAGCCGCATGACCTTGACCTTTACCTCATGACCCCAAAATCTAATCAGTTCATCAGCTCTGCAAGTAACATTACATACATGACCTAAGTTTGGCAGGAATCCATCAATCGGTTCTTGAGATAAGGCGATCACGAGCTGTTTTTGCATACACAATGTGCGCTGTGACCTTTGACCTCGTGACCCCAAAATCTAATCAGTTCATTGGCTTTGCAAGATACATACATGACCAAAGTTTGGCAGGAATCCATCAATCGGTTCTTCAGATAACGCGATCACAAGCTGTTTTTGCATACAAAATGAGCCCTGTGACCTTTGACCTCGTGACCCCAAAATCTAATCAGTTCATCAGCTCTGCAAGATACATACATGACCAAAGTTTGGCAGGAATCCATCGATCGGTTGTTCAGATAACGCAATCACAAGCTGTTTTTGCATACATAATGAGCCCTGTGACCTTTGACCTTTGACCTCGTGACCCAAAATGTAATCAGATTGTTTTCCTATAGTGATACACACTATCACTAAGTTTGAAGTTTAAATCTCCAGTGGTTCTTGAGATATCATGATAACAATCTCAATGTATGGAATTTCATAAGTTGACCTCTGTGACCCTTGACCTTTGACATACGTGCTCCAAAATCTAATCAGATCGTCTTCCTATGGTGATACATACTATCCTTAAGTTTGAAGTTTAAATCTCAAATGGTTCTTGAGATATCGCGCTAACAAACTCAATACAAGGAATTTCATAAGTTGACCTCTGTGACCTGTGACCTTTGACCTACGTACTCCAGAATCTACTCAGATCGTCTTCCTATGGTGATAAATACTATTCCTGAGTCTTAAGTTTAAATCTTAAATGGTTCTTGAGATATTGTGATAACGGTCAAACGGGACGTACGGACGGACGGACGGACAACCCGAAAACATGATGCCTCCGGCACCACCTTCGGTGGCGGAGGCATAAAAATAATACCAGACAAAAAATTACGATGGAGGTTCATACTGTAGGCCTAATATATATGTGGCTGTTCAAAGTAAATTTGATTATTATCATAATGCATTCGCTGTAATAACAACTGCTTATTAATGTTATTTAATAACTTGTGTTTCTTTTTAGTCAGGTTTATAATTACCTCACGTCCACAGTTGGAGAGCCACAGTTCAATGCCAATGAACTCTTGCAACAGTCTCATTGTTTTAGGGTTTCCCATAAACGCCAACATCCCGAAGATTGCTCCTACTGCAGGTCTCACATGACGAGCAATTCCACTGCTTCCCCGAGATAGACGGTCGCTTTTTCTGTTAGCCGTTGCAGCTCCCATTATGGCTGCATGCAGGAAAGGACACTGTTGCCTTGCTTCTGAAAGTGCTTTTTTCCAAGAGAATGACTGAAAGCTTTGGAGTTTTTTTCCTTCAGTAGAGCTCCTCCACACAGACCCCGTTGACTCTTTGCAAATATTCCGGATCTCAGCTCGAGTTGCATTTTCAACAATCTTTTGTACCGTTCTTGTGAAAGCTGTGCTCTTTCTTTTAAGAAGTTTCATTGCCAACCCATATTTGCCCATCCTCACATACTTTATAGCCGCGAGTTTCTAGAACAGAAGCAAATGGTTAATGGTGACATGTTAAAACGGGGCTTAAAATGGAAAAAAGACATAGATCTATAGTATAGAAGAGTTTTTGACGGAGATTCCGAATATATATGACAATGATTTTTCTTAGGAATCATCCATAATTCTGAAATCATAGCTTTAAAAATGATCGAGTCAGATCGCTCAGAAAAAAAGCCCAGTTTTGAAGCTGTTACACATAGGACATTACGTCACTGCAGGAGAAAACATTGCAGGTAGCCAGGTACGCATCGAAAGTATAGACTCTATACATAACATTTGTGTCTGGAGAATTCTTTCCTCGGTTTTTGAAGAATTTCATTGCGAAAGAAAAGGAGAAATAACTGAACACAATGAGAGTGACGAAGAGGTTTCAATGATCGATCGGACAGTGAAGGACTTTACTTAGGAAATTTAAAGAATGGTAACTTTTCTTGCACTTGTCGTAAATAAGAAAATTGGCGCTTGTTCAGAAACCTATCCAAAATTTGACCCGTAACTCCGGCGTGGAGATACCCTACTAAAACATACCCAAAATATATACGCGCTGTATGAGTGTTATTCAGCGCATTATACGGCAGCAGCACATTTACGAAGTGCCAGTCAAAGGTCATCACCATTGTGTAGAGATCGTGAATTCACACGCTACATGTGAAAAGGGAGCTAAGCTGTATCGGTCTGGTAAGAAAATTGCCATTATTTCCTTATTTTTACCTCCGATTTTTAAATTCAGGATGTAATTACGATTACAACTAACATAAAATTCATCAAAGCCACTGTCCAATATTGGTTGGGTGCGGGAAAGTGTGATTTTGGACACATTTGAGATGTTGTTTACCTACCTCTCCATGCAGTCGTATGGGAGGCGGTTAAGGCTCCCTTGAATCATATCATAAAAAACATTTCAAGAGAGCCCTTAAGGCTAGTTTCACGGCAAACCGCTGCACAATACAAGTGCATACCGATGGTGGGTTGCGGGCGGGCGCGCGCCTGTGTGAAGGTATCTACTGTCATGAGGATACTGTAATACTAATAGGGTGTCTGATCGCGCACCACGTTTTGTGTGCTAAAACCCTCCCCATTGACATTGAAACACATCCCTATAAAGTCTATGTGCATTGCAAAATAGGTCAAGTTTTTAAAAATGAATTTAGATTCAAACCTTAATCTGTTGTGATCCTGAAGGTGATACTCAATAAATGAGGTGTCATATGAAAGGGCAGATTAATTCCCATATTTCCAACGGGGGGTCATTTCAAATTTCTAAAAATATCTTGGTCAAAACAGCGATTTAAATGCGTTTCCATGGCAACTCGGGAGATTTCCAACTTTTGAGAATCGACCCCCCCGAGCCCCAAGGGATCACGTAGGATTTAAGTTTGAAAATACCCTTCCCCCACTTTTTGCATATAGCCTAATGCATTAGAATGCAGCTGTTGAGCAAAAAATGATAACTCGGCGTGAACCACTTTTTTGTCCATTCTGACCAAAATGCTATGAATATTGCAGAGTTTTTGAGGGGCTGTATCTTTTGATAGAAACATCGGTGAGTCTTGAAATTTGAAATGTATTATTCGGATTACAGTTTTTATTCAAATAGATCTAGGTCTAGATCTAGATCTATCCAACAAAAATGGTGAAAAACGATCCCAAATTGAAAATTGAAAAATCGTTCAGACACCCTAACTGTAATCGACGATTGGATACAACATGGAATCGTCGGGTAGGACAAAGAATCACCCCCTTTTTCCCCATCAAAGATTTCTTCAAAGTTCAAATTATAATTTCAAGTGGCCAGCCAGATGCCCAGAGGAGTCAAGCAACCTAGATCTACTCCCTTACCGAACTGAAGGCCTTCGCTAAGCAGTCGCACAAGCAGTCACAAGCAGTCGATATAAGCAGTCGCAAGCCTTCATTTGCAACATGCATGTCAATGTATTGCTGCAAGCCTTCGAAGGCTTGTAAGCAGTCGATAGGCCTTCCCACAGCCAAGTTAATATGCAAATTAGCTTCGACTACTTATAATGAAGCTCTAAATAAGCAGTCGACTGCTTATAATGAAGCTCTAAATAAGCAGTCGACTGCTTATAATGAAGCTCTAAATAAGCAGTCGACTGCTTATAATGAAGCTCTATATAAGCAGTCGTGTTTAAACCTTCCTAAGCCTTCGAAGGCTTATAAGCAGTCCGTAGGCCTTCCCACAGCCAAGTTAATATGCAAATTAGCTAAGCCTTCATCATTGACTGCTTATACCTTCGTCGTTGAATCACCTAAACCTTCGTTGTCGACTGCTTATCCCCTAAACCTTCGAGCGTTGTCCACTGGGTACAAACCTTCGACTGCCTATATTACCTAAACCTTCCGTCATCAACTGCAGCTGCGCTAATTTGCTCAAATATATTTGTGAACAAGTATTTACAAAATCAATGACCATGCAATTTCCTAATCTGTACAGAAAGCAAACTCAATTTCGTATTGTGTAATTGTATTACTCACCTTCTGGACAAAATGAAGATGTTTAAAGTAGCTCCAGCAGCTAGCAGTCCAGTGCAAAGCAAAGTTGATCGTATTTCTCCAACACAAGAGTGCTTGTGTGGGACTGTAATCTTGGTAACAAAATTCGATCCTTTCTCATTTTGTTAAATTCTTGCCGTAGAATACTCTCAAAATTCTTCTTTCCTGGTGTAAATAATCTACCCCTTATTCCCTATACTGTGGGTTTTACAGGAAGACAAATCTGGCGAAATTGCAAAGTAATGATTGAAATATGCGCCGTTCAGCTCAGCTCAGAGTCTCAGTGAAGATTTGAATTTGAAAATTACCGGTTGGCCTATTCGCCTTCTACCACTAGATGGCAGCACACATTTGGAAAATGAAGGCCTTCGCGGTCTTCTTTAAAAGTGACTGCTTATCTTTGAAGGCTTATTTTCAGCGACTGCTTATCTTGAAGGCTTATTTTCTACTGACTGCTTAATAAGCAGTCAACATTTTTGGACTGCTTATATGAAAGTCTTTGAAGGCTTAGCTCTCGCAAACTAATAAGCAGTCGAAGACTAAAACAAGCCTTCGAAGGCTTATGAAGTCTTTGAAGGCTTTGTGAAGGCTTAGCGAAGGCTTATCGAAGGCTTATTAAGCAGTTTTCTTTGGTAAGGGCTACTAGATCTAGTAGTAGGCCTAGTAGTAAGTCAAAATTGTAATTACTCCCTTTGCATATTTTGAGATAATGTTGCCCAACCCGCTGTTTGAATATTTTCTGATGCACCTCCTGCAGAAAGCTCCCACGCCTTCGGCATCGCAGCTTCCGGCAGTTAGATCTAGACTCTAGACTAGACAGTAGATCTAGACTACTCACAGTCACTTGTTGTTGGCTGGATGGGCTTTCGTTCTCCTGACATTGACAACCTCCCACAGTATGACGCGGGTCCTTTTTTTTTTGGTTAGGTCTACTTGATCCTGTTGATCTTGAAAACCTAGGCTTCTTCAGAGGGCTTCTTTGGGAAGTTGTACTTGTAGATCGCTTTTGGCCACATGGGGTACGACTACGAGCGCCGGAGCTTGTGGATGAGGGTGTCGAAATGGATAATGCTCCCGTCATAGTTGTTATGAGCTCTCTTAACTCGCGACCTATGGAAGCAGTTGGGGCTGATTCGTCGTACAGTTGGGATAAGGCAACGTTGAATTCATGCCGTTTAGTTGTTGCAGATGACAAAGTTGAACGACATGCCCTACAAAAATAAAGTGCGTCTAGGTCTAACGAATACGAATGTTCGTCTTCCTTAGAGTTAGAGTTAGAGTTTGAAAGAGGCACGCGCACACCCCAATGATTCTTGAGGACCTCTGCCAGAGATCTCCTACCAGTGACTTTACCACTAGATCTAGATACGTCTGTGACTGTGTATCCGATCAGGTTCGAAGACAATGTGAACCTATCTTTTGTAGCCAGAATTTTATTTGCACAAATACTGCACGTCGAGGCCATGACTGTATCACGCTCTCTTCAAATCGTCACATTCTATAGTAGGACCTATAATGTTCTTGAATGCAACAGTCACGTCAGCTAGCTCATCAGACATCACCTACCTCAGCTGTCCCATCGCGCTCAAATAAAGAACTAGATAGATCTAGAACACTAGAGGGCGTACTCGCGTATATCAAGGGGAGGGGGGAGGGGTCGAGGGGGCCCTGGCCCCTCCCTCCTCGAGAGAGAGAGAGAGAGAGAGAGAGAGAGAGAGAGAGAGAGAGAGAGAGAGAGAGAGAGAAAGAAAGAAAAGAATGAAAGGGAAAGAGCAAGAGGAGAGCAGGGGCGGATCCAGCCGGCAACAAGAGGGGGGGGGGGGGCCCAAATCTTGAGAAAAAAATTTAGCGCCGACTTAGCCGGCCCATGAATAAGCGGGGAGGGGAGGGGAGGGAGGGGGGACGTGATGGAGAGGAGAACCACAACTTTTTTTGAGGGGGTGAAAAAATATATATTTTTTTTTTTTTTTGGGGGGGGCGGGGTAGGTGTCAAGGTGTCCGCTTTTCTTTTTTGTTTAAAAAAAGTTTAAATTTATGTTACTATCCTATTTTTTTTTTTACCGTTTTGGGGGGCTGGGGGTTTGAGAAATCGCTACGTGGATCTGCACCTGAGTATTTATACTGACGAGGGTTCCAGACACCCTACCAGTGACTTTACCACTAGATACGTCTGTGTATCTGATCAGGTTCGAAGACAATGTGAACCTATCTTTTGTAGCCAGAATTTTATTTGCACAAATACTGCACGTCGGGGCCATGACTGTATCACGCTCTCTTCAAATCGTCAAATTCTATAGTATTAAATTATACCAATGTTCTTGAATACAGTCACGTCAGCTAGCTCAGCTCAGTCCGCTTTGCAAATCGCGCTAGAAGAACTAGATAGATCTAGAACACTAGAGGGCGTACTCGCGTATACATATCGGTATCCGTCACAGGCGCTAGGCGCGGATCAAGGGGAGGGGGGGGGGTCGAGGGGTCCCTGGCCCCTCCCTCCTCGCCAAAGAGAGAGAGAGAGAGAGAGAGAGAGAGAAAGAAAGAAAAGAAGGAAAGGGAAAGAGAAAGAGGAGAGCAGGGGCGGATCCAGCCGACAACAAGAGGGGGGGGGGTGGGGCCCAAATCTTGAGAATTTTTTTTAGCGCCGACTTAGCCGGCCCGTGAATAAGCGGGGAGGGGAGGGGGGTGGGGGGGGGGGAGGACGTGATGGAGAGGAGAACCACAATTTTTTTTGAGGGATGAAAATATATATATATATATATATATATATATATATATATATATATTTTTTCTTTAAATATTATTATCCTAATTTTTAAAACCGTTTTGGGGGGCTGGGGGTTGGAGAAATCGCTACGTGGATCCGCACCTGAGTCCTGGGTAAACGAGACATATTATTATTGTTATTATAGTTCTTTTCCTTATGGCTTATCAAGTGTAAAATAATAATAATATTCTGCTTTTATATAGCGCTCAATACATCAACAATGTAGATTAACAGATATATTATTATCTTGGTCATCGGATTCAGTTTTGCCTTTGCACAATGTATGCACATTCTCCACTCATTGGGGAAAATTGCAGCCAGGCGTCATTTGACAGATGCTCCAAAAGCTGAGTAAACTTCATTAACTTTCACATCCTACCAGGTATTCATTTACAACCTGGGTGGAGAATGGCAAATGAAGATTAACATCTTGCCAAAGGACGTTAGTGTCGGTTGGGATTTGAACCCCGTACCTTGTGATCTGCAGTCAGGCGACTTGTCCACTAGACCAAAATACCTTTACAAATTCAATATTCTACTTCAATGAATACACATGACATGATGTACACAACACCGAGTAACTCTTTTTGTTAATGTTTTATTAATTAAAGAAATATAAATGAATCCAAGTACACCATGAGATAATACGACTTTCTTGACGACTTTGATGTAATTGCAAAAAGTTCAGCAAAAAGACACATTCATGTAAGTGAACAATACCCAACAAGAATGAATAAAATGGCGTTTAAAAAAAAAGACACAAAGAGATGTGAAACTTTCAAAATCGGAAACGAACTTCATAGACTTTGATCATGTGACTCAGCACCTGGCTAGAAGTTCCTAAAGACAATGTTTGGCAGCTCTAGAATAAAATTCATTTTAAATATTACAAATGATGTAAGTGAATGCATTAGCGAGCTATGGAAACTGCAATTTAAGATAAAGTCAGGCAGGTTTCTTTGACTGTTCGTCTTCCCTACATTTTTCAAGAAACTAAGGAAAGTTTACAAGAAAAAACAAATTGAAGTATAAAAAAAGAGGGCCTACCTAGGTATATAAATATATACCGGTACAACAGAATTAGTATTTTAATAAAAAATTAAATATATAATCCAACTTCAACAAATGAAATCGTTTATTTACATGGAGCTTATCAGTATTGCATATCTTTACATTTTCAGCCTCTTTGGTAGATTATACAAATGATGCATGCTAAGGGCTACACACAGCATCAACAAGGACGGATAGATCGTATAATAAACGAATGAAAACATGCATCATTTGTTTTCAACAACGAAACTCCTAGATCCTTGTTATTTGATGTAAAAAGAATTAATTCAAGATTGTTTTGTGGCAGTATATGGCTGACAAATAAATCTCAAGTTTAATAAGGCTTAACATAGCTATAGATATAGCAAGCGCACTTACCTCTATACCCATTTACGCATAGTACTGCGCAAGAATGGGCTCATGCTCACGCAGTATTAAGCACTCTAACCTCTATGCGCACTACTGTGCACTGAAAATGTTCAAAACTGGGCAACAGCTGTCTCTGTGATCTTTCAAAGAGGTATGAACTAAGAATGTCGAAATAAAGACAAATAACAACTGACACTTAAAGGGATCGTTTAACAATGTTAAATCTGAGATACACGGTCCTACGTGTTATCAGTGTCTGTGATATGGTGTAATATTGAAACCCTAAAAAAATTGCGCTTCAAAACGATCAAGAAGTGCCTCAAAAAAGTAAAAATCTTTGAGTGACCGGTTTGACCATACTCGTTTTCCCCAATAGACTGTAGTGTTATGAAAACCGTCAGGCGAACGGTTTTCAAAATTTGTAATTCCAATCATAAATATCTTGATAATCAGACAGGCGATTGGCTTGTAAAAGTCATGGGGTTTCTGACTGACCTAAAGGTTTATAATTATCATTGCATCATGAGCTAATTCCAGAATTTTATTTCAGAATTTAAGACAAAGTTACCGGATCCCTTTAAGTAAGAAATATTCCCTTCTATAGTCATACCTTCAACTATACTTTCCTGCTTATTAATGGAAGATTTATCATAGATGAGAATAAGGTTTAAGTACAATAGTAATTAATACATGTACGTACATGACTTACAAAATAAAGAATAATTGTTTTTGTTAATGTTCTATTTAAGAAAATATAAATGTATCCAAGTTCACCACAAGGATGAATTTCTTGACATGATTGTAACAAGTTCAACGGAACATATAAATAGAGACATTCGGGTCAGTGAACAATACTCCGCAAGAATTAACATGGCATTAAAAAGTACCAAAAAAAAGAAAGAGTTATGATGATTTCAAAGTCTGAAACAAACACTCTTGACTTCGATCATGTGACTCATTGATGGAAGATTTATCATAGATGAGAATAAGATTTTTAGTGCAATAGTAATCAATACATGTAATTAGTTAACCCCCAAAATAAAAGAGCTAGGAGGCGCGATAGCTCAGTCGGTAGAGCAGTGGTCTCGTTATCCGGTGACCCGGGTTCGAAACCAAGCCGATGCACTAGTGCCCTTTGGTAAGGTATTAATACTCATTACCAGGTCCCTCAGAGAGGACCTTAAGCCGTCGGTCTTCTGGTTGCTTACTAACAAGCATTTATTGCTTTCTTAGCTGTCAGGTAAAATAAACACCACTATCAAAAGAATACATTCCTGTCCGAGCCTGGAGACTGAAGAAGATGTTTACTAAGTAGATCACTTTACTCCCTCCAACTTCAAGGTCCATACCCATTTGCATGGCATCGTGGCAGGGTTCAGGAGGGGGAGGGTAACATTCATACCCCTCCCACCAGCTCCTGTCCATTTCAGGGGTAAAGCATGACCCAACATGGCAACGGTGGTGGTAGAGGTCACTCTCGGGTCACGAAGGTAGACTATGTTGTTCGCAGGCCACTCTAAAAGGAAAGCGTAAACTGCTTCGGTCTTGGGGCTCTTGGTGTACCTATTAAAAATGAAAGGATGCATATATTTGAAATTGAACTTAGGGGAATCATGTTCTTTACATAATGTGTTATATTTCTCATTCAAACATTTAAAAAAAATTCCAGACAAATAAACTTTCTTAAAACTTGAAATGTCCCATCATTTCCAAATTTTTAAGCAATCAATAATTTTATGAGTGAAATGTCAGAGATACTTTTCATGGTGGAGAAACCGAATTGTAAGTAAAGTTTATCAGAGTTGTGTTTCCATGGCAACCTCAGCTCTCATCTGTCATTGTAAAGCAAAGCAAGAAGTTACATCAGGTAATTCTTTTAAGCTCTTAGCGGAGCTCGACAGCCCTTTCCATGGCTCTTATTCCTCTGAAAGAACTACATCGCAGACCTGCCAACCTCTGAAGTTCAAAAACTGTATTCTTTATTCCCAAAAGTTGTATTTTACTGACAAAAGTTGTATTTTTAAAAATAAACACTGACTGTTACGCGGATCAATGCCTCTTACAGTTCCTACATACAGGAAGATTTTTTGTTATGGATCATTGGTTGAATATGCATAATTTTGTCACGACTGTTGAATTCGATGAACCAATGAACATCCCCAAATTGCAGATGTGAGACGCTTGTAGGATCCTTTTCAAGACAGAATGGGCATTTTTTGTTGTTGTTGTTGTTGTTGAAAATCGTACTGTCGTATTTGCTTCTAAAAATCGTACGAAATACGACTAAATCGTACTGGTTGGCAGGTCTGTACATGGTGTTACCCTGACAGACTTTACCTACTATCATTTTTTTTTACTGTTAGTTCTACGAAATAATTACAAATATGCGTGAGAAAACTGAAATTCAATCCTTACCAAACATTAGAATTGACAGTATCATTCTGTTTCCTCCACGGCCTGGAGGAGTAAATGCCCTCACCGTTGACCTTTAGCCATGACCCCATCTGACGAAGACGCTCCTCAAAGATGGGCATGATGCGACCATCTTTGGTCGGACCCACGTTGAGAAGAAGGTTACCACCGCAGCTGAAATACATAATGTCATTTTATTTTGATTAAATTGAAGACAAAGACATATTAACATGTGTTAAATGGGTACCGGTAGGAAGCAATTCCTTGAATGATGTGAGCCGGGGTAGTAGTTGGAGTGCCTTGAGCACCATGCATGTCGGATATGTGCGCTATATAAATATCCAACATTATTATTATTATATTAACAGACACTGTTTACTAGCCCTGTATGCTTGCATAGATATAAAGCGGTAAACTGCAGTGTTTTTTTAAGGTGTAAATGACTGGCAACTACAAGCAGAAAGGTCCTACTCATATTCATTGAGCTCTGTGTTATATGAAACAAAAATGTGAAGCTTATTCTACACTAATATTTTTATTTTCAAAGAAACTTTAAAAAACGCAGTGGCTTATTCCAGCATATGAGGTTTTACAGTGCCACCAAGTTTACAGACAGATACCATTTCTCAAGGCTGGTTCATAAATGACGGAATAGCTTGTAGCAAGTTTTTTTGATAGTTCATTATTGTAGGAAAAAATATTATCTAAAAATCATAATTGAGAGACCAATGGTGAGGGCAACTAATGGCATGAACGGCCTGCCATAGTTAAGTCCAACTTAAAGATAAAGACCAGTTCTGGTCATGCGATTGCATTGTGAAAGAAACGTTGTGGAATCGATCAGAAGAGGTTGATCATTTAGCATACACACTTGGTGTGTACTGCAAAATGATAAGAAATTTGGCCCAGTCTTCGTAAAGTTACAAGCACTGTACACAGAAGGATGTATATGGGACTACGCACACGTGCGCTACGCGTGCGTATTATCTATTTGGTCCCAATAGAATTTACCAAATATATCAATTAGTAGGCGGTTTCCCGGCAATTTTGTTATCATCATGTATTAGTCAAAACATATTCTTTCACATGATTGGTAATAAGAGCTTCCATTTCATTTTTTGAGAGGGGGCGTTTCCAAAAAAACTGGTGTATACCTTTAAAAAGGGAAAGGCATACCTCACGACTTGTATCAAGGTAGTCAGAAGCTGTGGTACTGTGTGATAGCTCCTCAGTGGCTTTTCTCTTGCGTACCCCCATCCTCCCTTGGTCACGCTCATGGAGTCTTCAAACTTGTGCTTCTGAAGTACTCCTTGAAATAAAATATATTAAGGGAAGAAGAAATTATTATAAATCTCATATTGCCATGAATTATTGTGCATCAACAAAGTCATATGGAGCTCGCTCATTCCAAGTAGCAGCAGAAGCTGAATTATGGAATGTTATACTGGTTACTGTTAAGGAGGCAGCTACACAGTTGACCAATTCAAAAGCAGACCTAAAATGCACCTGTAATCTAGCCAACAATGGAAGTTACAAACTGATTCAGCCGAGGACGCAGGTTTGAAACTGAGTCACGTCTTTTGGATGGTGACGAATAAAGTTGGTCCCCGGCCAGGCGTAAATAACCATATCTGATTGATACGCGTCTGTAAAAACCCAATTACACACACACACCGTACGAAACCTCTAGTCTATATTCAGACCTACCTGGATTATAGCGATCGTAACAGGTGTAGTAGCCTCCGTGATGGCATGGACAGTCATCACCCCAACGATCATTGGTCACCACTGTGTTCTTCACTGGACTGAGAAAGAAAAAAGGGGAGGCGATTCGGTAAAGCATCTGTTGTAGTGTGTTTGGTTGGATGGGGTTATTTGTTTTATGTTACAACTGATTTCATTTTTTTTCTTCATCAATCGTACAATTTACGTAATGAATATGTTTTGAATTCATGTCAAGATGAAAAACAACTTTTTTTTTATTTCTAAGACTGATTTGTATTGTTTAGAATCAATAAAAAAACAAATGGAAACAAAAAAATTGTCTGTCTAACCAAAGACTGTAGATTTGAATCCAACCCAGGCAGATGACGCGGCCTATGTTGTGTGTAAATGTGCCCCTCCACCGTTCCCTACACACACTCTATGTGACAGTGGAAAACACCCTGTACCTCTACTTTAAATGGAGGTCCCGCGTGTAGAAAATTCTCCACCTATGCACATTGAGAACCCTCTGCATTATTCGATTAAGAGTAGGGGAAAACCCCGGTGACGTGGTTCACCTGCACACCCTCAATCAGTTATAGAGGGAGGAGAGACCCAAGGGTCACATCGATTACGTTCGCTGTTTCCCTCCTAGGCACAGGTGGTGCAATATCCTTAATACTACTAATTAATAACTCCCTTAAACCATTGATTACTGCATTCTCCTATTCGTATTGACTTAACACAGGAACCCCCCCAAGCTCCTGTAGCCAATGGGTTAATCCGTCATGCTAACTTGACATTTACATCAACGGCCATGTATGGTAATGGGAAGAGTCAAATTGAAGGGACTTATGGCGTAGTTTTGTTCATTAATTGAATATAAACAAATTTAAGAAGACACTTTATTTCTAATATAATACATAGACATTTGACAGGGTACCCCTTCCAAAAGCTTAGCTTTATCATGACCAAGAATAAACAAAAATGTTTTTTTTCCCAAAATTATTTCACTTGCAGATACAAATACAAAGTTAATAGTTGTGTTTCCATGGCAACCTCAGCTCTCACCTGTCATTGTAAAGCCAAGCAAGGAATTCCGTGCTCTTCCAGTAATCACTTTTTGCTGTTCCAGATCCATCTGTCCATATAACCTCTGGCTTGTAGCGATTCACCAGATCATAGAGGTCCGGGGTTGCCACTCTCTAGTTGAACAAAATAGAAGTCAATTAGGTCAAAATTGATGAATGCAAAATACCGGTAAAGCATTTGTTAGCATCGAGTCAAGTGCTTAAACAACTCGACTACCGGGACCACACTTCTACAATAATAATAATAATAATAATTACAGTGCTTATATAGCGCCTAACACTTACTTTGTCAGAAGTCTCTAAGCGCTCTACAAATAATGCAGCATAATTACCCTGGCTTTAGCAGTGCAGCTGTTACGCGCGCTGCGTTTCAAGGAATAAATTCCTACCAGGTACCCATTTACTTCACCTGGGTGGAGTGTGGCAATACAGCTTCAATGCACTTGTAATGGCACAATTTTATCAGAGAGATAGCATGGTAATTATATTTATTTGCATAAATAATAGTAATAATAATAACCTAGACTTATATAGCGCATTTCATAATCGAAGAAAATAGCAATGCGCTTTACAATATTAATACAACAAAATTACACATAAAGAGTGAAGTACATGTCTTAATAAGCAACCCTTATGATGGGACAATTAAATTGAGATATTTTCTCTCTATACGATCATAAACATTTGTGCAACCATAGAAAATTAAGTCACAGCCAATTACATAGCAGGTTTCAATGTGTAATACCATGTAGTTGGAAAATAGACTGGTACTCACATCTCTGTAGTCTGTAGTGGTGAAGCCACTGGCTTTATCTTTGAGAAACAGGGGGTTGAACCACTCAAAGAGGGAGTAATACAGGCCAAAGTGGATGTCTGTGTTGTTGCGCACACCGGCTGCAAGATCCCCTGATTGAGGAAAATATGGATTACACATTAAAGATGTTCATGCATGCAGTCGTTCGTGAAGTAGGCAGCTTGGCCATAGATAACACTGAGCCAACAAGTAGTACGCTCCATTGCGTATGTCTGTGTGCTGCCTCTACATACCCACACATGAGCAACTTTAAATGCCTAACCATGCATGGTCACTAGAGTGTAAAGCTATGTTAGGTCCTGGAATTGGGAAAGTGATTCTTTATTAAAAAACAAACAAACACATGCATTTAAAAAAGTTATCTATTGCTGGAAAGCACATGCACTGAAGCCAAATAACCTCATGCTTGACAATCAACCAAGATGAATTGCTTTTTTTTTCCTGATACCTCAAACATAAATTCTTCTCCTCCTCCTCCTTATAATAATACCGCAATATCTTCAAATACTGAGAAGTCTTGTGTGACTTACCAACGAGATCCCTTTGTGGTCCTACATCAACTGAGTTCCAGTTCCAAGAAGAATTTGAAGGCCAGTTAGTGTATCCCTCATGGTGCTTGCTTGTCAGAACATAGTACCTGTTCATATTAAATTTCCCAACAGTATTATGAAGAAAATTAAATCGGTTTGAAATGAATTTTATCCTCTGATCTAGTACTTCATATCTAAATGCTGCACGAGAATGAAACTGAGAAATATTGATATATTTTGGCACATTTGAAATCAATATCATGTTGAGGTTCCTTAACTTTGCATTTTTTTTCTGACCAGGGCTTACATGTTAATGTTGTAGTTATAATGAAGCTAAAAATACGCAATTCATCACGCTATAATTGTGGACAAACAAACTTTGTCCCAATCATTCTCCTTAAAAACTACCTATTGTTCTCAGTCTTTTTGAACTCTAATTCATCACTGTTGGGAAAGAAGATCATACAGTTATAGTTATTGAGTTAATCTTTTTCATTGTAGAGGTGTTGTGGTCGAGTGGATACGTCGCCGGACTGTCGATCACAAGGTTCGCGGTTCGAGTCCCGCCGCCGCACTAATGTCCTTTGGCAAGACATTGATCTACATTTGCCACACTCCACCCAGGTGAAGTAAATGGGTACCTGGTAGGAATTTATTCCTTGAAATGCTAGAGCGCCGTATGGCAGCCGTGCTAAAGCCAGGGTAATAATCGGGAGCGCCAGGAGGGTCAAATCTGACTGACATGAGCGCTATACAAGAACCCACTATTATTATTATTATTTCCTAGCATCCATGTGACTCTCTTTAAACCTTACTCTTGTTCTGTATTCACTCTTTTCTTGATTTTGTCTTTGCCAAATGAATAACAAACAATAATGATGATAATCTTACTTAGCCCCTGAAGCCTTGATGATGTCTGCCCACTCAGCAGGATCAAAGAACTCGGCTGTGAAGCTTCGGGCAAAGTCTGCATAGGTGAAGCCGGGTGGGTAGTTCTCCTTCATGAATTCCACTACTTGGGGGTAAGGTTCGGCCCCCTTCCACCGGTACCAAAACCATTCACTGTAGAAGCTGGGAACGGAGTAGACTCCCCAGTGCATGAAGATCCCAAACTTTGCTTCATCGTACCTAGTTACAGTATGAAGGACAAAAATGTGATACATGTAAAATTAAAGATGTGTATATGGCCCTGGGGGATAAAGAAATAGATGGAGATGGAAGTAATTGATCCAATGAAGAGGCAAGGATATTATTCACTCCAAGAGTAAACTCAAAGATATGTAGAATAGGCATTAATGCAATATGCCAGCAGTGGGGATCTACAAACTTTGGAACTTGGTGAACAAATATCTTGGGACTGCCAGAACAAACAAGTAATATACTTAAAGTTCAAGATGAACAAAACAACAAAAAAACTGAAAGAATCTCAAAATGCAATTTTACAAATACTACAAGAATCTGTTTAATATTATACAGGGGTCTATTGTGGTTGAATATTCAAATGAATCGCAGCTCTGTAGTAATAAGCTATGATTTGTGTAAGTTTTTGATTGACTGGAGGACTTGTGATCAATCAGCATTCATTTTCACTATTGTAGGATGGGGGATCATTCTTGAGAATTCTTGAGACTGACTTCTAAGGGTTAAAAAAAGAAGAAGAAGTTTTTACCATGCTGGTAGTGGCCTGGAGTCGATAGAATCCCAGTTTGGTTGGTATTTTGTTGCACACAGACTCAAAGGAAGGATGGATATGTATATCAGGCACAGCAAACTGGTATTAACTATTGACGGCATTATCATCAAGAGATCTGGGAAGGAAGATATAATTAAATGACAATGTAAAGAAAATACAGGTATTCTGTAACCATGGTGACTGACCCTTTCCTATTAATTCAATTGATCTAAAAGCTGATGCTAGATCTATTGAATCCTTTTCTTATTGTTTGTTTGTTTGTGTTGACAATGTCTAAGGCTAAGACAACCAGGGAACCGTTTCATGAAATGAAATGATTGAAACAATATTTGAGCCAGAGAAAAAGAAACAGCGCCATTTAATCATCATGGGTAAATAACTTGAAAAACAGTATACGGTAGTCAGGCAGAAATAATATTTTTAGATTGGACAGGCTTAAAACCCAACAAAAACAACCAGTCTTACAATATGCACGAGATCGAGCTCTTATTCTTAAAGGCACACTGTCCTACTTGTATCTACTTGCTCCCTCTGTATAGAAAACTTCCCCAGTCGGTGCCTGTTACTGTTAGTCCCCCATGATCCTCTTTTTCTTATGTTAAATGAGAGCTGAGTTAATGAGATAGCCACCTGTCACAGTGACCTCGCTGGATCGCTGGGTGGTCTAATCCCTTCTTGCTGAAGTAGTAAAGCCTGCCTTTAAAGGCAATACAAAGTTCTGGCAATATTTCAACAGGATTGGATTATGAAAATTAAAATTTGCATTACCATTGTGAAACCTAGTGTAAGAAAACGCAACTTTGAAAAAATTGTCATTGAAAACTTAAGTTGAACTCCCGCTCACACCACTCTAGCAAAGCATAGAGTCTTAGAGAGTCAATGCCAATGCGAATTGCTACAACCGGCCGTGTCAGACACGTTGCCCCGCTGGGTGCGAGATAGGACTCTTGTAGCGTGCCCCACTAGTACTAGCCTACAAATGACATACATGTATGTGCGCTTGAATCATGCTTGAATCCACACATAGGTGCATTACTATCCTGGCTGTGTATGCTTTTGATTCTCAACATTTCAAACACCACTGTACAAAACTCCACTAGACCTAATTTCACTAAATCGGTACTTTAAGTAGGGAGGCCAATGCCCGGGCGAAAGGCTTCTACGCCTACGATATGTGCGCTCGTCGTCCAAGTCAGAAAATTACCAGAAGAAAAAAAAAGGGGAAAAAAAAGAAAACAAATATCTATGGAATAAAATGTATAACAAATACACAATTACACACTCCACAACATACCTATAATCACGGATCTGTAATGGTCTTTCACCATTTGTTGACGATCTTGCAGATTTTGATGTATTTTGATCCAATAATTGCGCTAGCAGACGAAAATAACGGACGGACAAGAGAAACTAGACGGGTCCTAGAGGGTGATGAGGTTAGCTCACTAAAATCCTTCTCAATGACTGAAGGTAGCGCCTAAAAATATGGAATCAATTTAATATCAAAGAACTTTTGATAGAGATTAACATATCAGTTGTGCACAAATGTCACTTTTAACAACTAGAAAATATAACGAAAAAGGATTATATCTTTTTAATTGCAGATTTTTACAAACTGCACAATCAAAGGTAGATAGAGTACGATGTTTTTGTCAATCTTGCGTTGGTTTGAGCCCCATAGCTAGAGCCATCTCAAATTGGGGAGCAAAACTGTGAACAGAGACGTCATTGTTCCAGCCCAAAATAGAAGTCTTGCGACATCATAATATGAATATGTATGAGGTCCGGTCTCATCGCGCGCAAAACAAATTTGACGTAGTCTCACACATATTCTCAGCACTAGGTTAGTGTCGTGCAGTAATGTATGAGAAGTGTAAAAAAAGACATTTCAGTAAAAAAAAAAAGTCTACGTGAGCAGTCTATACTCCAATTGAGAAGTGTAATGAATGCCATGATTTGAACGTGTGTGTTTTAGTGTATGATATCATCATATGGTTAGTGAGAGAGAGAGAGAGAGGGAGAGAAATATCTCCGTCAGTACACGTCTATCAATGCGTGCAGTCCTATTGACTATGTTTGATTCCGTATTGTGTTCGCTGCAACTGTTGGATTTTGCAGTGTCAGATTGATCTTTACTCATGAGGAAATAATTGGAATACATATCAAAACTAAGGTAGGCCTATTTATTTATTTCAATAATTTTCTTAATTTACAATGAGTGGTTTTCGAGCTTTCTCTCATTATGTTTTGACCCTCCAGGCTCCATGCCGTGGCATGGCTAGCATGGCTCGATTGCGGCTTGCATGCAATTACCGTACCTGGACGGCCTGCAGTACTGTGTCGGTGTGTGCGACTAATTCAAGGCTAGCCGGTGATGATGAATGTACTTTCGCGCGAAGTTTTGAACTTGTTGTCCGGGCAATGACCATGATGACACGCCCATTCCCTGGGGCCTGTCTAATTCTCGACCATGAAATTGATTGTTTCAAGGCTCTTACGTACGGCCAGGCGTAGAAGGAAGCTCATAGGAACTAGCTGGATATCTCCTATTTTATGGAACTTCTGGAGTCGGCAGATGGGTGAGTTTTCTTAGTGAAAGTAAATGCTTTCTTTTAATCTTTGTTTTATTTTAAACAAATTCGTAATTAAAAAGTTAGATTTGGGCATTGGCCTCCCTACTTTAAGAACAATTGATGACACCTAAATAGCAGTAAAATACAATTTTTCCAACTTTTTCGATGTTAGAAAGAATAATTAAAAAATTCAAATTGTGAGTCTACTGTCAACTTTGCCGATCAGCCGTATCGGCATAATTGTGTGCATTTGCGTGTTGTGAGTGTATGCGACTATTCGTGTATTCAAATGCTGCCTATTAACAGGTAGTGCAGTGCTAAAGGTCGCATTAGCATGATTGACTCTCTGCACTGTGCTTTGCAATTTGCTGGAGTGCTTGAATCAAGCTTCATAACTACATTCATGCATTTGGACCCAACATTCCAACAAGGCCAATACCAAGTTATCATTCACACATTCAGATGTAGTAGACAACATCTGAGAATTTGATCCAATCAATCAGAGTCGTCACAATTATTACCTGGTAATGATAGACAAATGCACTGATCAATGCAAGCGCAGTTAGCTCAGCAGCAAAAGATGTTCGATCATGCCCATGGAAGTTTGTTATCACATGACTTCTCTTGTTATGGCCACGTGACAATGGATATATAATGCTAGTCTCATGTTTTATACATAGATCTATTCATGCAGCAATACAACTTCCAATTAGACCTCTACAGCAAAGATATTTAAAGAATATTCAGCATGCTTAAACATATAAATATTTTTATTATGTTTTAAATTTGTAAAGCTTTTTTTCAGGGCTATAATTTAGTCTGAAAACAATTCATACAGACAGAGTTTGAGAAAAGGAGTAATCGGGTCTGCAAAATATTGTAGCTACTTTTAGAATTATTTTCAGGATCACGATCACATGACCGACCACAACTTGCGAGGTGGTGCCACAACATTTACGACCGATTAGAAAGTGTATTTTGTAAGTATAGCATTTCAATTTTCAATACTCATACTATTTGACCTTAGCTCTAATAGTAAAGACATTCATATGCATTAATTTCCAGTTTTTCTACATAAAGGTGGAATCTAATCAGTCACAAGTCAGGCTACAAGGGATTGGCAACTGGCAAGGCAAAAACGCAAACGGAGCTAGCTGAGGAGTGAGGCCGAGGGTTCGCACCCACCGCAGGGTGCAAGGCATGGGTACGGCGTGGGCGTGGCCTAGGCCTAGACTACTATGATTTCATAAGTCATAACAATTAGAATTAACAGCTTATTTAGTTACTTAACATAAATGATGAATCTGTCTAGGGTCTAATTCCATTGCAGAATTTGCAAGCTGTAGATTTATGCTGATATATTTCCAGGTTAAAGTACCAATTAAAACAGCGGTTTGCAGTTATCGATCCTCATCCCCAGCATGCTGTTTACTAGACCGAAAGCTTCAGTCTCTCTAATCGTCGGTTGTTCCACTGAGACTACGTCTGGCTCCACTAGACCTCCGATTATAGAGACTGAAGTATGTCCCATCGGGACTGTACGGGACTGTACAGAACAAATGGTTCGGTTCGAGATATGCAACGAGATTTTCACTCTTTACATCCTCATAACTGCTGCAATTATAATAAAAATTAAAAATAACATATATATAGCTTATTTGACTTACGATAGCTTGCTCATTTAGATCCTAAATTAATGATTAATCCGAGAAAGTCTCGTCGTCAACATTATCCGTCTTGGTTTTAGTTGATGAATATTCATTTTTTCTTTTTGAACGTCCAATAGCTACCGTAGCTACGTATGAGTCAGCCCGGCTTGACCAACGAACTCCCACAAAACGAGTGCTCTGATTGGCCATTGGCTATGTTTTGGTAGGAATTGACCCGGAAATATATATCGGCGGCCGGGTTGTATACCTGTAGCTCTATGTTCGAGTGCATGAACGTGCATGAACCAGTTCAAAGATACAAATTGGATAATTCATATAAGTAAGTCCGAAAATTTCACATTCTATGATAGGTTAGCAAATTTTGAAAACTGTAATTAGGAGATATATATAGACCGACCTAATTTACATCTAATTTAGAAATCAGAAAATTAGATCTAAATAAAGAAAATCGGGAAGAAAATGTCGTGAACGAAAAGATGTTCATAGCTACCCCCACGGTCTGAGATCTCTGGGTTACCATCTGTATTGGGGAATGACAACAAATGTCAGTTTTATTAAAGAAATGACCCAAATCAGATGGTTATTTCTGTCTAGCTGTTTACTAGACCAAAAGCTTCAGTCTCTAAATCGTCGGTTGTTCCACTGAGACTACGTCTGGCTCCACTAGACCTCCGGATATATGTGTATGGGGAATATCGACAAATGTCAGTTTTATTAAAGAATGACCCATACCAGACGGTTATTTCTGTCTAGCTGTTTACGTGCGCTATAGTCTATAAAGATGTATGAATGTATTTACGAGGATCTGTGTTGGAGCTGGAGTTTGATTTGAATGACATCCGATTAACGATGGTCTTTTGTTATTGTCTATTACACAGTGACCTGGAAGAAGTGAAATAAGAGATTGAGTCAAATCCAGCCCTTGTCCAGAGTCAGGAATAGTTTGAAAAGATGAGAATTCTTTTGATCCTAGCCTGCTTGACGTTGCCCCTTCTGGGTTCCTGTCAGTACCAGCCCAACTGGGATTCCATCGACTCAAGACCTCTCCCTGCTTGGTAGGTAATTAGTTTGTGTCAATCTTAGTGGCTGTTTATTAATATTTGTGCAGTCAGCTCAGCCTTCTACTTGAAGGAACTTGGTAATATTGTTCAAATGGGAGAAAATGGTCATAGGGCAGTGACTTCAATGCTAAATGCACAATTAAAGACAATCTGAAAGTTTAAGTGAAAGCAGACTATTATTAATGATAAAAATGAGGAGAAACTGATCTGATTGATTCCTTTATTCTCCTAAATATACTATTACAATTTAGTCTCAAAGCATTGAATTGGCTCTATATATCTTTCCAGACATTTATGTGTTTAAAGCTTTTTAAAGGCCTGTCTTAAGTCTTATTTTCATGGAAAAACTGTTGGGGAAAATTCAAATAAAGTTGGGAGAATTTACTCTGAGAGGGTGTTGCACAGTGACGCCTTCAAAGAAAACCATAAATGTCTTTGTGGCTTGAGAATTTTTTCAGGATTTTTTGCATGTTAGAGGGTTAGTACAGTAGAAGGAATATAATAAGTAACATTTCATACACAAATAACAGTTTTTTCATTAGCCTTCAACAATGTAACCAAGTCACTTTAATGAATTCTAAAGAGAAGTCCACCCGGACATCATCAAGATTATTTGAATTAATGCAGACAAATTTGAAAGAGATAGGTCAGTGGAAGTTGGAGAAAAATCTTATGAAAAAAAAAGTTGTCTAGCTTTGAAGAATTCAAGACCCTTATATAAATTGGCAAACCTATAATTTCTTTCTCAGAACTTCTCTGCCAGTTTTGTAGGCAAAACTTGGAATATATACATGTTTCTTGATTTTGTTAACAGAGCAATTTGATTTCCTACAGAACAACTGACAATAACATGATGTTTTGGCGAAGAATTACCCTTTTAACAATTAGATGTATTAAGTAATTAAGTAATTTCTTACCAGTATTTAGCAAGATTTTATAAATTCTATTTTTTGTTTTGATAAATCAGCTGATCATCAAGGGATTTGGAATTGGGGTGTGATAGAAAGTTTGATTTGAAGGCTTGGTACTTGTGTTTGTTTTCAATACTTTACTTTGTACTGCTTTCTTTATATACATGTAGTAGGCAAACTGTATTCAGCTCACCATACGCCTTCACACTTGTACTATTCTATGTACTATTCTGGCTGCTTGTTTAGTTATCACAGCATTTAAAAAACAGCTTAAAATTCTGGAGTATTGTTTTATCATTTTTATGTGTGGAATTTTTAAAGAAATACAACAAGATTTGGCGACTTCTCGACTGATAAGAGGTATCATTTTTTAAAGATTCTTTTCTTCTGATGAAAATCAAATAAATTCCGGCCTATATTATGTAGGTATGATGACGCCAAGTTTGGAATCTTCATGCACTGGGGCGTCTACTCTGTTCCAAGTTTCTTCAGTGAATGGTTTTGGGATCGTTGGCAAGGAGACCCTCCCTATCCATCTGTCGTCAACTTCATGAAAGAGAACTTCCGACCCGGTTTCACGTATGCTGATTTCGGACCCATGTTCACGGCAGAGTTCTTTGACCCCAATGCTTGGGCTGACATCCTGGAAGCGTCTGGGGCAAAGTAGGTTAACCCATAATATTAGTAATATAGGGAAGAAGGAGAGAAGAGATGAGAAGAGAAGAGAAGAGAAGAGAAGAGAAGAGAAGAGAAGAGAAGAGAAGAGAAGAGAAGAGAAGAGAAGAGAAGAGAAGAGAGAAGAGAATGAGAGGGAGAGAGAAGGAGGAGGAGGAGAAGAAGAAGAAAAAGGAGAAGGAGAGGAGAGGAGAGAAAGAAGGAGGAGAAGAAAAAGAAGGACAAGAGTACATTCTTGTATAGCACCCATGTCAGTATGTTTGGGCTTATGTAACATTTTTGAAATTTAGGGGATCAGACATAGATCTAGACTAAGTTTGTTGTATCAAAATTGATATTAAAATGCTACATTTAGAAGAACGAATACACACTTTCACACAACTTATACTTTTCTCACTCTTGTTTTGAAAATGATATACTGGAACAAAATGTCTTACATTTCTATTTTATTTTATTCTTCTCCACAGTTATGTTGTTTTGACTTCTAAACATCATGAGGGCTTCACCATGTGGCCATCCAATGCCTCATGGAACTGGAATGCAAAGGACATTGGTCCTAAGAGGGATCTGGTCGGTAAGATATGATATTATTTCATTTGGATAAGAATCTGCCATAATTTTCTGGACTTGGTAATGTGTAAACCTGTTATAAAATGAATGGCTAATATTTCTTCCATAAAATTCCAAATCAGTAGCAATTCAATATTTGATATAATTTCTGTTTGATTTAAATTCCTTTACAATTACGTGAACAAGAAATGAACAACACCTTCCCTACTTTATCATTCAAGAAAGGAATGAGGTAACATTAAAACAATTAGTTGAAGACAATTGATTAGACTAGGCAAGGTAGTTTTCAAGTTTTTTCTTTAAGTGACTTGATAACATTGTTGAAGGTTGATGAAAAACTTACTGGGTAATTTTTGTATGAAATGTTACTTATTATATTCCTTTTACTGTACTATCCCTCTAACATGCAAAAAATCCTGAAAAAATTCTCATACCACAAAGATATTTATGTTTTTCTTTGAAGACGTCACTGTGCGACACCCTCTAACAGTAAATTCTCCCAACTATATTTGAATTTTCCCAACTGTTCTTCCATGAAAATAAGACATAAGACAGGTGCTTAAAAATCTTTCAACACATAAATGTCTGGAATGGCATATAGAGCCAATTCATTGCTTTGTGACGATTTACATTCACCTAAAATATAATTAAATTATAACAATATAGTTGGGAGAATTTTGGAATCAATCAGATCAGTTTTTCCTAATTGTTATCATTAATAATGGTCCGTTTTCACTCAAACTTTCAGATTATCTTTAATTGTATATCTAACATTGATGTCACTACCTTAGCACCATTTTCTCTCATTTGAATAATGTTACCAAGTCCCTTTAATAGTGTGATGTGTGAATTGATACTTCGATGAATATAATGTTATGTCATTTTGCTGATGGGATTTCATTCCTGGTTTAATGTAAACCAATGCTTGCTTTAATAATCCAGTGGTTTTCTAAATAGAAACTAAAGTCATTCTTATTTTTACAGGTGAATTGGCAGCAGCTGTGCGCAGCAGAACAAAGATTCATTTTGGCTTGTACTTCTCTCTCTTTGAGTGGTTTCATCCCCTTTTTCTGTATGACAAGGCAAATGGCTTTCAAACAAGAGAGTACAGAAATGTGAGTTGACACCACCAATCTGGATTTATATATTTCATCAGCGTATTACTTGTATATATGCTGGTAATCCAAATTGAGCACTCACGCATACAAGTTTGGTCCCAAGGTCTCTGTGTTCTTTTTGTAGGAGTGGTTTTATGCCCTCGTTGCTAGTTTGCGAGAGTATACAAATAATTTATGTTTGCATTAGTGAATATGCACTGCACGCAGGTTAAAGTCCCAATGGGATTATGAACGAAAGTTGTTGAGATGATTATCAGGCTCATCGTGACTGAACCAAGTGCGGTGTAAATTACTAATGCGCACGCTTAAAAAATGATTTTGTTGTTGTTGTTGTTGTTGGTTTTTTGTTTGTTTTGTTTTATAAAACGGGTGGGCAATACAAATAATAGCGAGAAACAAACCTGATCAAAATGCCATGAATCGCACAGTCATGAGGGCAGCCATTTGCTTTGAATGACATCACAGTGCAGTTTAACAGTGTAATAGGCTCAATATCAGTGAGTGTACATATAACTATTGTGTTTTATGATGAAGATAATCAAATATATTTCAAATTTATGTCCGTAACATTTGCTTCATCAAATTCTCATTGCAGCAAATTATGATGCCACAGATAATGGATATTGTCAACAGCTACAAGCCGGATATTGTCTGGGCAGATGGGGCTAATGCTCCCGACTCTTACTGGAACAGTACAGAGTTCCTTGCCTGGCTTTATAATGAAAGGTTTGTTGTTTGAGAATGTGCTAAAAGACCTCTTTTGGAAGCCAATTTTCTGTTTGTGATATACCTATCAATAAATGATTAGTCTGAATCTGAATATTTTCATTTGTGACATATCTCATACCCCTGACAGTCATTGAGAAAACGAGCCAGAGTATGAATTACAGCAGAGTTAAGGGTCATTGATTTAGGAGGGGGAAGGGGAAGGGGGAGGAGGAAGGGGAGGGGGAGGGGTATTGGTGGAACTGTTAATTCATTCAGAAGTATTTATGATTTCAAAGCCTCAAGTTTTATGCATCATTGTGAACATGTACCACATTTAGAAAGTTTCATTTATTGATTATCCCACAACATCAGATATCGCTGCACAATGCACAGCCCAAAACAGAAATTTCTGTGTACGTATTGTTGAGATGAAGTCAACAGACTAGTGTAGGCATGTTCTGACATGGTGCTGCAAAACCGTGACCGTGTAGAGTGGCGAAGAAGGAAAACAATGTATTAACCAAACCTTTATAATTTTACTTTTTCTCAGTCCTGTTAAGGATCAAGTAGTGGTGAATGATCGTTGGTGTAAATCTGGCTGTCTCTGCAAACATGGAGGATATTTTACGTGCAATGACAGATATGATCCAGGTAGGTAGTAAGATCATTTTCAGTAGGAAAACATGAGCCCGGTTCATATACTGCCACATTGCTGATGTGCGGTTGCCATCTGATTTTCCTCTGTCGTCATCAATATGCAATTTTAGGGTGTTGTTGGAGAGGCAGTATGGCAATAATCTTGTGGCATTGTGTAATCCTCCCCCTCACGTATAGATTCCCATTGTTTTTCTTGCAATTAAAAAATTCTTAATTTTTGTATCAGTTGTCTGATTTTACTCAACCCTTTATCTATTTGTTTATCAGATTTGTTCTACTTATTTTGAAATCAAGTTATTCGTGGACCTGATTGACCTTTCAAAACTACATGTATACTACTTGCTTGAGCATCAAGAACATTTCCTATGCTGAATTTAGGGCGGAGGCATATAGGAGAAGCAGTCGCATTTGTCTTGTTTTTTTATACCATTGGAATTTTGTTTTCTTTATTTTTCAGGGAAACTGCAAAATCATAAGTGGGAGAACGCCATGACGGTGGACATGAGCTCATGGGGATATGTGCGAACGACTCCGTTGAGTGGCATCTTTGATATTCATGGTCTGATCCAGAAGCTTGTCAGGACAATAAGGTATAAAGAGATGACTGGTACTACCAAATCCAAAAATAGCAACGAATTACAGACATACTTAAAAGCTTTTCGCCTTACACTCATCAGAGTAAATCGCAAGAATGAACTGGAAGCCGAAATCAAATAATATAAGCGGAAGCTGAAGGAACAAAGGGCGCAACAAATTACGTGCTGTGATTGGCTGGGGGAAACAGACGAAACGCTAGCCATTTACACTGTCTGATTTCACCTTTATGTTCATTATTGCAATTAACTCTGGTGAGTGCAAGATGCAGAGCTTTAGTACGTCAGTATTTGTTGATGTTCTTCAATAATGTACAAGTTTGGCAATCTGGTAACTCAGGAAATCCATGAGAGCCAGACAGGCATCAACACATGTCATCTAACCCAGATAAAGCCTCTTTCAGCTATACCGTAATAAACCGCAGCAGGTTTTTTTTAAATCTTAAAATTCAGAGGTAAGAGTCTGGTAGACTTTTCATGTGGCTCAATGAACGCCAGATGAATGATCCAAATCATGGTGATTATTAGAAATATAAGATCCTAAGTGCTCTTAAACATTTCCTTTCTTCAGCTGTGGTGGTAACCTTCTTCTCAACGTGGGTCCGACCCACGATGGTCGCATTGTACCCATCTTTGAGGAGCGTCTTCGTCAGATGGGGTCATGGCTAAAGGTCAACGGCGAGGGCGTGTATGGATCCATCCCATGGAGAAAGCAGAATGATACAGTAAACCCAGATGTCTGGTGAGAAAGTTTATTCATCTTTAACAATAATGTTGAGTTCTGGTCGTGCGCGTACCTTGAGAAACAATTTGGGTCTCGTGTAGCAGTTTGGAAGGGTTGATTACGTACCTAAGTGATTGGTTTATACTGTGAGGTTTTGGAATCATCAAAATGATATCAAATTGACCCCATCTTGCTGTAAAGCACCTGCACTCCACAAAGAAATGGGTATTTGGGACCATACACACATATCTGGCATGAATATTTGGTCCAAACACTTCAGCTTCTCTGTTACAGTTAGATTATGAGAGCATTAAAAGAGCAATCCTTTTCAGCTAGGGGACATTTCTACTATGATGCTTTCCCAGGCTGACAATAAAAGGAATGAGAAAACTCACACATTTTCATCACCTTTACCAGAACCTAAATTTCTTGGTTAATGAGGATTGATATAACACATAGGATAGAAATCGTTCATATTAGACTAGGAGTGGTGTCACTCCGTTTCCTGAAAGGTGAAGGAACTCATTGATCGTAAGCTCACACTGAGGCCAAAGGCATACGCTTTATATGCACTGATGCTAATCAGCGTGCTCTCTTTGTAACATCTGATATACAAATGTATGGTACGCTTTGTGAAATTCTCACAGAGGTTAGGGAATACTATTACAATATCACCTATGAAATTTCATCGAGATTAGCTGAGGATTTGTTAAGATGATGCCTCGGCCCCCCACTCAGTGTTATTAAGGGTACGCGTATGCATGTTCCCTCCTTTTGAAAACACGCCCTTAAGTCCAGTGTGTAAAGTCAATACGGGCCGGATTTTTGTGTACTGCGAGCCGGACTTTGATGCATGAAAAGTACCCCTTTACCGGACATTTTGGGAACACGCATGCGGTCCCTCTGACCCCGGAGTGGGGGGCTGGGATGATGCCAATCAAAATCTAGTTGTATTTTTTTTTAGACCCCTCAAATACTTTGTATCAAATGTTGACCCAGACATGACGAAAACTCTTCGTTTAAAATTGAAACCCCCATTTGACTTTCAACACTTCTAGAGCTGAGATAGCATTAAGCCTAAAGTAAACACTTGCGCTGTCCAATATAACCCCCCCCCCACAAAAGTGGGGTTCTGATACCCCACCTGATTTACATTGGTTTCTGTGTTATAGTGGTAGCTCTGTCCAAGTTTTAACGAGAGAAACGAAAGTGGGGTCCTGATACCCCACCTGATTTACATAGGTTCCTGTGTTATAACGGTGGGGTATAGTTTTAACGAGAGCTTTTCATAATGGAGATGGCCACTCAAAATGCTTTCTATCCGTTGCAAAAGGGGTTATATAAATTGCAACTATTAACTATTATTGGTATTATTTGAAGCAATTAAGGTTTAAATTAAAAGAATTATAAAGCCACTAAACATTTGTTTAATATCCATGTCATGTTTTATAGGTATACCACGACCAAGAAATCAGATGCTGTTTATGCTTTCCTCTTGAAGTGGCCTCAAAACAACACCGTTTACATTGACGCTCCTGTCGCAGAACAGAACACCAATGTCACCATGCTGGGTTACGGTCAACCTCTGAAATGGGAGATGGGACCAGCCTATCAAGGAATGAATATCATGCTTCCCTTCCTCAATCCCTCTCAGACGACTTGTCGATGGGCCTGGGTTTTGAAGCTTAGAAATGTGTTCTAATTAAAGCCCCGTTCAGATATGACACGGTTTTGTTATGATTGCATAAAGTGTAATATGTTTTACATTTCTGTATCTTATAAAGACAGAGCCAAGTAAACATGCCTATTGGACCATTAATGTGGTAGTTGCCATTCATTTAAACGTTTAAAAAACGTGTTTTGTTTTTTGTGGTTTATTGCGTCAAATCTGGACATGACTTTAGCATTAAGGAGGTTGAGAACTTTAGAAGTGCTTTCATTTCGTGATAACTCGAAGTAATTTTTTTTTGTTTTCTTCCTGGCTGTTTATGACCAGTTGTACTTATTTGATGCAGTTATTATTTCAATTTGACTGATAACTCAAAGTAAATTTTGTATGTTTTCTTCCTGGCTGTTTATGACCAGTTGTACTTCTTTGATGCAGTTATTATTTCAATTTGTGATAAATCAAAGTAAATTTTGTATGTTTTTTTTTCTGGCTGTTTATGACCAGTTGTACTTCTTTGCTGCAGTTATTAATTCAATTTTTGATAACTGGAAGTAATTTTTTTCTTCTGTTTTCTTCCTGGCTGTCTATGACCAGTTGTACTTCTTTGGTGCATTTATTTATGGTCATTTCAGACAGTGTAAACTTTGATGTTAATATTCTGAAGTACTTGTTACTTTGTAAACTATGATTATATATCACAAATCTTTGGTATCAGGGTAATTCTAATGTTTAAAAAATTGGATTCTCTAATTTTTTAATAAGGATCGCAATAAATGAAATGTTATATCTCTTATATACTTCTGCTTAAATATAAAGTATTCCATACATGTCTTTGTATTGATGACAAAAACTTGCCTCCATATTTCGTATTAGTGTGCTTATTTCATATAAATTTTTATATCATTATTTTGGTTTCAATTATGTAATTCTCGATCATGAGTAGTAATGACATTTCTGTATTCTTGTGCAAGGTTCATATATTTTTTAATATCATATCTAATGGTCTTTTTTTTGTTTGAAAGTACAGTACTATAGATGAATTCATAGCAAGACTTCTTTAATATGCCATGTTTAGAACTCATCAAGTGATAAAGTAATAAGTCTGAAATATACAGGAGCTCTAATCTTCCTGTTTCGGTTACATTTCAAATTGCCATTTAATGGGTATATTTTTGTAAACATCTTGTTTTTGTATTTGTTTGATAAATTGTTTGATATGTCCTTTACCATTTTGTAGGTAAGACCAAGAAGCATATTTTCATGTTACCATGAAACTTGCAATACGGTAGATCAAGATCTATATAGTTAAAGTTGATATATGCACGCTATTGTTACCCAGGCAATGAATTTCATAACAGTGTCTGTATATTTAAAAAATGGGACCCATGTTTTCCATTCGACTTAAAACCCACTGAAAATGAATTAGGTGATGTCCTTTCCTTTAAAAAAAAGTTACTCCTTCCCATGTTTATCTCATTTGATGAAATCCAATGAGCGAAGCTGATTGGTCATATTGCAATGCATGTATAAACATGATGTAATTTATGTTATGTCACTTTGCTGTGTTATTTGTGTAGCGAGTTACTGGTCACTCAAATGTACTCAAGGAGAGCATAATGAACAATAACTCAACATATATGTAACCGTTTTATTGAAAGGAAATTCATAGGGAAAAAAAAAGTTAATTTCAGTAATTTCTAAATTCTGTATGGGTATATAGGTCCATGCTATTCTCCCCTTGGGTGTCAATAATTCAAACTTATTAAACTATAACATTGAAAATTATTGTCTTTTCAAAGCTAAAACTAGGGATTGTATGATCCTTTTAATTATTTAGGGTGAAAAGTGTAATTTCGCAATTCAAAATGCTAATTATTCAAAATAAATATTAATCAGCGTGACGACATACTAGACATTGTATACTTTTTATAAATTACATATTCAAGTCTGCTTTATCAGATTCTTCTCATCTCATGCTGGCCGGGGCAAACAGAATTAGGCTTGTAATTGTGAAGATTTTTTTTGGGAAAAATAAGTAATTTGGCTAATTTAAGTGATATGTCAAACAATATGTCCCGTGATAGTCACACTTTTGATGTGTATTTTTTACATTCTAAGAAAGAAGTAGTCTTTATTTTTCACAATTTTTCTAAATGTAGTTCTGAGAGTAGTACCCATAACAAAAAAATCATGATAAAGTAATCCAGCTATTATCCGGTGCAATTACATAATCAATTCAAATAATGTGTTGTACAGCACAACTGTAAATGATGCACACAGACACAGTCTACAGGCTGTTTTGTTCTGATCTTGCTGATCGAGACAACTAATTGCTTGTACATATATGTGCCTTTAACTATTGATGTAATAAACTTTAAAAGAAATCTAAGTGTCTCCTAATAAACTGGTTTTGTGCCTGTCAGTACGTGTTAGAGAATTTTTGGACTCTACGTGCCCCCTCCCCCCCCCCCCCCCCCCCCCCCACTAGGCCAAGGAAGGCTGGCCAGGAGGCATTTTCCAGTCCTTGACAAAAGCTGGCCTTTAACTCTTGATGTAATAAATTTTTAAGAAATCAAAGTGTCCCCTAATCACCCAGTTATGTGCCTGTCAGAGAATTTTTGGAATCTGCCCCCCCCCCCCCCCACACACACACACACAACAGATCCCTGAAGAGCCGGTTGCTATGTATAGATCGCTCTTACACCGTTTCATTATTAGTGTTTCACTATTTTTCATCTTATTTTTTTTCTGGCTTTACCTTAACCCTCTGCTTGAATTACTGTCTGCACGTTCTTCACATTTGTCTTCAATCAGAAATCTTTTAAACAGCTATATACAGCCTATTATGAATATGCATGAAGTGAATGCATGATGTGAAATAATCCTCCATCTGACATTACATATGTCCAAGTTTACTCTCATTTGAAATGTATGAATGAAAATCTAGCCTTTGATCTGGCAAAAACTCTCTTCATGCCATGCCATGGGGGCGTGGTTGGGTGGGGCGGGGCCGGGGGGGGGGGGGGGGGGGGTTGCATGGGTCCCCCAGATCATAACAATTTTTTTTCTTCAAAGCTTTAATTAAAAAATATTAAAAAATATTAATGGATGCTTCTTCTAGGTATTTTCTCGAGGTTGTGATAAATTGATTTCGGTTTCCATTTTCCACTACTCCAATAAATGTTGATCCAGAGTGAAACACTGCCGTACCTGTCTGTAAATAAAGATTTGCGGCTGCGATGAAGACTAATCTTTGCGGGAAAATCGAGTTGAAAGAACTCGAAGAAATGACCTAGCTAATCGTGATTGCCTAGTTATGTAAGTACATTGCCTTCTCATCTCTTGAAAAGATGCAACGAATTAAAGAAATGTAGTTAATGTGTACATACGCATCAGAAAATAATTGTAATCGCGGGTATTTGTTCACAATTAAAAGAGGGTTAAGGTTTGCATGGATACCTCGCTCCCGGACCCATGCATGCAAATCCATGCACCGCTACTCGTACTCGTAGCCGAGTCCGAAATTGGGTTTAGGGGTCTAACTGTTAGGCCTACTAGTACTATTTATTAAATACGGTACTCCTCAGCTCAGCTCAGTTGCCGCTGCATGCCGCTTCTTTAGCGGTATGGGGCATGGAGCAAGGCTAGGGTTGGAGTGTAGAGCTTTTCTGTGTGTGTATGAGTGTTTGTGGGGGAGCTACCTTTTTCATTTTCTTTTCTTTTTGGGAGACTGTCTTATTGTCTAGATCCAGGTCTAGTGTCTCCAAATTAAATATGGCCTAGAATCTAGATTCTAGACTAGTCTAGAATTAGCCACCAAAAATCTTGACAAAAGTATGAAACTTTGTCTTATCTTTAATATAGACCTCTCTAGAGTTCTAGGGATTGTTATCGTCAACCGATACCGATATAAACGTGATCGTGAGGGTGACCGGGAGTTGTAAAAATGGACAGTTGCCTGTGATATTCTTATCGTTGTTTCAGAGGCCGTTGTCGCCTGATTAAAGGTGTTTTAATCTCCAATTCCTGTCTGATCTCTGGTCATTCCCATTTGTACTTAGATCTAGTGAATCCCTACAATATGACATTACTTTAGTTTAGAAATTAGAGACAGTCTCCTAAATCTCCTCTACTACTGTACTACTGTACTGGCTCTAAATTACAAAGCAGTCTAGGCTCTACTGTCTGTTCTAAACAATATTGAAGTGAAGTGAATATCTAACAGTAACGGTAACAAGTTAAAAGTCTATAAATTTAATGATCAAAATAACCTTGCATGTTTGATGGATCAATTGATTTTTTCAGCCTGTAAATTTTTATCTTTTTGGCCAGAGATCTTCTTGCTCTTATGAATTTCTGAAACTCTCACACAACTTCACAAGATCACAGGCAAAATTGACAGCTGTATTTGTGTTAAGCATCAGGACAGGGCAAGCCCAAGGTGTCTGGTAATTTGCTGTCCTGTACGTCACTATATCTTGTATGGTTTTGAACATATGACATAGAATGAGTTTTTGTTTTCATTTCATATTTAGCCTGATAAAAGCTCTAGTAGGGCTATTAACTGAATACAATCATTGGATAGATCTTATAGGCCTACCGGTATACTAAAATCTTAGATGTGGTTTCTTTGTGACATACAGAACAATGGCTTGGACTTGCCTAGATGAAACCCTCCCCCCTCCCCCCTTTTCTCCCCCCCCCCCCTTCTCCATCAGTCCACCCATCCATACTGTATTTTTTTCACCTTATTCTACTTTTAGGATGGATTAATGATCATCCCACGTTACGAAGATGGAGATAGAGATGTAGACAGTTATGGTTTAGCCTTAGACGTCTGAAAGCAGGCCTACTCCTTTCACCATGGCGAGCCCATCTGCTGGATTGACCAAAGAAGAGGTAAGATTGGAATTTCAAATTCAAAAATGCCAATTTACAATGTTATCATCAGGTTATCTAAAAATTCTAAAGCGCTAGATCTATATCTTCAATTTTGAGTTGGTCCTTCATTCTGAAAGAGTCAGTGATATATATACTTTCTTTGCTTACAAAAAGACACTGGGTGGAACTACACTTGTTATTCCAAATATTCCCCCATTTTTCTCACTTTCTGGAACTTAGTCCACCTGCTTCTGACTACCTTTAGAAGTTTCATACATTTTCAATGAGATCATTGAACTGGGCATTGAACATCTCATTGAGGGAGAGACGGGTTAAAGCTCCAGAATTCATTGTGAGCACATTGTGGTTTAATACTTTGATTAGTGTGCACAATTAAAATCTAGCACAAGATCACTGAACCAAAATTATTGAATGGGGTAATTTGTTTGTCACCTGTCTGGAAGTGGACCCCCCCCCCCCCTCAAAAAAAAAAATCCAATATATGATGCTGTATTTACCATGCATTATAAACAAATGTCCTTGTTCCTCAAGCTGTAGGTATATGTTTCTCTTACACCTTACACACAAATATAATACATGTATATGTATGATAATTGAAAATAGGATACATACACTGTATCAAGATAATTTAGAAAATAGTCCATACTTTTTGTGTATGATATTTTTAGATTTTTGTTTAAAGCGGTTTATGTCATCTTGCACATTGCAATTTTATCCCCGCTCCCAAAACTACCAACAAACCAAGTTCAAACAAAATTTTGATAGCAAGACCCAGGTATTTGTTCATTTTTTTGTTCCATACATTACAAAGTGTACTATTAAAATCAAATTCAAATAATTGATCTCTAGAGACCAAACACAAGAAAACTGCTGGTGCTGATAATAACCCCTTCCTCCTCAAGAGGAATGATGAATAGAGAAATGAAATACTGGTACATTCACTAAGCTGTTGCATCCATAACATTTAATTTGCAGATCAAAGAGCGTCTAGCTCACATGAAAAAACAGTATGCACAGATGCAGAAGAAGCTGGAGGTAAGTGAAAATTAAATCAATTTATTGCTATAACTTCTTTTAAAATTTAAATATTAGCATTTGGATTTAGATATCATTCAAGATATGTTGGTACATCCATTCTGTTTTCCTTAAATAGGTTGATATACAAATTGATGAAATTTTTTTATGTGCATTGTAAATTTTGTGGGTGGTATTCTGAAATGTTGTATCTTTTATGTACCTGAAACAATGTTATAACGAATGAATAATCATGCAAGACTGGCTGCATAGACGCATAGTTAAAAGACACAGGTACAAGTAACTAGTGTTTATTATGCAGTACAACTTCAGCTTGTTGTGAGTCAGACCATCATTTCCCCCTGTATAAAAGGTAACATAGTTTTTGGAATAAGGCCTCTGACCTCTTGCAAGACTACTGTATACATGTAGAAGTGACTAGTGTGTACCGGTAATAAGAATGCTGTTTCAACTCTCTTAATAGATGTAGCACAATTTCACATGTACTGTTTCAAGTCACAATCTGTAATAAAACCACAGCAATAGTTGTGCATTTTTTGCATTAAAATATTGAAATTGCTTAATCTTTAATTCTGTATACCATATCATTCATCTGAACAGAAATCGGACAAAGCTACCAGAGTGAAGAGACATGTCAGCAAAAAGATTGCAGATTACAAGCGGAAGCAGGCCACAGATGGGTCTCCAGAATGCACCATTTCCAAAGCAGCCGACTCACCCAAAGACACCCCAGAGAATACAGGTAGTCCTTCTTTACCCTTGGTCAACAGAGGGCGCCTGTCATCGAAACCTAAAGTGTCCGCGTCCAGAGAGAAAAGCGGCAAGCGTCGGAGTGTGTCCTTTGCCCCGTCAAGTCAATCAACGCCAACGAGCAGCAGACATGATGCAGGACAAGGGACTGCGTTTGCCCATGCGCAGTCAGGAGAAGTTCTTGTGGGAGTGAATCAAAAGCCTGTTTCCAGTGTGTCACCTCTACGTCAAGTCCAGAAAACAGACAGCTCGCTCAGAAAGTCTGGAGATAGACCCAACAAGAAGTTGTTCAGAAGAGCCAAATCGAAGAAACAGAAATGGGTGACGGCTTCATCATCCAGAGCTACCATAGTTGACCAGTCAAAAGATGGTAATGCAGGCTTTGTGTCATCAGATCGTCTTGATTCAGAACAAGATGTATCGGTTGTAAAGGATGAAGACACCAGTACTGATGAAGCGAAGTCGAAGTCGGATCCTCTGGATAACACGAAGCATGAAGTGGATTCTCGTCAGGTGCAAGAAATACTTTCCTCCCCAGATGCAAAGACACCTCCATTGGATACACAGTTTGATCTGTTTGCTGATACAGATGTTCAGGATGAGTCTCCACATGTCAAGATGGGTACAGTTGATGCGTCATTGCAAGCTGCGTCCCCCTGTGCACTAAAATTTAAGTCACCAGGACATGCAGAAAAAGAACCGCTCCAAGATTCTGTGTCTGGGTATGGGCTGAAAAGACACAACAAGGCATTAGAGGAATCTGTCATTATACTTGATGAAACACAAGGAGACATCTTTTATTCTCAAACCTCAAAAAGGTGCACTCAAGATGTAACACAAAGAGACACCTTTCATACTCAAACCTCAATAAGGTGCACTCAAGATGATGAGATGAGAATGCCAATGGCAGCAGAAGTACAAGAGACCCCTTCTGCAATGAGAGTTTCTCATCTTAATAGCACATCAAACACTTATTCTGAAGCAGTCAAAAGGAATCCATCTGTGATGATGTCAAAACCTGATAATTCTACTAGGAACTATTTGCATGTCGAGGTGGATAAAGAGATGGCAATATCTGATAGCCATCAAGACATGATACACAGTGTGTCAGATGAGGAAGGCACAGAAGACCCTGATGTCATTCCAAGCACTTTTCCTGAGGACCTTGAGCCAGTGACAAAAGCAAAGTCCATTGTGTCCAGTCAGAATTCAAATTCAGACCATTTAAATGCTATGAGAGCAAAATGCAATCAGGATAGAGACCCTTCACCTCTAACAGATGCACAGAATACAGATTATCAAAGTGCGTCCAAACGAATAATGGATGAAATGGTAGATATTGATGAAAGTGAAATGAAGGTCAGCAGTCAGAAAACTAACACTGAAGAAGTAGACATGGCTCAAACAAGTACCAGAATGTCTGGAAATTGTGGAGTCAATGACAAAGACACAAAAAACATTCTGAGACATAGTGACACTCAGCAGAACATCAACCACTTTGATGATCCATCTTCAGTTGAGCTTGATTCTCAAGACGTTCTGATACATTCCCAAGAAATCACTTCCCAAAGGAGTCCTCTGTCTCCTGAAGGGAAGGGAAAGACTAGTAATCCATCTTCAGTCCAGCTTGATTCTCAAGACATTCTAATACACTCCCAAGAAATCACATCCCACAGGAGTCCTCTGCCTCCTGAAGGGAAGGGAAAGACTGGTACCCAGAGGAGGAGGAGGAGAAAGAACCAGAGAAGCATTGACAATCTTTCGGTGGATGACATCAGCCTTAAGGACTTTGTAGTGTCTCAACAGAACAGCCAGGAGGGTAGCCACTCCTGGATTGATGGACTCATGTATCCTGCAGAGTACTATGTCAGGAAAACCAGGAGCATGTCCAGGCCCTCACCCAATCAGCACTCTGCACCTCCTACCGGTCAGAAACGATCCTCTAAAAGTTCACAGGGGAGAGCGGGCTCTCTGCCGAGGACCTTCCAAAATGCTGCGGTGAGTGAGCCAGTTGTTCACACCAAATTACTGGATGCACAACAAGTACAGGCTGAAAAGGATGAGTCGGAAGTTGGGCTTTCTGAAAAGATAGACTTGGTAAAAGATGATACCTGTACATTTGTTGAGAAGTCACAGGACTATGTGCGCAAGGAGTCGTCTCCTCCAAGGAAGATGAAAGTTTTGCGCAAACCAGCAACTACTAAAAGGAGGCTGGGAAGAAAATCCTCAAGAAAGAAATTGGAGAATGATTCAGAGTGTAGTGTTACAAAAACAGCTGAAACCTCTCAAACATTAGCTCAAACTGGATCAAGCAATGAACAAGATAATGCCAGCAATCGTTCCCAAAAATCTCAAGATATTTATATTTGTAGTTATGATAGAGACCGAAATGAAATACAGAACATATGTGATGACAAAGATGGAACAACCCTTTTTAGTAGCAATCATGCATTGCTGACTGGGAAAGAAACTGGAATTACCACATCTCCTTGTCACCTTCAGGTTGGTTTGGACTCCCAGGGGAACCCTGTTGAAAACACTGTATCACATGCTGAAGGCCCAGTGTGTGAAGGTAATAAATACATCTCCATCACTCAGATGACAAATAACCCCCTGGAGAGCCAGTTCACACAGACTCAAGTCCCAAGTAACTTTGCCTTACCTCGGGTATTTGGTAGTCCTGGACAATCCACTCAGTGTCTGGTTGGTCTCTCACCAGGTTCTCCAGCTTCAACAGCCATCGATGCACTGGACAGCCCAACAGTCAGGCAGTCTACATCTCAACATGGGGATGGAATCGATCACGTTTCCAGCCCAGAACATAGAAGACACAATGATGAAAACCAGGAATGCAGTGAACATCAGTGGATGTCAGAAGTATACTTGGCAGATGTTGTACCGGAACTTCCACCCGATGTTAATTCTAAACATAAAAACGTAGACAACCTTCAAGAAGTTGGTGCAGGCCATTTATCTCTTGAGGAACATGATATGCGCCTCTCACAGGATCTTGACATGAATGGTCATCCCAATATCCTGCCCAAGTCACAAAGTGAACTCATAGCATCAGTGGCCATTGCTGTTCCAGTTGTGAGCGCAACACAGCTAATTGGTAGCTCGGTTCAAGGCACAAGCAATATCCCCAAAGCTGAAAACCATGTTTCAGAGAGTTTGTCTTACCCACTGCCTGTTCCTTGTGATGACATACAAGAGGATGAACAGCGTACATCTCAAAGGGCTTCTGCACCTGACCTTTACGACATCAAGGAACCCATCCTGGATCACATTCCTTCCAGAGTTCCAGGAGTTCCATCTAGCCTTTGCAGTAATGTCAATCAAGGATCTCCAATGGCTGATGCAGCCACAGGGACTCCTCCGGAAGCTGCTGAAATGCCTCAAGCCCAATCTCAGTGCACAGACTCCTATGGAGATGGATCAGAGTTTGATAGAAACTCCTGGAAGGAGATAGCTGGAAGTGACCTCAGTGTAAAGGAATGCTTCCAGTTCAAAGGTTGCCTGAAGGTAAGTACCATAAACCTTTCTTCCTGTGAGTTGACTAATCATGATCAAGTCCTGATTATCCTTTAAAATCATTTGGGACAGAAAATTTAGATATCATTTTTAAGTTTGAGGATTTCAATATTCACTCCAAATAAAACTAAATTACATGTAGATTAAAGTTTTATCGTCCCCTAGATAATCACCTTCCCCCCAACAAAAATGAAACAACCCAACAAGTTGATAAAGTTGCATACTTGCTCATGTCAGTTAATGAAGGGAATGCCAATTATTTTTCTTCAATCTATGAGAATACACATTTTAGAATCATTTTAGTATAAATTTAATCTTTTAACAGCTAAGCAATATGCTGTAACTGTCTAGTGATAGTAGTAAAGTTTCCTCCAAGATATTGATTCAAAAGTACCTGTTATATAAACTATTGTCTTTTATATACCTGCCTTTTATTAAAATTTAAAAATTGTATAGATGAGATGAGCTACACTGTGCTAGACACTTTTTCCAGACAGCAATAGTATTTTTTATTTTGCATGATGGTTGTCTTTTGCTTCCAGCACAAGACGGAGCACTCAACAGAAGTCAAGCACATCATTTCATCCAGGCTTGTCACTGAGGATGTATCAGAACCTTTGATAGCTGTTGTCTTTCCTAAAGAAATCGTCTTCTGGGTACTCAGGACTGCAGAAACAGGAAAGGTTTTTCAGGTTTTGTTTTCATGGAGAACAAGTAAGGTAAACTAATGAATACTTTTATTTTCTACTGACTTATTTGTTTTGTTTCCCTCCAATAATTTCCTGTTTTTCCCTAAGCATATCATTAAAGTCAATTTTCCCCTTTTCTGTGATTTTAACAGAAGTGTGTTAAAAGTAAAAGATATCTTTGAAAGTTTATGTTGTTTTGTCAGTTGGATTATAAATCAAACACTTTCTCAATTAATAACTTAGGTTGACTGAAAAGTTGACTAGAAAACTTTAGCTCTATGCAACTATGACTTTGGCATGCATAAAATAAAAACCCAACTAATCATAACAAAAAGGTTAAGATGAGGCAAGAAATTAGTATGATAACCCATCTATCTAAACATTAAAATCTGAAAAAATGTTTAAAATTCAGTTTATAAATGAATTGGAAATACACAGCAACCTGTCATAACAAATTATATTTTTACTTCTTGAAGAAATTTGTATACAAGTCTGAATTTTTTTGGTTTTTTTTGTGTCTTACTCTCGATTATGGAATAGATTACCACTAGAAATAAGGAAAGCCCCATCAATGATCACTAGATCATTTTAAATCAAGACTGAAAACTCACTTGTTCATAAAGTATGTATATGTTTAGCACAGCATTTACGAGCTCTTGCAGCGCAGTAGAATAGATCCACATAGTCATTGCGCTTTACAAATGAATATATTATTATTATTATTACTCTTACCATTACTCCATGTTATTATCAATTCTTGATCTCTATTTTTCACCATTCCAGAGTCCCGAGAGAGTCACCTTCTTCACTCTTCTGCCAGACGTGACCGATGCCGTCGAAGCTCTTGTTGTGGTTGGAGATGAGGATAGATCCCACTCTGTCAGGTACACCTGGGCCCTGTTTCACAAAGCCTTTTTTCAATGACAAATGACAAAAATCAGTGACAAATCTGTTGATAACCAATCAAAAGCAAGCATTTTAGTAGCTTATAACAAAAACTGTAATTTGTCACTGATGACAAGTTTTGTGAAACACCCTCCTGGACCCCGTTTCATAAAAACTTGTTATCATTAACAAATGCTCAATTTTTAGGACAAAATTGCTCTCAGCCATCCAAATGCCACGATTTCAGTAGCTTATAACAAAAACTGTCGTTTGTCACTGATGACAAGTCTTGTGAAACGCCCCCCTGGGCCCCGTTTCATAAAAACTTGTGATCAATAACAAATGCGCAATTTTTAGGACAAATTTGCTCTCAGCCATCCAAATGCCACGATTTCAGTAGCTTGTAAGAGTGATTGTGACTCGTTATTGATAAGTTTAATGGTCTGTAATTGAATAGGAGTACTCTAAAACCAGAAACTTTCCTGAGTGATCTCGTCTGGTAAATCTTCATGCCACATACACTATGAACATGACGGACAAAGAAAGAGGACAAAATATACAGTTCCTCATTCTACCCTCAACAATTGCTGTGGTAGACAAAGGAACATCCCTTCACTACTATTATGTAAAAATGTGTAGAACAGGTGTCACATGCATATTCACCTGTTCTACACATTTTTACATAAGAGCAGTGAAGGGATGTTCCTTTGTCTACCACAGCAATTGTTGAGGTTAGAATGAGGAACTGTATATGTTGTCCTCTTTCTTTGTCCGTCGTGTTCATAGTGATAATGATCAAATCACAATTGAGTTTTGCATCGATAGGTAGAGTTTAATCTGTGAATATTTGATGTTGTCTACAATTTTCCCATCGCAAGTATCTGGTTTTACAGTAATTTTCTTTAAAGTAGTAATGTTTGTCTTGTACCTCTGATTTTAAAATCAGTGAATAAATTGACTGTAAACTCACTCACCCAGCCCTGTTAACAAGTGTAACAAGTTGTGTTTGATATTTCCATCTTGTCTCAATGGTGAAATTTACATCAAAATGTGTCTCCTCATGAATTATTTGGGTGTGAGCTTTATTGCCATCATCTGAAATAGACTAATGGCACCCGATATAACTACTTGGCTGATAGAAACTCACAATTCTTTATAAAATAAGATACAATCAATATCTTGATTATTTTTCTGTAAAGTTTTCCCTTTTAACATCAGAGATTTGAGCACTCAATCTGATTTGATTGTTACACCAACAGATGCATCAGGTGGGACTGTAAGAAAGCAAAATGGAAAGACACCACAGTCCTCTCCTCTGCAGTTATGCCCCATATGACCTGTACATCCCTCTGTGCTCTACAAGACAGAAAGGCCGCCATAGCTCTCCACAAGAAGGCTATCGGTTCAGAGGTGCTGATCGTAGGGCTTAGTGCTAATGGCAGGTATGAATATATCTCCTTATATTCATTCATTATCGTAATAGGTTGTTTAATTGATCAATTTATATCATTGTTATACTAGCAAATCTCAAATGTGTATTACTTTTTATATTTGCATTACATGAATATTTTGTACAAACATTTTGCACTGGAAGATATATTTAGATTGAATGCTGATTAAAACAGGTCCTCTGTATTGAACACTGGGTGTAATGACATTGTTTAACACATTGGCTCCTGAATTATGTCATTGTCAAAGATTTAATGCATGATTCACCCGGTGATCCTGTAGGCAGAGTGTTAAATTAATTTCCTGACACAGTGTTAATAATGCTCATTACTTTCAGCTTGAAGTTAAACGACTTTTATTCTCACCTTTAATAATAATAATAATAATATTTAATTTTTATATACCTTTATACAATGTAAAGCGCTTAAACCAATCATGCGAGAGAGCTATATAAATGAACAAATGATTATTTTAAAAATATTTTTAGCATTTAAAATTCAATAAAATATATAGTGTACGTGTTCATAATTTCAGTAATTCAAATGATATGCCAACAGCACATACATAGCTGTTAATATTTTCAATTTATCATCATAATATTTATGAAGCGATTTGACAGTGCATAATGCTGAGGATTTTCTTGTTTCTTCTAATCCATTCAGTGAGAGACAAGACTTTCCTTCCGTGACTCTACCGGCGTCAAAGGATAGGATCAACTCGCTGACGGTAGTTGAAGATGCCGTTCACATGCTGCTTGGAGTGACTGACTCAGAAGCATTGCTCTGGTAAGCATCATGTCACATAGCCTTCCACACTTTCACTGGTTCACAGTTTGATTTTGGAAGTTGTGTATTTTCTAAGCTCATGGGTTAGTGCAATTTTTAGGGCCATTTGTGAGGAGACAGAATACAAGGTTGGTTAGGAAGTAGGGAGAGAGAGAGAGATAGAGAGAGAGAGAGAGAGAGAGAGGGAGGGAGAGAGAGAGGTAGAGAGAGAGAGAGAGGGAGGAGGAGAGAGAGAGAAAGAGAGAGGGAGATTGAGAGAGAGAGAGAGAGAGAGAGAGAGAGAGAGAGGGGGGGGGGGGGGGGGAGGGAGAGATGAGAGAGAGAGAGAGAGGGAGAGGTGGAGAGAGAGTATAAATAAGAATGAACATTGTAAACAAAATTAACCGTATAAGGATTTTTAGATGTATATACTTACTCTGGGTGAATTTATGTGCTAATGAAGTTTATTTAATTCTAGCTTTATGCTGATCTATATTACAAGGATACTCCTATTTTTTTATAATCATGTTGCAGTGCATAAAGACCACAGATAATATATGATATACATATATAGTGGAACTATTGAAAACTTACCGGTATCTCATAAATACTCATTCATTAATAACCACTGAGAACCTGTGAAGCTGAAACTATATGGAAATCAGTATATGTTGGTAAATATAGAGAATTTTGGTATTATAACTAATTTAATAGTAAAAAAAATTAAATCTCTATGTTCTCTTTCAATATTTATCTGGTTTACTACTAGGATAATGAAGTAGCTCGGTGCCATGGATCTGTAGTTAATCTTAAGATATCAGTATACTCAAGTTTTTTATTAATCAGTTAATGAATCTTACAACTCAACTTGTGTTTTAATACAGGCATGTACCGTCCCATCAACTTGTGCAAGAGTTTTGCCTGAAAGATCAGAAGATGAATTACTCTATTGAAGCAACTGCAGAATCGGTAAGATGAAGTGCCCTAGCTGGTATTTTTGTTCAGCTACATTTATCTCTTTTTTTTTGGTAGTGTACTTGAAAATAAAATTTTATGGTCATTATTTTCACTGAGGCGTGTTATATCATCAATCTATACAACGAAGGTCTAAGATATTGGTTTTTAGAAACAGGTTATCAAGCCCAAAGACCACTGTGAGGAACGCTCCTGCAGTCTTTTCTGACATTGACATTGATTTATTTAAATAATTTCTTGATTGTCAAGTCTTTCTCAAGGATCTACTCTTTATGGTACATTGTACAATTGTAGCATGAAGTAAACGGGCAAAGAAACCCAAAGACCATATTGAGGAACCTGCTTGCAGTCCCCTTGAGATACGCATTGAGTTATTTTAAACTGTCTTGATCGTCAAATGCAGCAAGCAAGATAATAACTGCAAAGACCACTCTTAGGAACACTCTTGCAGTCCCCTGTGAGATGAGCATTGATTTATTTTAAACTGTCTTGATCGTCAAATGCAGCAAGCAAGATGATAACTGCAAAGACCACACTGAGGAACCCTCTTGCAGTCACCTGTGAGATAAGCATTGAGTTATTTCAAACTGTCTTGATCTTCACATGCAGCAAGCAAGATAATAACTGCAGAGGCCAACCGAGGAACACTCTTGCAGTCTTCAATGCGATGAACATTGATTAATTGTGTTTTGATTGTCCAATCTGTATTATCAAGGGTCTACTGTTCATGGTAGCATGTAGGAAACAGGATGGCATCTACAAAGACCTCTTGCATTCCCCTGTGAGATAAGCTTTGAGTTATTTTAAACTGTCTTGATTGTCCATGCTAACTCTCTCTCTCTCTCTCTCTCTTTCTCTCTCTCTCTCAAGGGTCTTCTGTTCATGGTAGCGTGTCGCAAGCATGATGATAACCACAAAGACCACACTGAGGAACCCGCTTGCAGTCTCCTGGTTCTCAATCCCCTGAATGGCCGTTCATCCAAATTACTGAACTACTCGGCCCCATGCATGCAGCCTGGAGTCCAGTAAGTATCTCTACCCCTTGTCCTTGCTCACATATGCCAGATTTAATCGCCTACAAGTAAGAAATGAAGACAAAAATTGCAACAAAGGAATTCACCCAGATTAATCGGTTTATAATATCAAAGGGATCACCGAGTAGGTGCTTCTTTCGGACACAGGCATGTTATTTTTTTACCTCTTCTCACCATTCATTATACAGAAATTCTATATTGTTCAACATTTATGACAAATTTTAATGTAATAACCCACTGTTTTTATCTGGCGATAGAAATATGCCTTTAAAAACTTATCTTGAATTCAAGAGCTCTGTCGTTCTGTACATACTTTTTTTTCTTGTATTTTTTCTTTCTTTATGTGTTGTTGTTGTTGTTAATGTATATTGTATAATAAAAAAAGTGGTCCATCCTATTAACATGGTATTTATGTAAATTACATGACATGTACATTTCACTTTTCAATTTCCTGTTTGCCACCCCCCCCCCCCCCCTCCACCCCTCCACCATACTCTTTTACACACCCTGTTCATCTCAGAATCCATGACGTCTCAGTGTGTACTGGTAAGACTCTGGCTGCTTCTTTGACGAGTGGCCACACCTGCTTGTGGGATCTTCACTCCAGCCAGTTACTGATGGAGGCACGCGGCCATGAACCAGGGGAGACCTCTACCGCACTGTGTCTGCAAGATGCAGAGACTCTGCTACTGGGTGCCGATGGTTGTGTCAATGTTTATGAAAGAAACTTTTGAATAGCTGCAGTTCTATTTGATTATGGTACTAGCTCTCTACCTTTATATCTCATTTTGTACACTCTTTCACTAATTTCCCATTCTCTCTCTCTCTCTTCTTTATCTCCTATTGGGCGCCAAAATGGCTTATATAACGCGCTATAGGGAAATTTGGTGTCTTCAGGAAAATTTGAACCCCATCAATTTCTGATAGCTTGGACCCCAATGAATCCAAAAATGCAAAAAAAAAAAAAATCAACTTTGGCACAAAAATCCTACGGGAGCTGTTTCAGTGACATACCGTACCACACTATCACCATGGAAGCACGAACTCCCTTGAAATTCTGATTTTATTCATGATAATTATTAATTCATCAGTTAAGATCCTCGATAATTAACACTTTTGAAGTTTAAATGTTCATATCAAATGCTATTGTTAATTCTTCCAAAATCGGATCGATGTCTGGTTGCATCGTGTGCACCGGGTTTCAGATGCAACATATTCCATGCTTAGTTTCTATACTTTTGCAAGTGAATATAAGTTTAGCTTCTCTCATCTCTATAGTGACACTGCCAAATAATCTATGAAGTGTATTCATTTTTAAATTGCTTTGTATATATAATTTTGAACTGTATTCAAGGTGCTTTGTAATTGTTTTTCACTTCCATCACTCTTCCATCACTCTTCGTAATACAACTCTAGAAACAAAAGAAATGACACCGTTGCAAGTATTGAGTTAAATTCAAAATTGTCTATTTAATTGTATAAATCTCTCACAATTAAATCATTCTGAGCATGATATTCTTTCTTACAATAACAGTACTTTTCATGGTAGATTGCAAAAATATTCATGGTATTTATTTCTGTGCCATTGATACTTCAATGAATGTATGTGCCTGTATTGTAATGATAATATTTTATAAGTATTTATATAAGAAAGTTGAAAGAAAAGTTGTCTTTCTTTATCACAAATCTTTATGATTGATGCATTATATTAACAATAACCTACAGTATTTCAGTTGGAAGTAAATAAAGATTATACAAAAGTAAAAACAGTCTCTTAGCTTACATATGACGCTTCAATTTGCAATTATCATGCCAATTAGTGCTACTACATGCAGATTGCCTATGGCATAGAATAGCAGTACATTTCAGCCAAGATTAAAATGGTCTCTGATGCTTTGTTGAAATAAGAATGAGCTAGTTCTTCTGAGATAAAATAAGATGTACCGAATTTAAGGTTGATATATAAACGATGATGATGATAATAACATTAATCAATGGTTTGTTTATAAACAATTTGTGGCACAGCAAGAACTTAAACATTCAAACATCAATACATGTCATAGAACATAACATCTAGCCTTCAAATAAAATGAACAGTACTGATGGTTGGAAAATGAAATGCATGTACATCAAACACAATTCTCATAAGACATTGCCATAATTTTTTCTTTTCAATTTTTAAGAGTCTAAAGCAATGATTTCATCACAAAATGATAAATAAACACACCTGTACTGTTTATACAGGGGTTGAAGAATCAGACAAAGGCTTACAGGTGCTTACTCTTTATTCTTACATAGAAAAAATACATTCATGTTCTAAACCAATGATATATATAAAACTTTATACACCATTACAATACATTTTATAAGGACAGTCATGATTTTATTCCATTTACCTTGTAAAAATAGACAATTTGGGATTACAGTGCATTTTATGCCAAGAACATGATTATAATTCACCATTCAATTTTTATACATTTACAACAAAATTTGCAACAGACCCATTGAGTATCAGTACTTATTCTTGGATTACGTCTATAGATCAAAGATATTAATTACAAGGCTATCTATCCAAAGAATTTTGATGAATGTTTCACCTATTATGTGCACTCCGAATAGTCATTAACTTCACTACAAAATCTACATACCCATATAAAACATAACATGAAATAAAAAGAAGTCCTAATCAATAACAATGATATATTGCATAGTGGTACAAATATTCAGAAAGGCCATTTTCAAGTTTTCAACACTATCATGCCTACATGTCGCCTTGTTCTCCTGATACTTTACACAAAATGACACGTGGCTATAGACAGACATTCTGCGTCCTTCATATTTCAGAAGTTACATACAAGGAAGTTTCACTTCCGTTTCTAAAATATACCTTGTTGTCAGTTTAATCCCCAAATTAGACCTAATTAAGTGGTTTAACGCATCGTCCTATCTCAACAAACCTTCACGCAGATCAGTGTCTCGTTTTGGAAGAAAAAAAGTTTTTTTTTCCCCGGCATGATTTCTAGATCCAGTGCAGGACCAGAGATTTATTGAACGGAAGCTTTGGACAAGCAATATCCAGTAACTGAAAAACAAAGAAACAAAGAAAGATTGAAGCAAGTGATATTAAAGAGTTCAAACTACATGAAAATGAGATGTATTTACTGTACTATGGATTGCATGAATTCATTGACTACATATTTTAATATAACTTTATTTCTCCAAATAATATATAATAAAATATCAAAACATCACCTTTCATTTCAATTTGTGTATAACATAAATTTTTAATGTTATTAAATTTGAAAATGTCATTGCTGAGATTTATATGGAGAACTTGTGCATATGTAATTCTTTTCATTTAAAAAAACTGTCCCAGTTCCATGTAATGAAATAATAAGAAGCTCTGCTCATATTTTCATGAAGATGTACTCTTTCAATTATAATGATTAGGTAACAACAATATTAGATTGAGGAATGCAAAGTTCTGCCCACAAATACAAAACAATCAGGAAATTAGAAATGTTTAGAACGTACCTGGGCGTCTTCCAAGTATGTATGCGTACAATCCTGGCCGTTGAGAGTGACACTAGAGGGCTTGGTGGTAACGCCATTCACTGTCCCTCCATAGAATACCATCTTTGAAGACCCAGAAAAACCATCATGCTCAATGGAAGACACCACAGAATTGTTTTGAGCTGTGAAACTCCACCAGCTGTATTTCCCATTCTCATAGGAGTCTGTAAAGAAAAGTTTTCCATCAATTTGAATAGTGTGATCATCTATGAATACTATTATTTGAATTTACCCCAAATTAATAAATCTGTTACAATCAATCACATCCTCAAAATCAATTGTAATTTACGTTTTTTTTTTTTTGTAACAGAAAGAATCATCATAAGTTACAATCAATTATTGCAGGAATGGAGTAGATTCTATTTTATGTCATTGACGTACGACGATTAAACAATTTTTTAAAGAAGAGTAACTACTTTAAGATGTGTAATCCAAAACAAAAGCCATCTCACATACTCATCTAAAGAAATTGATGTAATTTTTTGTTGAGATCAGTTTATCTAGTCGAGAGCAAGTCTAATGGTTGACTTTACTCATGCAGTGTGAAGCATCAAACTTCTGTTCTACCCTGCAAGTAATATCCTCTCATCTCATTTAGGAACTTCATAGTTCAAGGGGCGTTATCATTTGGGAATCTAAACATGCTTTGATTGGTCAATAGTAGGATTGCTCTGGTATAAGGGGGAGTGGTGATGCACAGTGCAAGTGACTGGAGTTCGGGCCTATGAGTCATAGTTCTTGGAATGTGGTTCCTTGCATGAAGTTAACTCTCTGGTGTGGTCAATGGTCAAATGTTTATAATAAAAAGATAATGAGGTCAGTGTCTGGGAATAATGGGGTACTGTCTATGGATAATGGGGTTCTGTTTTCGATCATGGGAGTGGGAGAAAGGTGAATGACTGGAAGGAGATGGGAGTAATACATGTACTACTAACAGTATTTTTTTTTTTAACATTACAGGGTCAACGGGTAGGTATAGTCCAGAAATTAAACCTAAGATCTCTTACCGATATCATCTCCATCATCCCAATACATATGTCCTTTGGCTGTCCCACTTTCATCCAAAGAGACGACGAGCAAGACCGGATTCTGGGCTGTCTCCGTCGTTGTCGTCTCGGGTATCATTGTAGGAACGATGTAGCCCCCTCTCAGGTGAAGATTGATCTTGCCGAGAGGAGCGTCTAGAACCATGCTGGTGGTCTTGTTGAATGTCAGAGGGGGCTCCTAGAACATTGAAAATGAAAGTGGAATGATGTTCAGTACAACAAAACACATTCTTGAGGGCTCGTTGACATACAACATGAAAACCAAGGCAATTCTGTGGTGTAGATTATCATTATTATTATTTATTTGGCAATTTCATACAAGTCATACATGTAATGTACATAAAGTAAAAACATAATTATTACAAATTAAAAGAACACAATGATTACTATGCCCAGTAGGTCTCCCCCCCCCCCCCCCCCCCCCCCCGACTAAGGTGAGCATTCTTGTGAGCTCTTAATTCATTGTGCATGCAACAGAAATACATTGAAGTAATTTGCACAAGTACCCATCCTCAACTGAACTACAGCCATATTGTGTACTCGCTTATTTGTGTATTATAAGGTGCAGATGTGAGTACACTGCTAACACCATTCTATTTTGCTTCAGCAGTTTAATTATTAATTTCTTTAGGTAGTTTACCAAGTCACAAGGCTTCATGCAAGATACGTGAAGGCTCAGTGGTCTCATAATGAAAATATCCGGACTTTTTTCAATAGCAGTCAATCCACTGATTTATTTTGGTAATGGTAACATTATAATGCTCAATATCGAAGTCCCTCACATTGGACCAAAAAGGTGTAGATCTAATTGCTACACAACTACTCTTGCTTTCCTAACAGTCGGGTACAATGAATGATCAAGCAATTTGATAAAAACAGGTGTAAAGACTGATAGGAAATTAAGCACTCTGTGGTTTCTTATATAAAATGAATGTGATATTCTCATCAATATTAAATTTAAAAAAAATTCTGTGTGCTCTAAAATAAATTTCTTGATAGTCAAATGTTTTTAATGTTTCTTATTAAAATATCTAATACCAGTAAATGAGTTATTGATAATTTTTGCTACAATGGCACCATGTTCACAGAGCAGATGTGTTCAAATACCGAAAAGGACGATGACCCGACACATACTCTTGTGACTTTTGCACGGGGCTTTGTCTCATCAAAGATGTAGTGTTAGGGCTAGAGTTGTGATTGGGATTTATTTTAGGTTCAAAGTTAGGTTTAGGATCAGGAATAGTCTTGGGTCGAGGATTGAAGTTAGGAATTTGACTGGGGTAGGACTTTGGCTACAGAAAAAAGCGTTGTACAATCCAAAATGACACATACTGAGGAGGGGGGGGGGGGGGGTGTTAGATATCAATAGAGAGAGAGACAATATTTATTTGTGGAATGAATTTTAGCTTTCAACTGATTCAAGACAAAAACTTACTGGTGTAATGCTGTACCAGCGACCCGGAGGAAAAGAGGCTGAGACAGAAGTAGCACCCTGAGTAAGAACAGGACTGACCAGCACAGCACCACCAAGCATGAACTGGGTGTCAACTTCGTAAAGGGACGGATCACGAGGGAAACTGAAAAGACGGGAGGATGGGAAAGAAAGTAAATCAATAATACACTGTTGGTGTGTAGAATTTTACTTTGTACTTAAAAGTGATTTAAACTCTTATGCTCGTAAATAGTCGTTGCTTTGAACAACTCTTTGAAATTATGCCTATTATGATTTAAAACAACTCAATGTCATTGAATGCAAATGCTTGTAATACACCCAGAAAACTTGTTTAGGGTACATTCATATTTTAGGGTACCGGTATGCCTTCCCTCCCCCTACCCATTTCAAATTGCACTGGCATTCCGTAAATACATAATTATAATATGTTGCTCCTCCCACTCCTTGTATTTGTTTTGTACCCCCTTTTATAAGTTCCAGATCCAAAAAAAAACATGAAAAAAAATGTGAATACCCATTTCTTTCTGCTGTAAGCTGTCAAAATCTCAAAATTGCATCTGCACCAGACCGATACTCTCATAAAAAACTAGCTCGGACGCGTGAAAATTAGCCCGCTATTTTGGAAACAAGACCAAGATTTCTCTTGATATTTTCTCTACCAACTATCCAGCTAATTGCAAATACAGGCTGATGAAAACGAAAATCAACTGATTAATTTGCGACCGGAATAGTTAAAATAGCAGTTTTGTTTGGCAAACTCAAGCTGATGAAGACAGGCCTAATGTTCGTTCTGAAAAAATTCCTTTAAATTCCTATCATAAGGGAGCTTACTTGAAGAAGAGTGGTCTGGCTACCATACTGCCATTCACATGGGCCTTGTGGAACAGTGTATAGAGGTACGGAAGCAAGGAGTATCGGATGAGAAGAGCATTCCTGCTAGACTCCTGGCTGGCACTACTGAAAACCGCTGGGTCCTGGTCCTAAAGGATCAAATATATTGAGGGTTCAGTGATACAAAGACGTAACTCCATATTTTGCCAAAATAAGTATTTGATATAAAAATGTTCAGAAAAATGTGGGTTTTCCAGGGAACACAAAGACTTGACTCCACCCAATACCTCAAGTCAATGGCTAGTGAAACATAGACTTACATGTAAACTCCTTTAGGCGCAAGTGCTCAGTGACACCTGAACCACTTTTTCTCAAAATGGCCAAAATGGAGTTACGTCTTTGTGTCACTGATGGTACTGACCCCTCGATTTATATAAATGTATGTTAATATTTTAAAGGGATCATCAAGCACGAGTCAATAACATCAAAATTGAGTTAGATATATGTACATGCAGAGTGAAACCTGTACATAAAGACCGCTCAAGGGAGACAAGAAAAGTGGTCTATACAGGCAAATGGTCTTTATGTACAAGTTCCTTCAGTACCGGTACATGTTTATGTACAGGTGATCACTAAAACAGGTTTGACTGTACTATCATTGAAGACCACATTTTCATCATTATGCTGACTCCTTCTGTATATTGTGTGACCATTAAAATTGCAGAGAAAACATGTGTGTCAAACACTTCGTATATTTAAAAGGACATACTGTAATTACTGTTTACCAAAACATGAATATAAAAGGTTTTCTAAGCATTTTTTTGGCAACATACTAATTGTTCTAATTTCATAACACACAGAATATTCTTACTCAATAAACATGCCTTTAAAAAAAAAATCATATATTAATTGCTTCTTTACAAAAAACGATTGACCATTTACACTAGCCTAGAGGAACCAGGGTCAGGGTTAGGGTTAAACTCTGGAAATGGGAACATTTAGTCAGCAAGGGCTCAATCACATTTAAACATATCAGTATTTCCTGTTTATAAAACATGCACTGCTGAGTTTTAAATATTACAAGTACAATGAACTTTCATGTAAAATGCTCCCACTTGTTCATTTTTTATCCAAATTGAAAAGGAAAAGTCCGACTCCCATTTATTCCAGTTGGAACCCAATTTCCATCCACTAGTACGCCCCGGAACAAAATGAATGAACTCTACTAACATTCATGTAAAGACTGTTGTGATTACGAGAGAACGGGTAGAACGCGCCCAGCTGCATCCAGCGTGTGCAGAGCTCCTCCGTGGTGTTACCGTTAAAGCCGCAAATATCAGCTCCAACCATCGGGATTCCAAACATGTTGAAATTAAGGATACCTGTCCAGAGAATGCGAATAAAAATGTATGTTTAAATGTTTTGATCTATAAAACAGTAAAGGGATGTTGATATTAAAGACCGTCAATACTACAGGGCCAGAAGGGATTAGACCACACAGCGAGGTCACTGACAGGTGGATATCTCATTAACTCAGCTCATAACTAACATAAGAAAAAGAGGATCATGGGGGACCAACAGGCACTGATTGGGGAAGTTTTTTATATAGAGGGAGCAAGTAGCTACAAGTAGGACAGTGGGGCTTTAAAGAAGTAGTTAAAGAAAAAAATTAAAATTACTTAAAATGTCTTGAGATACATTGAAATGGAGGGAAATATTACTGGCTTAATTGAAGTAAGAAAGGATCTAATCTCATGCTGTATCATTGCCATCCATATGATCATACTCCATTTTGATTGTTTATAGTTTGAAGCTTTGGCTGTTCTACAGTCTATTTCAAATTACCATGAGAAACCAAAAGCAAGACATTTCTACATCCCAAGCTACTTGTATTCCCTCACTCATCCACCCACCCAATCACTCGCTAACTCACATCGAAACTTAACTCACTCACTCTCCCTAAGTTACTCTCTTGGGGATCACTCAAAATCACACTTACTCTTTCTCTCTCTCTCTCTCTCTCTCTCTCTCTCCTTTTTTCTCTCTCTTTTCATTACTTACTCTCTCACTTAGAATATAGAATTAGCTATAGAATTAGTGACCTGTAATTGAGGAGTGCATCTCAGGCCATTCGCTATTATTGTCACCCAACCAGTGACCGCCGTATCTCCCTGAGGATGGGAACGTAGAGCGGGAGATGATGAAAGGACGCTTCTTCCGGATGTTTGCCAGCATCCTAAATGGCGATTATAAGGGTACAAAGTCATGTCAGTGTAATGTTAGGGTAAAGTCCCAGAAATAAAAGGTTGTTAGAACATATAACATTCTGTGGCACAGCCTGTGAGAGTTCAATACATGTATCTTGTTAATCAAAATCAAAGAAATCTGATAATTTTGGAGTGTTTTTTTAGGGGAAGGGGTGGCGGAGAAGGGAGTTACCAAAAACTATGCATGGCGTATCATGCTCTATTATGTCAGGGCATAAGCACACTGAGTCAATGTTAATCCTAGAATTAACATTAACAAAAATAAATGTGTTTGAAGACGAATATTGATGAAAGAATACAAGTATATGGGTTTTTTGCATACAACAGAAAGCTACAATTTTGTATTCTTTCATCAAATATTGGCCTTAAAATGTACATATTTTGAAAATCATTGCATGTGTGTGTTAAATGACATCCTCTCTAACATCTTTGTACAATTTAAATGAAATTTTGCCATCAAATATTTGAGACTCCTAACACTTTAGAGGAGCTTTAAGTGTGCCCGGCAATCAATGCTTCCAAAATAATTGGCTTAATTAAGTCGGCTAAAGATAGGGAACTGAATAAATTTAGGCTAAAATACGTTATAGCCCAAAAGCATCGCCTGGATACGGAAGTTGGCTAGGTATTTTATCTAAGCTGAAAACTGAGTAAAATACTCATATTTCTGACTAAAATATTGAAGTATTGAATTGAATTCCGGCCCATGCAATCAAACCTATCCAATGGCATACTTACGTGAAAGAGACATTGACCTCAGAAATTCCAAACATGCTGTGCACATTGTAATGAAGACTGGCAGTCTGCCGTGCAGAGGGGCACAAGGTCCTGTAATACAAAGTATTACCTTCAGCACCTGAAAAAGAAACAAAATTCAACGAAAATAAGGTTTGGTTTCGAAACAACTGTCATATGTGAAAGAGTGAGACATTATATGGCTCAGTGGTAGAGCAGTACGTGGTCTCGTAACCGAGAGGTCTTGGGTTCGAAACCAATTCGATGCGCTAGGTATTACGCTTTGGTTATGCATTACCAAGTTTCTTGGAGAGTACTTACAGCCATCTGTCCCCTGGTTTCTTACCACTAGCATATACACATGCTTTCTTAGCAGTCAGGTAAAACCAACCCACCAACAATATATGTCTCGAGTTTGTGGACATCCCATTGAAACACATGTCATAGATCAATGCTTGCAAGTTACGGATGTCACCAAACTTAAAGGGATAGTTGAGTTCAGTTTTCAGACCGCAAATGCCTTCAAAGGGCATGGTTATTGCTCTTATTCTTATCTATGACAGTTCCAGTGCCCTTTTAGAACCTAAAATTGCTATGAAGGTAATTTTAGACCCCAAAATGTGTGAAAGTTAGCCAATACGACCATACCAATTCAGCTCCACTTTCAAAAAAATATGGTGACTGTTAATTAATTATCTAATTAAAAATAAAAATACATGGGCCGACTGATTGTGCATAATATAACCAACACGAAAATGCCAACAAAAAAGCCAACATTGGCATTGGCTGAAATACGACTAAAAAGGCGCTTTTTCGTTTTTTCAACGGCTTTTTCAAATTATCTAATATTTGTGGTGGTACACAAGTATTAGAAATCGTTATATTTATGGATATTTCAGCCGTCTCTGAACCGATTTTGATCAAACAAAGATGATTTTGTCATTTGAATTATATGTTCTTTCAAATTTGACACTCAGTTTTTCATTTTCTCACAAAAAATTATTTTGTGTCGCACCCTCTGCAACAGAACTCAACTATCCCTTTAAGACATAAACTGATTTAATGAAAGTGGGTCCAAATTCATGGACAAAACAAGATGGAATTTTGACTGCGCGCAGTCGAAAATGATGCCTCCGCCATAGAGCAATTTAAACAAGTTTGGAGTTTAAATCTCCAGTGGTTCTTGAGATATCATGATAACAATCTCACCTCTGTGACCCTTGACCTTTGACCTACGTGCTCCAAAATCTAATCAGATTGTCTTCCTATGGTGATACACACTATCATTAAGTTGAAGTTTAAATCTCCAGTGGATCTTGAGATATTATATGGTGATACATACTATCATTAAGTTTGAAGTGAAAATTCTCCAGTGGTTCTTGAGATATCGCGATAACGATCTCAATGTATGGAATTTCATAAGTTGACCTCTGTGACCCTTGACCTTTAACCTGCGTGCTCCAAAATCTAATCAGATCGTCTTCCTATGGTGATACATACTATCTTTAAGTTTGAAGTTTTACATCTCCAGTGGTTCTTGAGATATCATGATAACAATCTCAATGTATGGAATTTCATAAGTTGACCTCTATGACCCTTGACCTTTGAACTACGTACTCCAAAATCTAATCATTTCGTCTTCCTATGGTGATATATACTATTCCCGAGTCTTAAGTTTAAATCTTAAATGGTTCTTGAGATATTGTGATAACGGTCAAACGGGACGGACGGACGGACGGACGTACGGACGGACAACCCGAAAACATAATGCCTCCGGCACCACCTTCGGTGGCGGAGGCATACAAAATATTTTCCTCCAAAATGCTGAACCACCCCGGCCCTTACCATTTTGGCCTGAAATTGGTGTTTATTCAAATTATCACAATATTATAGTATTAATGACTGCTTTGAGAGAAATAGTTGTTTTATTACGCTCAAGGGAAGGTTAGAATAGCCGAGGGGAATAGCCCAATTGTAACCTTCCCGAGAGCGTATGAAAACAACTATTTCTCGAATATTAAAGCAGTCATTAATACTTTTATATGCCGAAAAAAAATAGACTAAAAAATAAAAAATAAAAAATAATTTACATTTTTGTCGAAGACGGGATGGTGTATCGAAAACCAACGCTTAGACCACTCGGCTATCGCGCGCCGTTAACATGCTTGGCAGTTTTCTCCAATATATACATTAAAATGGATTGAAAACGGCTCCGCGTGAGGGATGCTTCGCAAAAGCTCCATGAAACGGACCCTTCTTTTACTTTTGCAATGCATATTGGCACGAACTTAGATCAAGATCTATCGGCAGATGTTGTTTTTTTGTTTTTGAGAGTTAATTTTCGTCTTCATGTCAACAATGCAAGATAAAATTGTCGGTAAGATCGATCGAGATTCAATTGTATTGAAATTGCCGACCAATTTTTCGCACACGTATGGTATCCTCCATCGCTCAAACCATTTTTTAACATGTAAACCTATGGGGTAACCATGGAGACTGACCTATTTTTTTATAACCATGGTTATTAAAAATATTGAAATGTTTTAAGCATGGTTACCGGGAATTTTACAGGAACAGTTGAAGTTTATGAATGCAATTCGACCAATCAGATGGCTGGATTTCTTAAGTGAGGTATATAATTGCCCCTATGCCCCTTTCAAAGGGATATGGGGGTCAAGATCCATCTAATGGCATGTAGGTACATTCATTGTGGAGAAACTAGCCTATTAAAAAAAAAAATATTTTCCTCCAAAATGCTGAACCACCCCGGACCTTCTAATTTCGGCCTGAAAGTTGTGATAATTCAAATTTTTACAATATTTGCCCCTACGCCCCTTCCAAAGGGATATGGGGGTCAGGATCCATCTAATGGCATGTATGTACATTCATTGTGGGGAAACTAGCCTATTCAAAAAATATAATATTTTCCTCCAAAATGCTGAACCACCCCGGCCCTTACCATTTCGGCACGAAAGTTGGGATAATTCAAATTTTTACAATATTTGCCCCTATGCCCCTTTCAAAGGGATATGGGGGTCAAGATCCATCTAATGCAATGTAAGGACATTCATTGTGGGGAAACTAACCTATCAAAAAAAAAAAATATTTTCCTCCAAAATGCTGAACCACCCCGGCACTTACCATTTCGGCCTAAAATTGGTGTTTATTGAAGTTTGAACAATATTTGCCCCTACGCCCCTTTCAAAGGGATATGGGGGTCAGGATCCATCTAATGGCATGTATGTACATTCATTGTGGGGAAACTAGCCTAATCAAAAAATATAATTTTTTCCTTCAAAATGCTGAACCACCCCGGCCCTTACCATTTCGGCCTGAAATTGGTGTTTATTCAAATTATCACAATATTTGCCCCTACGCCCCTTTCAAAGGGATATGGGGGTCAAGATCCATCTAATGGCATGTATGGACATTCATTGTGGGGAAACTAACCTATTAAAAAAATATAATATTTTCCTCCAAAATGCTGAACCACCCCGGACCTTCTAATTTCGGCCCAAAAGTTGTGATAATTCAAATTTTTACAATATTTGCCCCTACGCCCCTTCCAAAGGGATATAGGGGTCAGGATCCATCTAATGGCATGTATTTACATTCATTGTGGGGAAACTAGCCTATTCAAAATATATAATATTTTCCTCCAAAATGCTGAACCACCCCGGCCCTTACCATTTCGGCCTGAAATTGGTGTTTATTCAAATTATCACAATATTTGCCCTACGCCCCTTTCAAAGGGATATGGGGGTCAAGATCCATCTAATGCAATGTAAGGACATTCATTGTGGGGAAACTAACCTATTAAAAAAAATATATATTTTCCTCCAAAATGCTGAACCACCCCGGCACTTACCATTTCGGCCCGAAAGTTGTGATAATTAAAATTTTTACAATATTTGCCCCTTCGCCCCTTTCAAAGGGATATGGGGGTCAGGATTCATCTAATGGCATGTATGTACATTCATTGTGGGGAAACTAGCCTATTCAAAAAATATAATATTTTCCTCCAAAATGCTGAACCACCCCGGCCCTTACAATTTCGGCACGAAAGTTGTGATAATTCAAATTTTTACAATATTTGCCCCTACGCTCCTTTCAAAGGGATATGGGGGTCAGGATCCATCTAATGGCATGTATGGACATTCATTGTGGGGAAACTAACCTATTAAAAAAAATATATATTTTCCTCCAAAATGCTGAACCACCCCGGCCCTTACCATTTCGGCCCGAAAGTTGTGATAATTCAAATTATCACAATATTTGCCCCTACGCCCCTTCCAAAGGGATATGGGGGTCAGGATCAATGTAATGGCATGTATGTACATTCATTGTGGGGAAACAAGCCTAATCAAAAAATATAATTTTTTCCTCCAAAATCCTGAACCACCCCGGCCCTTACCATTTGGCCTGAAATGGGTGTTTATTCAAATTATCACAATATTTGCCCCTATGCCCCTTTCAAAGGGATATGGGGGTCAAGATCCATCTAATGGCATGTATGTACATTCATTGTGGGGAAACTAGCCTAATCAAAAAATATAATTTTTTCCTTCAAAATGCTGAACCACCCCGGCCCTTACCATTTCGGCCTAAAATTGGTGTTTATTCAAATTATCACAATATTTGCCCCTACGCCCCTTTCAAAGGGATATGGGGGTCAAGATCCATCTAATGGCATGTATGGACATTCATTGTGGGGAAACTAACCTATTAAAAAAATATAATATTTTCCTCCAAAATGCTGAACCACCCCGGACCTTCTAATTTCGGCCCAAAAGTTGTGATAATTCAAATTTTTACAATATTTGCCCCTACGCCCCTTCCAAAGGGATATAGGGGTCAGGATCCATCTAATGGCATGTATTTACATTCATTGTGGGGAAACTAGCCTATTCAAAATATATAATATTTTCCTCCAAAATGCTGAACCACCCCGGCCCTTACCATTTCGGCCTGAAATTGGTGTTTATTCAAATTATCACAATATTTGCCCCTACGCCCCTTTCAAAGGGATATGGGGGTCAAGATCCATCTAATGCAATGTAAGGACATTCATTGTGGGGAAACTAACCTATTAAAAAAAATATATATTTTCCTCCAAAATGCTGAACC